ACACAGCACCAGCAGTGGGGAGCACAGGAAAGGGGTGCATGAGCAGAGTGAAAGTGATAAGAACAGTCCTATTCATACAAGATATTCCCGTCCCTTGTTCTCTGTGGCTTAAGACGGTTGAGAACACCATGTTATCGAATTGATTGGAGATAAGAAATCACATCAGTAGGAAGAGGACACTGGCATTGCTGAACAATGTCTTAAAAGTCCTTGGAGAAGATTGGCAAGGCCGCTCCTGCCAAAGGAGGTGAAGTGACCGTCCCGGGGGCCAGCTGGGGAAAGGAGTACGGAGTACATGGAGTAAAAGATGTTTGCTGCCCTCTCCCACATCATTCTGGCCAGAGTGGCACTGTGCAGCTCAAGTCCAAGTGTCTGTAGTAGACTGTTGGTAGCTCAGAGTATTAAACTCACCCTGGTTTCAATGTGCATAAGAGTCACCAAAATCAGAATGTCAACACCATTTTGGCAGTCCAATTTCACACAAGCTGGTAATACTGCACTGGCTAGCTAGAGTGAGTTCCTTGCCAGGCTGTCCTCCTAGAACCAGAGCTGGCCTTAAGACTCCAGGATGAGTCCATAGACATGAGTCCTGGAGCTTCTTAGGGCATCTGGTCTACCCCACATAAGTGAGAAAAGGCTGGAGGTAACATAGAGAGTTGAACAACTCTCCAAAGAAAAGAAATAGAGAATGAGGCTCAGTGGGAATGGCCTTGGTCTGGAACAGGTTCATCCTATCTAGATGGCACTTCTACCTCTGGCCAGTACCAACCACTGGAGTGAGACTTATAAAATTTCAAGGTAGAAATTGCTGGCTAACAAGACCCACATGGGGCTTGGTCTGGACTTGGCACTCCCTACCAAGATGGCACTGTTGGCTTTGGAGGGCACTTAGAACATTTTGAGATATACCAATCCAAAGTGCAATACTCTTTAAGGCACAGGGTCTGGGCAGGGGGGCTGCTTACCTAGTTCTAATAACAGTACTACCACTAGCCACTGGGTATTATTCACTAAGATTTAACAGTAGCAGTGGGTTCAATGCTTAGCCAATGAATGTTCCATCTATCCATTCATCCATTCATCCACCCAACCATCAAACAAATGTTCATTGAGCACCTACACTGTGCCAGTATTGTGTTAGGGTCAGGAGAAAGAGAAGTGGGTCTTCCCAATCATTATCTACCCCATGTTAGTTCTGCATGATAAAAAAAAAATGGTGGGGGGGGGGATAAAAGAGGGAAAAATTAGATACAGATGATATCCCTCTCATATAGCTGTTCAGCTAACAACTGTTCTCAATTATGGCTGTTGAAAGTTAAATTACTATGATTATAAACAATTTACCCCCAAACTTAGTGGCTTAAAACAATGACAATATTTATTTTGCTTATGAGTCTGCTATTAGGGCTGGGCTCAACAGGTTTAGCTTGTCTCTGTTCTGCTCAGTGACAGGTGGGGTGGCTTGAAGATGGGGGACTGGAACCATCTGAAGCCTTCCTCATTCACATGTCTGGCCATTGATATTATCAGCTGAGACCTTAACGCAGGCTGTCAGCTGGCACACCTCCACATGGTCTCTTCATGTGTCCTGGGCTTCCTCCCACATGGTGGCTGGGTTTCAAGGGTGGGCCTTGCAAAAGAGGGTAAGCGAGGTGAAAGCCATATCCTCTTTATGACCTAGCTCTGGAAGTCAAATAGCATTACTTCTTTCCTATTGGCCAGAACAGTCATAGTCCCCAACCAGACTCTAGGGGAGGGAACAAGGCCCCAACTCTCAGTAGGAAAAGTGTTGGTTACATTGTTTTATTTTATTTATTTTTTAAAAATTGAGTTTAGAGAGAGAGGAAGAGGGAAAGAGAAACATTGATTTGAGAGAGAAACATTGATTGGTTGCCTCCTGTACACACCCTGACCCCCAACATGGGATGGAACCTGAGACCCTTGGGTGCACAGGAGGATACTGCAACCAACAGAGCCACACCGGCCAGGGTGAATGTTGGTTACATTGTAAAAAGAGCTGTGGGATGGTATGACCAACTTTGGGGGGAAAAATATGCCACAAAGGATTAATACAACTGCTATTTTTTTCCTTGAGTGTAATGCCTTTTAATACATAGTAAAAGTACACAATATAAAGTGATATTTTGATATTACAGTTTCAAACGAAGACAGTCCCCCAGTATGTCCCATGTTTCTAGTTATAAATTATGATGTGGAACAAATTAGAATTGTGTACTGTGTTTGGAGAATCCATAATATTTTACTCTGTATAACATTTCCCATCTCTTCAGTCTACTGTATATGCACTCTACCTACGTTTCAAAGAATTCTGATATTTAGTCTTTAATTTTTCCTAAGGTGTATGTGTGTGTGTAACTTTATTTTTATGTTGGTTTAAGTGAAGCTATAAAAAATTTTTTTTTAAATAAAAAAAATTTTAATTGGTAAAGAAAAAGGTGCAGAAATATAAATAATATCACCTTTAAAGCATGACTAGCTTGCACCTTTCCTCTACCAACCCCCACTAATATTAAATCTTATCTTCCTGGCCAGTACAAGTCCTTATACTTTACATTTTATATAAAAGCCATATTCTTAATTTAAAATTATTTATTGCTTATATAATCTTTTGTTTTGCTTTGTTTCATTGATATAGTTTTCTGTTAAAAATACTTAGGTGTCTTGGGTTGGAACTGAACACATTTTTTCCCATTAACATGAATGGAAATATATATAAATGTACTTTTTCATTTAACAGTTTTGCACTTAGAGGCAGAATTTTCAGGAATGAATTAAAGTAACCAGGTGTGAGATAGATGTATTTTCACCTTCTCCCCAAGAGCTTTTAAATAATTTCTGAGTCCTCTGTGTCTGTCACTTTTTCAATTTCCATTGCCTGCAGCTCTTCCAATTTGTCAGCCCCATCACCAGCCCTTTACCTATCTGATATATTATAGGTGTGTTAGTATGGGAAGACTAAGGGAAAGGCCTTGAGGATAAAAATCTACCTCTGTAAACAGAGGGCAGGAAGAGACTGAAGGAAGAAGCTGACCACTTCAGTCTGACAATTAATAGAGTTTATTAAGGGAAACTTACATCTGAGCACATCTTGGGTGTCTGCAGACAAAATGGATCCCCGAGCTGCTTGGCTGGCTCAAAGAATTATATAGGACAAGGTGGGATTGTCACTGGGTACTAATACATGAATGCTACCAAGTATGGGAAATTACATGCTCGATCAGGTCAGGACAGCAGCCTGTTCCAGGAACCAGCATATAAGGAGGCAGGGGAGGGGTTCACTCTTGGTTTATGTAAGAATGAACATCCATTACGACCAGTCTCCATGGGAGGGGGGTTTGAGGGACACAATCTCCCCCTTTTGGCTCCTGGGTCAGGTAGCAGTCATGCCTTGGAACAGTCTCTTCTTCACAAGGTGTTCAACATTTATTATGTTAGGAATGCATCTGGTTGAAAGTAACAGAAGACTCAACAAACTATGGTCTAAAGCAGGGGTCCTCAAACTTTTTAAACAGGGGGCCAGTTCACTGTCCCTCAGACCGTTGGAGGGCTGGACTATAGTTTTTAAAAAAAACTATGAACAAATTCCTATGCACACTGCACATATCTTATTTTGAAGTAAAAAAACAAAATGGGAACAAATACAATATTTGTATTTGCATGTGGCCCGCGGGCCGTAGTTTGAGGACCCCTGGCCTAAAGATTTCCCCCACTTTCCCCCCTCAAAAAACAGGAAGGCAATCCAGGAATTGTACAGCCACTTGAGTATATCTTAAAGAACCGGGCTTCTTTTGTCTTTCTGTTCCACCTCTTAGCATAGTCCTCCACATTGTGTCAAGAGGGCTGCTACACCTCCAGGTGTTGTGTCTTAGTTCCAAGCATGAAGTAGGAGAAAGATGAAGGTCACAAACGTCTCTAAAACTTCCTTTTCATCCTGGAAGGGAAGTTCTCCCTTGGGACTTCTGCCTACATTTTATTGGCCAGATTTTGTCTCATTGCCACCCTCAGCTGCTAGGGAGTTTCGGAATTGTGTGTTTGCTTTTTAGCCTCTGTAGTTTGGAAAGGCCAGAGATAGTGGTTGAAATTGATACTGAATGAGCTTCTTAAGATATTTGTGACATGATGTTTAATTGAAATGCATTGCTTTGATCCACAAAATGTTCTGGATATAGCCCTGCTCTTGTCCTGGAACATTTTTACTCCTTGTTCTTCTTCCCTCCTCTAGCCACTTTCCTGTTGGTGGTGGGGGGTGATGCAAAATCTTGAAAAAACACACTTCTCTCCTATCCTTTTTAGGAGTATAACAGTTCCCTTGTCACTCCTTCCTCCTTGTCTCTTCTAATTGAAGGTAAGGAGGAGGAGGCAATATCCTCTTTGCTTCCCTCTGCTCTTTTGAGACAATTGTGCCTTGAGCACTACTCAACACCCTGGTCTCTTCTTCCCTGGGTAGCAAGGACAGTCTCAAGGCCAGGTCCTCCCTCCGCTTCTCTCTCAGCCCATTTCCTCCTTTACGCTTCCAAGCACTTCAGCTGTACTTCTCTGAAGGTATTTATTATTTTCTTCGTTGAAGCTGAAACCACATTATTGAAAGTGGCATTGTTTACAAAATGTGTGGTGCATTGATAGGTGCTCAAACTGGTAACTCCTGCTATTATTATTAATAATGTCTTATCGCCTATATCAGACTCTGCTACTTAATGAGAGGCTCTGATCCAGGTCTCTGATTCATCTTTGTAACCCACATTTGGCCTGGAATTGAGCATTGCAAATAGTTAATGCTATACCGGCAGGTAAAGGACAACATTTCGAAGGAAGGGTGCTGCAATGGGATGTGAGAAATTTCAGAACCTGGGTGGGAGCCAGAATCTTGCAGAGAAGAGCCAAATTCGGTCCGCACCTAAAACCAGCAAAGTCCGGATGGATTCACAGGGACGCAGGTGGAGCACCAGCCGCCAGTACCCCGATGAGGTATGCGCATTCGTCATTTCACTCCTCCCCCTCCACTGGATCCGGAAAGGGAGGTGGGACTGTACCCCGCGCGGCGAGCTGGGATAGCTGCGCACGCGCAGCTTCCGGCTCCATGTCTCGGGAATTATTTGACGCCGCCGTTCAGGACTCGCAGAAGTCTCTGACCAGGCGCGCAGCGCACGCGCAGTGGCCACTGGCTGGAGGAGCTATTTGACGCTGTCGCCTCTGGCAGTCGGAAGTTGCCTGAGCAGAGCCCAGCCGGCCGGCCCGACCGGCCTTCGTCGTCCCCTGGCGCCCTCAGAGAGTCGCTGACCGCTGGACGGACCGACCGCCTGAGGACAGTTGGCCGGGGCAGCGAAAACGCCGGCCCTATGGCGCCCGAGGCGTGAGGCGGAAAGCCGAGTGCGGCTGGCAGTGGTGGCGCCCGCCCCAGCAATGCGGGCCCCGCCCGTCGCCTCAGGTAATCGGGCGGTCCTCCCCGTCGCTGCCGGACCTCCCCTTCTCTCCCCTCCTGGCGGTCCCGGGACGGCCCAGTGTGTTTCTCGGCCCGGGTGTTTCAAGTGCCCGGCCTTCGGAAGCACATCTTTTTTTGTGGGGACCCACAGGGTCCGGGGGAACTTGGCCCTGGAGTCGGTGGCGTCGGACGGGTCTGTTGAAACCCGGTCTGGTCCTGGGGAGCGGACGCGGCGGGGGGAAGCGCTCTCCGGGCGCCGGGGGCAGGGGGCGGGTCTGGAGCGGAGCTGGACAACTCCAGCGAAGAACTCGGTCCCGCGGAAAGGTTGGTCGAGTTGATCCCTCCCCTTGGGGACGATGCTGCCTAGTGCACAGTGACACTCGGATGAGGAAGAGTTAATATCGAGAATCAACAACTAAACCTTGTTCAGCGCGTACTGTATGCCAGGCCATTGCGTTCGCTGCATCTAACTTCACAGCAACTCTTTCAGGATAGAATTGTGATCCCCATTGTACTGAGGAGGCAACTGAGGCCCTGGATGGTTAGGTGACTTACTTGCCCAAGGTCACTTAGCTGGTCATTTAGTCTGAATCCAGATTCACGTTCTTAAAACGAGGTCAGTGTCTCTCCAACTTGGCTGCAGGTTAAAATCGTCTGGGGGAGCTTTTCCGAAGTCCTGATGCCTAGGTAGCACACCCAGAGCAATTGAATCAGAATTGGGGGCAAGGGGTGGGTGAAGCCAGACATCAGTATTTTTTTTTTTTTAAAGATTCCCATGTGATTTCAGTATGCAGCAAAGTTTGGGAACTGCTAGGTAATTCTGCATCTCGAAAGATGTTTCAGTGTCTCTCTGTTGAGGTGTGTAGGAGAATTACCTGGGAATTTGTTAAACATGCAGTTCCACCTGCAAAAGTCTTTTCGCTGGGCCCACTGACGACTACTCCTTGTTTAAAGTCTGTTGGGGATGGGAAGTAAATTTCTCTGCAGGATTTCTGAGTTAGCTGGATCTTTTAAAGTATATACATGTCATGCAAAACTGTTTGCAGTTTTCCAGAATATGCAGTACACGTAGATCTAGTGTCTCTAACATCTGGGTCCTCTCCTCATTTGCGATTCCTCGGCCTAGACTGTCCTCCAGGCTTCCTCCCCACTCCACCCAAATGCACACACTTACGCTCGCTCTCATACACATGCATATATCCTTTTCTTCCCGTCACTGGCTGCGTAACTCCCAACATTCCAGATGCTCTGTCTGTGACCCCCTATCACCTTCGGTCTCTCCTATCTGCTCCTTGCATCATCACACTGGAATTTACCAGTTATTTTTCTGTGTTGTGTGTTTCTCTCTCTTCTAGATTATGAGCAACTTGAACCATGTGTTCTCCATCTCTATTCTTCCCAGTGCTTTGACATACAGACTCACAAAGATTTTACTCAGTGGAATGTTTGAGTCCTTTTTATGTGATAGACTTCATGCCACAAATAGTTTCTTCTGTGTTTCCATTTTTACAAAAGGTATTTGGTAGTTCTTTTTTTAAAAAAAATATATATTTTATTGATTTTTTTACAGAGAGGAAGGGAGAGGGATAGAGAGTTAGAAACATCGATGGGAGAGAAACTTCCATCAGCTGCCTCTTGCACACCTCCTACTGGGGATGTGCCCTCAACCAAGATACATGCCCTTGGCTGGAATTGAACCCGGGACCCTTCAGTCCGAAGGCTGACGCTCTATCCACTGAGCCAAACTGGTTAGGGCATGGTAGTTCTTAACGTATATTGTTTTGTTCTTTTTGCTTGGAAATACTGTAGGTTCATTAAGTTATCCATCTAGCAGTTGAATAAACTACTAGTTCTTGCACTGGCAACGCACTATGTAGGACTAACTCTGTGCAATCAATGTTGGTTGAATTTGTTTTTAATTGTTTTTTTTTTTTTAGAGAGAAAAAGGGGTGGAGGGGAGAAACATTGATCCACTATTCCACACATTTATGCATTTATTGGTTGACTCCTGTATGTGCCAGGGCATTGAACCTGCAACCTTGGCCCATTGAGATGATGCTCCAAACAACTGAGCTACCTGGCCAGGGCAACATTGGTTGATTTTGTTTTAAAAAATATGTTTTTATTGATTTTAGAGAGAAGGGAAGGGAGAAGGGAGGGAGATAGAAACATTGATTTGGGAGAAACATCGATTGGCTGCCTCCTACATGCCCCCTACTGGGGATTGAGCCTGCAACCCAGGCATATGCCCTGATGGGAATTGAACCAGTGACCTCTTGATTCATGGGTCAATGTTCAGCCATTGAGCCATCCTGGAAGGGCAGATGATTTTTAATATTTGACTTTATCGCAATCAGTTCTTTAGTGGAAACCTTATTATTGTCCTTAGGTCTTTGCATATGTTCCCCACCTCATTGTCCAAAATAGTACTTAGTTGTCATCCATTAAATACTGGAGGCCTGGTACAGGAAATCGTGCACCAGTGGGGTCCCTTGGCCTGGCCTGCGGGATCAGGTCAAAACTGGCTTTCCAACATCCCCTGAGGGGTCCTGGATTGCAAGAGGGTGCAGGCCAGGCTGAGGGACCCCACTGGTGCATGATCGGGGCCGAGGAGGGACGCAGGAGGTTGGCCAGCTGGGAGGGACCACGGGAAGGCTCCAGGGCGTGTCCAGATCGTCTTGCTCAGTCCCGATCAGCCGGACCTCAGCAGCAAGCTAACCTACCAGGCGGAGCGTCTGCCCCGTGGTGGTCAGTGCACGTCATAGCAAGCAGTTGAGTGGCCTTAGCATATCATTAGCATATTACACTTTGATTGGTTGAATGGCCTACCTGCCAACCGGACACTTAGCATATTAGGCTTTTATTAAATAGTATTATTGCCTTGTTGGTACTTGGTAAATCCTACTAGATAGAATTGCTGTTGGAAATAGTTGATCCTATTCACCAGAAGAGATGATAGAAGAAGTCCTTGATGAAGACTAAAACCTTGATGTCAGAGTTGACAGGCTTAGTATATATTTAGTGCATAATGCCTTATGTATTTATAAGTTTGCCCAATGTATTTATAAGTTTTAAAGGAAGGCAGGGCACTAATTCAGATTGTATTCGCTCTTTTTTTTTAAATATATTTTATTGATTTTTTACAGAGAGGAAGGGAGAGAGACAGAGAGCTAGAAACATCAATGAGAGAGAAACATCGATCGGCTGCCTCCTGCACATCTCCCACTGGGGTTGTGCTCGCAACCCAGGTACATGCCCTTGACCCGAATCGAACCTGGGACCTCTCAGTCCGCAAGCCGACGCTCTATCCACTGAGCCAAACCGGTTTCGGCTGTATTCGCTCTTGACTGGTCTTAAAAGCATGTAAAGTTTATAGAAGTAAGGGGGTACGTGTGTGAAGGTCATGAAGAGGTTTTTAGACAATAAAGATTTTTTATAGCAATTAAATATGGCAAAGTATGTGACAAAAATACACATTTCATATAATGACATTCTTTGCAGCAAAAGTTATAAAAAGATTGTTTTGGTTCAGATTTTTACTGTTTCTCAATTTTTAGGCTAAGGTTAATGTAGAAACTGATGGGACAATTCATGTTATATTCAAACCTGCCCTTGTTTCTCTGATCTGATATGGACAGAGTATCCAGTTCTGGCCTCAGCACATGGAAGAAACTTAATCTTTAAGCCTGAGGTTTAAGTCTCTAGTTGATCTCCAAAGTAATAAAGGTGAAAATTTCACTTGCTCAGTTAAAGACCAAAAGTGACTCTAATCATGATAGCCTGAAACCTAAAAATGGAATCTATTTAATTTGAGATTCCTGTCAGTGTTAGCAGGTGTGTTCCCTGGCATGTGTAAAGACCTTTTAGATAGACTGCATGATTTCCTTTAGTGTAAGGTGGTTAAAGTTATAGAATTAAGATACTTGGAGTTTAATTATAAGTTTTTATAGGTGAAGAAAGTAGGTAACTTGCCCAAGATTTAAATGGTTGGCTTCTAGCACATCTAGAACTAGAAAGCAGGCCACTTTTCTTTGGGTGCAGTGTGTCCTTCCACACCCATTCCTCCCATGTGAGAGGATATCTTTGTGTGTTGGGTTTTTTGCGTGCGTTGTGTGTGTGTGTGTGTGTGTGTGTGTATGTGTGTTGGGGATGGGGGAAATGTACAGAGTAGTCTGCTGTGTTTGAGATATTCAGTTAGATGTAAAGTGAGTGCTTGTTGTGTACCACGTGTACTTTGCTATTTAAATTGGGATACCAAGGTAAATAAGACACAGCTCCGTCCTTAAGGAGTCTATAGTCAAGGTTGTAATGAAAGTAAAAGTATAGTACCTGTCAGCTCTGTCAAATAGAACTTTCCACATTGATGGAACTGTTCTATATTTGCACTGTCCAATATGGTAGCCACTAGCCACATGTGACTATTGAGCACTTGAAATGTGACTAAGGAACTGAATTTCTAATTTAATTTAAATTTAAATAATTATATGTGGATTGGCTATTGTATTGGACAGAGCAGATCTGAGAAATAAAAGATGAGAACTGTGATAGTGCTGTTGAGGGGAAGGTAATGGGTATTCATTTATTTTTTATTTTGGATAGACTAGTAAAAACTGCCTCTTTCCACAATAGGGAGGAATGTAGGCAGAACCTGTCTGTCTTTCTTGTAATTCAGGTGTTTGATAGGATCCCTGATAGTTAGAATCTGGTATATAGGTGAATACATTCCTTTTTAGCTAAACTTGATTATTTGCCTTGTAGGGTCAATAGGACTACAACAGAAATATGAACTATGAACCTTTTGCCTTTATTATTTTTTTAAAAATATATTTTATTGATTTTTTACAGAGAGGAAGGGAGAGAGATAGAGAGCTAGAAACATCGATGAGAGAGAAACATCGATCAGCTGCCTCCTGCACACCCCCCACTGGGGATGTGCCCGCAACCCAGGTACATGCCCTTGACCGGAATCGAACCTGGGACCCTTCAGTCCTCAGGCTGACGCTCTATCCACTGAGCCAAACCGGTTTTGGCACCTTTTGCCTTTATTAGTCATAAAGTTATATGGATGACCTTGAGTGTACATATGTGCCTTAAAATCCAGCAAGGTTCATTCATTTACTCAGTATTTTGGCATTCTGTAAGAGAAAGGAGGCATGCCTAAGAATATGTACATTGTATTTGTACATCTCAAAGTTTGTTGCCTTATTTAAAAGCAATTTTTTAAAAATTGATTTTAGAGAGGGAGGGAGGAAAGGAGAGAGAGAAACATTGCTATGAGAGAGAAATATCGGTTGGCTGCCTCCCACACGCTCCCCAACCGAGAATTGAACTGGTGACATTTTGGTGCATGGGACGATGCTCAACCAATTGAACTATATTGGCCAGGGCAACTTATGTTGTTTTATTTGATCCTTCTCCCAAGTAACTTTAGCTAGGTACTGCAGGTATTCTCCCTATTTTACAAATGAGAAAACTATGACAAAGAAATACAAAGTTTCTTGTCCAGGGTGATATGGTGAGGAATGGAGTCAGAAAAAAGAAAAGAACATTGCACTTCGAGGCATTTCTTGTCCCAGCTCTACTGTTACTTGATGTGACCTGAGCAAGTTATAACCTTACTTTGTTTCCTCACTGAGTGGCTAGTGACATCTGTCTTAATTTTCTTGGCTTGTTATTGGAATAAAATGAAATTACATGTGAAAATTCCTTGAAGTATACAAAGCTACATTGTTATTAAATAAGATCTTGAGTTTTTCTGTTGCATGTTGCTGCCTTCATACCTCATCACATCAGTTATCATGTTGAATGCTATTGTATTATGTTGTTGTCATGGATTTTGCTTGTCTTCCTCACTAGGAAACCTTCTTTTGGGCAGCCATTGTGTCCTGTTTATATCTGCAGGACACAATGGTACTTACATTCTTTAAAAACAATACCTGACATATAGCAGGTGTTTAAAAAATGTTTGTTTAATGAGATAATTGATGTCTAGATTTACTTTACAAAGTTTTAAAAAATTGTTCTCTGTAATTAGACTTGAAGCTCCTTGGGAACAGGGATGATATTTCTTCATTGTTACATTCCCTGTGCCTGGTGTACAGAAGGCATGCAATAAATATTGGTTGAGTCAATTGATGTAATTAATGTCAGCCTGCGGTCTTAGTGTGTCTACCACTGTATTGATCATTTTGGTAGTTTGTCAGGCCAAACCTTCATGTTATTCTGCGGTAATACCTACAAGCCATAAGCTGTTACCCAGCACACAGTCACCTGGTAATAGAAACCTCCAGAGAGATTACCTAGAAAATGGGTGCATGTAGAGTTGGGAAGAAAATTAAATGATCTGCAAGGAACATCTTCCCCTTCCTCCTATCATATTTACTTCTGGAGCATTGAAGGTAGAGACTTCTTTACTAGCAGCTCAGGTTGTTAGCTGACTGCCTTATTTGGGGAGGAGACTCATAGGATCCTTAACATAACAGTAAAAGTCCTTAATCATCTGACTTCAGTTGTGTTTTCATATCTCACTGCAGTGTCTAACCCTCTCCATCCTTTTCTTCATCTTTCATGCTAAGGAGTTTGACCTTCATGCTGTAGGCTCATGATTCTCTAATACCATATCCTCTTGGAAAACACTGATATTACTTGAGCTGGAATGAGGTTTTCTAAGGTAAAATTAAACAATGCTAGTCTCTTCCAGTTTGAAGAAAATTTAGGTTAAGGTCTAGAACTTTTTAAAGATTAAGTGTACCCATGTATTTTGTTTAAACACTGCTGGCTGGGCAAACATTTCAGAGCAAGTAGAAAGTGGAAGTTAACAGAAATGAATTGGAAAGGGCTAACCTACCTTGATTCTCTTCATAAATATATGGCATTTGTGATTGTAATATTTATATTGCATTCATATAGATGTGTTTTCTGTGACCAAAATTTCTCATTTGTATGATAGACTTAGACATCATTTCATGGAGAATATATAGCTTGGGAGAAGGGAGAAACAGTACCTGCCATGGGGAATGTACTAGTATAGGAAAGGGGAGACAGAGAACATGCCATGGTTACGAGCATGGTCTCTAGAACCCAGCAGATACGGTTCAAAACCCAGTTCTACCACATTATAGCTCTGAAGCCTCAGGTAAGAAGCAAACCTCTCCATGTCTCAGTTTTTTCATCCGTGAAGTGGAGATAATACTACTTAATATTCATAGAGTTGTTTTGATGATTACATGAGTAGTATGTAATAAATGCTCAGTAAGTGGGAGCTCTTAGTATGTTTTTTAAAGGACACTGTGACTTCTAGGTGTTCCAGTACTGGAAGTTTCTGTGCCTCTACTGCAGGGAATAAAATATTCTCAAAGAATATTGTGTCTGATTTGAGGACATTGATGGGAAATTACAGGAGTGTGTTTCCAGCATGTACTAGGTACCTGGCAACCATTAACTGAAAAATCTGGTTCTTCGTTTCCTGCTTAAGGTACTCCATTCTTTCATCTTTTTCTATCCTGAACATAGTGTGAGGAGGATTCCCTCATGCTATAAGTGTGCCAAATCTGATCATTTATCACCTTGCACAGTGACTGTCTGTTTGTTAGGAGGGCTCTTTTGGGGAGGCGTTTGGACAGCTAGCTGCTTCTCAGGGATTGCCTTCCTATGTGATCTCACCATGAGGCTATTTTTAGGACATTTCTCAAAACTTTTAGATGTGTTTTATTCGCAGTCGTCTTCAGGCAATATTTGCAGCTTTTTTATCTTGCCTTGTAGGGTAAATATGTATTTTACTTCCTTTTATTAATTTGCAACAGTATAATTTGACATGTAATTCTATTTTGTCTTTTCAGGTGCCATTTGGATAGTACTTTAGCGGCACGATGTACTCTGAGTGGAGGTCCCTGCATTTGGTGATTCAGAATGATCAGGGTCACACCAGTGTTCTGCACAGCTATCCAGAGAGCGTTGGGCGAGAGGTGGCAAATGCAGTTGTCCATCCTCTTGGGCAGGCCTTAGTAACTTCTTCAGTGGCTAGTAGTGAGAGTTTGTTAAAAACTGACAAAGAAGTAAGTTTCTTCATTTCATTCTACTATGTGAAAATATAACTTTATTAAATGAATTTGACATCTTTTTAATGGATTTCTGCCAATGCAATGTGACTTCTCTATGCTGACCTTATTTGGGTAGTGGCGTGGAGGCTCAGGGTTTGTGGCAGTTGCAAGGAATATGTTGTATCATTGGCTGCTAGGACTTCCCACTAGTCAGACTCAATTCTCCACTTGAGCTATAGGCCCAAGACAGAGACTTGAGTGTCAGGCCCTTTCTCTTAAACTCAAGGCACAGTCCACAGATTTATATTCAGAGTGTGTTTGGAAGGTCTTCATTTCTTTCGGAGGAGCATTTTTCTCTCTTCAGAGTATCCTAGCAGAGATTTATCCTGAGGACCAGCAGTTGTCATGGTGCACTCTCCTCTTGGTGTATTTATAATCCCTTGCTGTCTTGTCCTGGGAAGAGATGGCACATGAGTAGATAGGGGTTCTCTGGTGCAGCCCTTGTTTATTCTTTTTCCCACCCTCAAAAAAATATGAGAGAGTAGCCCTTGAATCTAGTATCCTCTAGAATTATACAGTTAATCTACCATGTGAAGATATCACCAATGATATCTTCTCCTTTGTCTTTGGTAAGAGGGACTTGTAAACTCTTTTAAAATTCTTCTGCAACTAAATTCTGCCTTCCACCCTATTTGTCACACCTTCACTGTGCTGACTTCTTTAATACTTACTGCTTTTTTTTTTTTTTTTTTTGCATCCTCACCCGAGGATATGTTTATTGATTTTTAGAGAGAGAGAGAAATGTCGATGTGAGAAAGAAACATCAATTGATTGCCTCCCATATGTACCCCAACTGGGGATTGAACCCACAACCTAGGTATGCTCCCTGACTGGGAATTGAACCCACAACAATTGACGCTCCAACCAACTGAGCCACCTGGTCAGGACTATTGCTATTTTATATATTACATTATATTGTTACTAGAGGACCGGTGCATGACATTCGTGCACTGGGGGAGGAGAGGGGTCCCTCAGCCTGGCCTGCACCCTCTTGCAGTCCGGCACCCCTCGGGGGATGTCTGACTACTGGCTTAGGCCCGCTCCCCACAAGCGGACCTAAACCTGCAGTCAGACATCCCCCAAGGCAATGGTCGGCAAACTGCAGCTTGGCAAACTGCGGCTCGCGAACCACATGCGGCTCTTTGGCCCCTTGAGTGTGGCTCTTCCACAAATACCGACTTCTGCCGCATGGCCACGAGTTCAGTCGTGCTGTATGTGCGTGCCCACACGTGGTATTTTGGGGTATTTTGTGGAAGAGCCACACTCAAGGGGCCAAAGAGCCGCATGTGGCTCGCGAGCTGCAGTTTGCTGACCACGGCCCCAAGGGGTCCTTAGTGATGCTGCAGAGGTGGGAGAGGCTCCTGCCACCACCATTGAGCTCGCCAGCCATGAGCCTGAGCGGCGCTCCCCCTGTGGGAGTGCACTGACCACCACTGAGCGCCTGCCCCCTGGCTGTCAGTGCGCATCATAGTGACTGGTCATTCCACTGTTTGGTCAATTTACATATTAGGGTTTTATTATAAAGGATATTGCTGTTAATGGCATGGTGAGAATAACTTCAGATTTCCAGTTGGAAGACGGGGGTTCAAATTTTCAGCTCTAGCATTTCCAAACCAGTGACTTGGGCCAAATTGCTTAATCTTGCTTAGCTCCAGTTTTCTTATCTATAAAGTCAGGATAGTTTACCCTCTCACACAAGGTTATTTTGATTATTAAATGATATTTATGAAAGTGCTTCATAAACTGCCAGGATTATACAATTGTCAATTGCCTTCATAGTAACCCTGTTTATAAAGGAATGAAGCTTATCTGGCATGACTTGTTCTTTTTGAGCAGGCTGGTTCCCAGTGATCATTCTTCCCTTTTGTAAGTGCTCACTGATCATCTGCTTAGTAATTTGTCCCAGTTTTGTCTGGAATTCACTTAAACTTTCCATTCTACAGTACCTGGAATGTAGTTTCATCCTCTTTTGCAAACTGGGCTGTTTTCTCTTTCTCATCATACCTTATTCATTCTTCATGACTGTAAGCAATGGTTCAGCAGTCTCTCTGGTAAGTTCTTTCAGCCTCTAGGATGTGATTCAGATGGGTCGGAAGGCTGTAACTCATTTAGTGCAGCTAAGTGCCTTGTTAATATCTTACCCAGCTTCAGTACCTTCTCACTTGTGTTTGTTCTTACCTTTCCATTTTAAATATTATTTTCTTTAGCAGAGAAAATAGTCACAAGATATGAGTTGAGCAGTTCATTTTCCTTCCTGTTGTTAATGTTTCATAATCTGGAAATGGAATGTGATTGAATTTGTGTACATGATTTCCTAAATGGTACATGTACTCTCATGTAATTAAGTGGAGAAAAGTATCAAAAGTTTTCTATTTCTTTGACTCCAATCTCTGTGGAAAATCAAGATGTCCTGCCTGTACTTAACTTTTTATTTTCAGAGCAAACAATAATAATGTCTAAAGGGTAAATGCCAATATAGGCTTAATATTTAGAAATAAGTAATTTATTTTCTTCTTAAATCTTTTGCATGGGAAATGTCTAAGTATGCCTTATACATGGAAGGTACATTCTTTAGAATAAGTTTGACATATGTGTTGAGATGAATATATTGTCAATTGAGAGGTTTTTTTGGCAATAAAAGAGGTTAGCATTTTAAATCAGTCTATTGAGATATAGATTGGGATGTGTGATAATTCTATATGTGTATTTTCCTTTTTTTTAGGTAAAATGGACCATGGAAGTAATTTGCTATGGACTGACCCTTCCATTGGATGGAGAAACTGTAAAATATTGTGTTGATGTATATACAGACTGGATTATGGCTTTAGTGTTGCCGAAAGATTCTATTCCATTGCCAGTTATTAAAGAACCAAATCTATATGTTCAAAGTATACTAAAACACCTGCAAAATCTTTTTGTACCAAGGTAAGCTATACCTGTCTATTGGCCTTTTATCAAGATCATAGTAAAATATTCATAAGTTTTACTTTTTTTGTATTATAGGAACTGATTTCATTGTTAGTCCTTTGAACAGTTAACTTTCATTACTTGTTTAGTTAAAGAGTATATTAATATGAATGTTAGGAGAGATGGGCTTATATGTTTAAGTGTGTGCCCATTTTAAAGGCTTTTGGCTTTTCTTCTAAATCTGATAGCTATTAGATATTAAAATACTGCGAACCCTTTCCCTTCCACTCAAAAAGACATTCTTTTAGCCTATCATAATTTTTGTTTCCACTTAAACGAAAAGCAACTAAGCCTTCTAGTCTACCTTAAAATGAATCTTTCCTAAGAGAGAATGAAAACAGTGAAGTAAGCAGACTTGACATTATTATGGGCAAATTTATAGTAGGTAGTCCAAAAGAATATCTTGACAGTTTGTTATTGATTTCTCCCCATGTCTGAGGCAAAGTCCTTAATATTGTAATGTAGGATATGTGCCTTACTTGTTCTTAAATTTTTTATTCCAGCTTTTAAAAAATTATGTCATTGTAAAGAATTTGGGAAATATATAAATTAATGAAGAAGCATTAGTTCTCTACACATTTGTGGGGATTTTCTGTAAGAAAAATAGATTTTTAGCTATTTTTTGTCTTTGAAAGAGGCAAGGGGGAATAGATCCTTTTGGAAAAGTTAGAGCTTTTGGTCTGCGGGAAACATCTTCCTGAGGTTTTAAAGTGTGTATGTCTCATTTCCCACACTTGGAGTGCGGGAAACGAGTTAAGTCGGCTCGCGTGAATTGCGCGTACTCCGCGGGAGCCGTCTTAAAACTCGGTTCATATAGATTTGCGGTGGAGTGCGGGAAACGTGTAAACTCGGGCCGATTGTAACTGCGTATTACCAAATATTTGTTTGTAATCCACCCTTTTGGTGGATGGAACAAAACCAAAAGACAGAGCCATCTTATATTTTGGCGGGAAATTCACCCGCACTCCAAGTGTTAAATGGTGAGTGACTTTGAACCATCCAAAGCTCTGTAAATTTTAACTTTTTAAATTTAGAAGAAAGGTTACTTTGGGGAATTGGAATTAAAAAGAAAAAATATCCATTAAGAACTCTGGTGTCTAGGATTAAGAGTAAACTCCTTACCTCGTGTGATATGCCTGTTGTAATCTGGCCCCTAGCCAGATTAGCTGCTACTACATATGCATGAGCTCTTTGGTCAGACTCATAAATTAAACATTCCTTAAAGATCTTCCCTATTATCACCTACTCTTTCATCATTCTACTCCTCCTTTCCCTCTCCTAGCTGTCCTTATTGCATTTTTGTTGGTTTATCTTATAAAGAGAAGCCTTACCTTACAGTCGAGGCCCATAGTGACCAAACCTTCTGTGAACCTGTATGGTACTTCCTGTGTTACTCTTATATCTTCCTGAGGTTTTAAAGTGTGTATGTCTCATTTCCCCATCTAACCAACTTAAGAGCAGCTACTGAGCTGTACATATTTTAGGCTTCTACAGTGTCTGGTGCAATACTGATGTTACCTTTAGTGTGAATTAAATGCTGGTTGCTTGTGTTTATTGATTTCAAATGGAAATAATAACAGGAAATGGTTGGCAGTAATTTGCATATTGTTTGTGGCAAAACAGGTTCTCAAATAGTTTTAATGCTTTCTTGTTATCCCATTTAGGAGACCAATTTGCTGGCCTTTTTGATTATACATGGGACAATTTGATGAGTTGTAAATCATTGTGTCTTCCTCTCTGTACCCTTACCACTCTTAGTGTTCAATCTGTATTGATGAAAAAGTCAATGTCATTTGAGTTCATTAGGCTTTTTCTTTTTCTTTTGAGAATCATGACACCTTACAAATGATTCATGTTACAATTTGTAATTAGCTTGTTTTCTCAAAAGTGTGTGTGTGCATACTTCTGAGAGGGTATTAAACTGAGTTTTAGAGTTCTCCTGGTCAAGAATATCTTAGAGAGCTGAATAATTCCAGTGCTAAATATTGTGAGTTATGATCTCATCTCCCATTATTGGAAATTAAAATTTTTTTTGATTCAGATAGTTCAGAAAATTGTTATCAAATTTACTTATTTAGTGGTTTTTATAAAAAGTGACACTATAAAAAGGAAACTGCCTTCTTTGTAAGAGATTAAGTCAGAGTAGATGTAATCTGTCTCTTTTGCCTTTCTCTTCCTTTTTTTGTCATAATTGAGAAAAAAGTAAACCATTTTTAAAAAATGATTAGGGTTTTGATCTATTGCTCAAATATACTGGACTTTAAAAAACATAATATTCTTATAAAGCAGTGTAGTTGGCAATGTTTTCCATAAAGTGCCAGGTAGTAAATATTTTAGGCTTTGTGGGTCATATAGTACCTGCTTGTTGTAGAGAAAGCAGCCACAGACAATCTATAAATGAATGAGCATGGCTGTGTTCTAATAAAACTTTATTTGCAAAAACTAATGGCAGGGCTAGATTTGATTCATGGGCCACAGTTCACTAGCCCCTGTTCTTCAACAGTTTTTCTGAAGAGCACAAGTTACTTTTGAAAATATTGGGAAAAGTCTCTGGTGTTTAGACTTTTCTATTTATTTTTTAGTAAAGATTACCTCATTTCTCTAAGCTTTAGAAACTTAGACACTACTGAATTGACAATACTTGAGGGCTCTTGACTTTTCCTAGGTGAATGTCTCATCATTTGCTTTAGGTTTGACTTCTTTTGGGAAAACTTAGTGGTGTCATTTGTTTGCAACTTGAGGGTAAGTTTTTTCTTGGTCATGGCTTAGAATCTGAGAATGTCTATTCTAAGGTTGGGGTAAGAGTTCTAGGGGTACTCACTTGAGTTTCTGGATTTCTTGAGGAGGGTCTGAGATTTCCTACTCTGATTCAGACATATTTTATTAGTTCTTTATGACGTCATAATATATAAAAATTTGGCTTTAAGATTTATTTCAATAATATTAGTTACTTGTTTTGAGTTTCATATAGGAAGTCTGGAAGCCAATTCACCATTTGCTTATGCAGTGGGTTTCCTACTATTCTCAAAATTCTAACATGGACTACTTTGGAGAGTGGGGATAAGGGTTTGGACTTGTGCCTATATCTCCTTTCCTCTTCAACCCCAGCCCTAATAGTTTGACCTATTTTATTCCCGTGGAAAAAAATGATCCTGTGCACTAAAGAGTTATAAAACTGTTCTTCTAGGATATATGAGAAACTTTGGAGCCCCCATTTTGGGTTAAGGTGCCTTTTTTTATTAGAATAGCAGTAGCAGGTCCTCATCTCTGAGGCAATTACCTGCATACCTCATGGGTTTTAGGGACCTGTTAATGATATTCCATTGGGTCCATAGGTTCTTTGCTAACAGACATTAACTTCATAGGGACTGTGAGCACTATGAAATCCCATGCAGAATTCTCATGAATGTGCATTTAAAATTTTAAAAAAGAATACAAAGGTCTTTCTGCTTCAATGTGTGCAGCAGGAGTGGTTGTGGGTATTCGCTCACTCATTCAACAGAAACCTATCACATACCTTTTGACACGTGCCAGGTATATTGTAGACATAGAAAATCCAGAGGTGAAGCTTACATTTCTAGTATTCCCTCTCACCCCAGGAGCTTTCAAGTCCTCATAGGAGTGGTGGGGAAGAAGTAACTTTGTTGTTGTTGTTGTTTTTAAGAAGTAACTTTGAACTGAAGAGGTTGTGCCTAGTCCTTAGGTCTGCTGATTCTCTATTATTGGACCATTGCTGTGTCCATAAGTTGCCTGTCCTTAAACTGTTGCTTTCTCTTCTCAAGGATTGTCAGTGATATCTGTCCATCTTCTTCAGACAGGAACAGGGCTCCAGTCAGATCCGACTATGCTTACAGGTCCTGAGAGCCATTCAGAAACTGGCCCGCGAATCATCCATCATGGCCCGAGAAACCTGGGAAGTCTTATTGTTGTTTCTTCTGCAGATTAATGACATACTTCTAGCCCCTCCAACTGTTCAAGGTTTGTTTATCTTATTTTTTCTAATTTATTTCTGAGCTTCAAATAGTTTACTTTTAAAATCATGAGTAGTAGACTCAGTGGGGATTTAAAATTTGGCGTGACAGTTGACAAACCAAGGTTAACAATTCTTAGAATAGAAACCCTGAAAGGCATGATATGAAGTTATTTTATCTTCAGTGATGGTAGGGTGAATTAATATATTTTTTATAATGATAGGAACAGTAGCTTATCTATATCTATATATATAAAAGCCCAGTGACTGTTACAGCGGAACGACCGGTCTCTATGATGCGCACTGACCACCAGGCGGCAGATGCTCAATGCAGGAGCTGCCCTCCGGTGGTCAGTGCACTCCCACAGCGGAACGCTGCTCAGCCAGAAGCCGGGCTCACAGCTGGTGAGCGCAGTGGCGGTGGTGGGAGCCTCTCCCGCCTCTGTGGCAGCACTAAGGACCCCTAAGCGGACATCCCCCAAGGGGTCCCGGACTGCGAGAGGGCACAGGTGGGCTGAGGGAACCCTCCCCCCACCCCCAGTGCACAAATGTTGTGCACAGGGCCTCTAGTAGATTTTATAAATACTTATTCTGTAGAATTAATGTGAGGATTATGGGAGGTTGCTCATCTTAGGCACTCATTCTTTCCTCTCTCCCCAATGTGCTCCTGTCCCACTTGCTAGAAGATTAAGATCTTGGATAAAAACTGAGCAGGGTGACTTGAAAACTTTCAAAGTGATAACTGGTTAACACTTGGAGTGCGGGAAACGAGTTAAGTCGGCTCGCGTGAATTGCGCGTACTCCGCGGGAGCCGTCTTTAACTCGGTTCATATAGATTTGCGGTGGAGTGCGGGAAACGTGTAAACTCGGGCCGATTGTAACTGCGTATTACCAAATATTTGTTTGTAATCCACCCTTTTGGTGGATGGAACAAAACCAAAAGACAGAGCCATCTTATATTTTGGCGGGAAATTCACCCGCACTCCAAGTGTTTAATATAGCTATGATTTCCTTCATAGGCACTCCCAAGTACCATTTCTTGTTCTTACTATTAAATTGTTTGAAAGTAAAAACTTACCGTTGCAGTTATTTTAATTTTTTGACCAGCCCTTTTATATCAGTGAATTGAAGATTCTGCTTTAAAAATAAGTATATCAAAGATATGTTTTCTTTTTGTTGGTAAGGTGGAATTGCTGAGAATCTGGCAGAGAAGTTGATTGGTGTTCTCTTTGAGGTTTGGTTACTAGCTTGTACTCGGTGCTTCCCAACACCTCCATATTGGAAAACAGCTAAGGAGATGGTGGCTAACTGGAGGCACCACCCGGCCGTGGTGGAGCAGTGGAGCAAGGTCATTTGTGCACTCACTTCAAGGTAGGTTATTGTCATTGACTTACCTTCCTTAATCCGTCTTACCTAGTTCTGTCTTTTTTGGATTCATGGAATACATTGTAAAAAGCCTATACCTTGTGTCTATTATTGTGGTACTTTGATACAGAATCAGGCCAATTTTATTGTGTTTTTATTTTATTATTATTTTTAATCCTCACTCGAGGATATTTTTTCCATTGATGTTTAGAGAGAGTGGAAAGGAGGGAGGGAGGGGGGAGAAAGAGAGAGGGAGAAACATCGATGTGAGAGAGACATATTGATTGGTTGCCTCCCGCACTTAGATTGAACCTGCAACCCCAGATGTGCCCTTGACCAGGAATCCAACCCTTGACCCTTTGGTGCATGGGTCAACCCTCTAACCACTAAACACACAAGCCAGGGCAAATGAAGATTCTTTTTTAAACATAGTCACAATACCATTATTGTACCAAAAAAATCTTAACAATTATTTAATATTAACCATTGGATGTTCAAATGTCCCTGAATGTCTCAATATCCTTTTCTTTTTTTATAGTTGGTTCTATTGAATCCAAAAACAAAAAAAGATTTAGATACTGTATTTAGTTGACATATTTCTTAAGCCTATTTTAAATTATAGGTTTCTCTTTCTCATTTTTATTTCTTTGTACTTTTTTTTTGGTTGAAGAAATTGGGTTGCTTGTTTTATAGTATTTCACATTCTGGATTTTCCTGATTATGTTCTACTTGTGTTAATTAACATGTTCCTTTATTACCTGTATTTCCTGTCAACTGGGAATTAGATCTAGAGATTTGGTATGATTCAGGTTTGATTAGGGGGGGCATAAATAATTTGTGGGTGGTACTCTGTATTAGAAGGTAGATTGCTCTTTTTCTGAATTAATAAAATATTTATATCTTTATCACTATTTAAACTAAACAATGAACATTTGGAATATTCTGTTGATTCTGGTAATCTTGCTGAATGTCAATATTATACACCTATTTTTAAATAATACTTTTATCTTGATTGTAAAAGTAATACATACTTATAATTAAAAAATTTGGAAGGTGTATGGGGAAATATTCATCACTTACAGACAACCAGTGTTAACAGTTGAATGAATTTTTTCCCATTTCTCTTTTAAAAAAATCAGTTTGAGATTTATTCACTGTACTATCTGCTTTTTTTCATTTAATGTCTGATTTTTATCATATATGCCTTTTTTTTCATAACTAGATCTTGAGATCATATTTTTAATGGCTTTTTAGTTTTTCATGGAATTAGAATTCATTTAATGATTTTCCTATTTTTGCTCTGGCCAGTGTGGCATAGTTGGTTGGACATTGTCCCATGCACTGAAAGGTTGCCAGTTTGATTCCTGGTCAGGGCACATATCTGGGGGGCACGCAGGAGGCAGCTGATGGATGTTTCTCTCCCTCTCCCTTCTCTCTCAAAATCAATAAAAAAATCTTAAAAAATAATAATTTCCCTATGTTTTTTTTATATTGATGTTGTTACCAGTGTTTTACTTTAAAAATGTTATTGATATGAATGTTTTATCCATTGTCTATGTGTATATTCTGGTTATTTTATTAAGATCTAATCTCCAGATGTGTAATAAAGAGCTTTGAACAGTTTTTAGTACATTTGGAATATTACTGTTAAATTAAGTAATTGAATTGTTAAATTACTTTTAAGGTACACTATGAATTCTCAACTTTGTGTAAAGCTATTTAGCAGTTATTATTATGAACAAATTATGGCTTAGTTGTGTTGAAGGAATTTGCAGTGAGATAAATCTTAAAAATAATATAAATAACTTATTACTTATATAACTAGATAATTATATAAATACTGGAGGCCCAGTGCACGAAATTCATGCAAAGGGCTCGGCCCTCGCAGCCACAGCTTGCCTCAGCCCTTGCAGCCCCGGCTTCATCTGGAAGGTTGTCTGGAAGGTCGTCTGGAAGGTCGTTCAGCTGTCCGGTCTAATTAGCATATTATGCTTTTATTATTATAGATAATTCCATTTTGTGATTATCATTAAACTAGAGGCCCGGTGCACGAATTCGTATACTAGTGGGGTCCCTTGGCCTGGCCTGCGGGATTGAGCTGAAACCGGCTCTCCAACATCCCCGAGGGGTCCTGGATTGTGAGAGGGTACAGGCCAGGCCGAGGGACCCCACTAGTGCACGCTTGGGGCCAGGGAGGGATGCAGGAGGTTGTCCAGCTGGGGAGGGATCGCGGTAGGGCCCCAGGGCCTGTCTGACCTGTCTCGCTCAGTCCCGATCGGCCGAACCCCAGCAGCAAGCTAACCTACCAGTCGGAGTGTCTGCCCCCTGGTGGTCAGTGCATGTCATAGCGACTGGTCAACCAGTCGACTGTCTGGCCCCTGGTGGTCAATGCACGTCATAGCGAGCGGTTGAGTGGCCTTAACATATCATTAGCATATTACGCTTTGATTGGTTGAACAGCCAACCGGACACTTAGCATATTAGGCTTTTATTATATAGGATTATTATTTATGTCATTTGCAATTATTTATAAACAAAAAGTTGAAAATAATTTATAATTGTATAAGTTAGTAATATATAACTTTAAATTTTTGTTAAATGCTATAGCGTTATGTAATTGTAAATATCTATCTATATCTATATCTATATCTATATCTATATCTATATCTCTCTATATATAAGCTGAACGACCGGAGCGACTGGTCGCTATGACACGCACTACGGCTGGCCAACCCACCCAATAGGGGCGGGGCTGGCTGGCCAACCTCCTGTGGCCCCTCCCCCCAGCCAGCTGGCCCCAGTCGGCCCCAATTGGGGTGGGCTGGGCGGACCCCACCCATGCACGAATTTGTGCACCAGGCCTCTAGTATATAATATAAAGCTGTCATTTATATGATAAAATATAAAATTTATGTGTAATATTTAGTTCATACAACTTATAATGTTATAAATTTAAATGATATGTAGTTATATAAGTTATAATTTATAAAATATAGTAAAATATAAATATAGCTATTATAAGTAATAATTTATTATAAACAAGTGAATAAATGTTTTAAAATCCTTTTATAAACTAGAAATTTGGCTGGTTTGACTCAGTGGTTAGAGCGTCAGCCTGCACACTGAAAGGTTGCGGGTTCAATTCCCGGTCAAGGGCAGGTACCTCTGTTGCAGGTTTGATCCCTGGCCCCTGATGTGCGGGAGGCAGCCAATTGATGTATCTCTCTCACATTGATGTTTCTCTGTCTCTCTCCCCCCCGCCTCCTCACTTCTTCCACTCTCTCTAAAAATCAATGGAAAAAAATATCCTCAGGTGAAGATTTAAAAAACAAAACTAGAAATTTGCTTCTAATTTGTTTTATAAACGAGGGTTTTATTTATCTTACTCACTTCAGTGAGGTATAAATACATGTTTCATCTATTTTCTCTTGTATTTTAATGCTTGAACGTATTATTCATTCTAGTTAAGAAATGAACTTAGTGGTGTGCTTTTCTTTTTTTTCTAGATTGCTACGCTTTACATATGGTCCTTCATTTCCTCCATTTAAAGTTCCTGATGAAGATGCCAGTCTGATCCCTCCTGAAATGGATAACGAGTGTGTTGCACAGACATGGTTTCGCTTTTTACATATGTTAAGGTACTGTTTAGTTTTCATGTGCTCTTTACCCAGTAAGTGTCTAGGGCAGAAACCATGCTATAACTTTCTTAATGGATTTCAGAGTGTCAGGTGGACCCAAAGTGGACAGCACACCCATCTACATCATGTGCCTTCTGCTCTTCCTGTTCCATAGGGTCAGGGTATGCTCAGCTGCTCTTGGTCTGTACTCTCTAGGAGCATGTTTCCTGTGGTATTTGCAGCATTTTGTTCTCTTGCCTGTTGCTACAGCCTAGATGATATTTTTCTAGGAATTTGTCACATTTTGTGGGGCCTGGAGCCTACCTTGCTCCTCTCTGTGACCTGCACTGACGGTCAGTATGGTTCTCAGAGCCTTTCCTCTAGTAACCTTGTTTAAAATTTTGCTGAGGGATACTATAAAATTTCAGAGGAATAAATTGCTACTTTCTGCTATTTCTTTCTGGTAATTCTATTCAATTCAGCTTCATTGCTTCCTACCTTTCTCTCTACTAGCCCTATCTTTGTGCTCTATGGAACTTTTGTTCTGTTGTGTACTGTCTTGATTCTTAAACATTTTCCTTGCATATCTTTTCTTTCTGGTTTGACTAGCCTTATTTTTCTATTTGTGTACTAGTGATTCTAATTTATTCTGTATGACCTTTTTATAAATTAAGAATGTTAACCATTTTCTGTCTATTTTTTTCCCAATTTGTTTTTCATCTTTCAGTTTATATTCTTAATCTATTTTTCTGTAATTTTGTGTTTATTTAAGATTAGAAAAGTGTTTTCTGTGTTCTGATTTTCATTGGAATGTCTCTACTACATGAAATTTTGAGTGGAATGTTAGTTGATATTAGTTTTTGTTTGTTTTTTAAGTTCCTGGTTTCCTAAGCATTCAAAAAATTTAAAATTTAAAAGTGTAAGTGAAATCAGGAAGAGTACTGAATTTTATTCAAATCATATTTTGGGATTTATTTTAAACGATTAAAAGTTTTTTCTTTTTTACCTGTTGATGTGATATATTAATTTATATTAATTTATTTCAATGTGGAGGTTCTGTTTCAGTAAATCTAGGTCGAATTTGGATTTTTAACAGGCTCTCTACTTGTGTCAGATATACAGAGCATTGGGAGCTGTAGGAATGCAGTTACCCATTCTCATTTCAAATTTTTTTTACTCTGTGCTCTAATAATTTGTGTACCAGTAAAATCATTTCAGATTTACATGTGGAGAAGCTGGTATAAGCTTTCTGGTACTGCTACTAGACTTATCCCCTCTATCCCACATGATGAATTGTAGTTCTATGGATACAATCTACTAACACTAGAAGCCCATATATATGGCCCCTTGTTCCCACTTGCAATTAAGAAGAGTCTGAGTGGGTAGAAAAAGGTTTCAAAGGGCAGAGCAGTTATAAACCATTGTTTTGTATTTCTCAGCCTAGTTCTTTTGACCTCATAGTTAGTGGAAATTCTTTCCAGGTACTGCCTGTAGGTTTAAACAATATCACTTTGAGTTGGCGAGGCCATTTAATGGATAGCTACGTAGCCCATTTTGAGTAGAAATCTAAATCTATTTTTTAGTGGAAATATTTAAAATTATTTACACATAAAATATATGTTGTTTTGAAATATATGGCTTTAGTACATACACATGAATACAAACAATCCAAATTTTAAAATAACTGAATATGTTAGTATTAAAGCAAAATTTTTTTCTTGGAGTTATTGATTTATTTACAATTTTTATTCCATTGCTTAATTCCAAACATATTAGAAAAATATCCATGTATACTCTTAAAAATTTCTAGTCTCATTGGATTCTCATTCTTTGAATAGGCAGAGCAAGTTCATGTAAACATACTGCAGGTCTTCTGTAAAGAAGTGCTGATGTTTGAGTCCCTAGCCTATTAACCCTTTGTACGCCATAAGCGTCTGTAGACGCAAGCAGCGGACCTTCCCCACACACCATGCGTGTCTATAGCCGCAAACCTCCCATATCAACTCTGGTCGCCCAATTTTAAAATCAGACTTGTTGGTGACATCTCTGGGTTTGTAAAGAAAATTATGGTAACTTAAATTCGTAAATATTCCAGCACATATGGAAGAAATGGGGATGGTTTCTGTTTTGGACGCATGGCAGTTAACTGGTTAAATACAGATAAGCCTCCTCTCTGAATTAAATAGGGACAAACAGCCCTGTTCTTAAAACAGATTGCATGCAGTTTATTGTTAAAGAATCTTTTAAATGTTTAATTAATTTTTCTCTCTCTTTTGATAGTAATCCTGTGGATTTGAGTAACCCAGCCATTATAAGCTCTACTCCCAAATTTCAGGAACAGTTCCTGAATGTGAGCGGAATGCCACAAGAATTGAATCAGTATCCCTGCCTTAAACATCTGCCTCAAATATTTTTTCGTGCCATGCGTGGGATCAGCTGTCTGGTGGATGCATTCCTAGGTGAATTTTGTGTATGTTGCTAGATGTTTGAAGAGCTACATGTAGATAACTCTAGAGTCTAGTTTTATTTATTTACTTATTTATTTATTTTAGAGTCTAGTTTTAGGTACTATTATGAAAGCCCAAGAAAAGGATGAATGGATTTGATTATAAATAACAAACTAGGAAAATTTATTTGGAACAAATATAGAGGGTTTTTGTTGTCTTTATATGAATAGACCAGACAGTGCTAAGAAAAAGAATAAGACCTGGTAAATAAATAGACAAAGAATATGATTAAAAGATTTGCAAAAGAAAACTGTTCATTCTTACTAGTAATTCAAGAAAATACAGATTCAAATGTATTATGTATCTTCTTATGTTTATCATTAGGAGGCAAGTTATACCTTTTATGAACTATTTTGAACTGCTTTTCACATTTTAGGACTATGAAAAGTCAGAATTGTTTTTACCTGTTGAAAGTCAATGATATTTTAATATATCACTTTCTAAAGCATTTGTTATGTGTACTTGTTACTATAATGCATACATAATATACAGGGTGGGCAAAAGTAGGTTTATAGTTGTAATATAAATAATACAATAGTTAATAAATAGTATAAGAATACATTCTGTGTTTTGTGTACTCACAACTGTAAACCTACATTTGCCCATCCCTGTATTAGGTCAAATTAAGTTTGACTGTCATATAACAACTAAAAATACCAGTGTTTGAAACAAGATAGTTTACTTACACATGTGTTAAACCCAGGGCTAGGCAGTACAGGGCTGCTATAGCAGTTCTACCGTTGTCAGGCACGTGCATCTTGTGGCTTGGCTCTCTATTCCTTCTGCACTCTCTCATGGGCCATGATGATTGAATGAGTTAGTTCCAACTATCCTCTTCAGGAATTACGAAGGAAGGAGAGCCTACACTTGATTGGCCCTTCTAAGGAGATTCCCAACATCACCCACTTTTCTGTGGTCAGAACATGGCCACATCTAGCTGTAAGGGAGGCTTGAAAATGTAGTTGTTGATTCTGTGGAGCCAGGCTGAGCTAAAATTTGTGTTCTATAACTCAGGAAGAGAGGGCAAATGGGTATTCGGAGGATACTAGCAGTCCCTGCTGTAATCTGTACTAAACATTCACTGGTGTTGCTTGAGGAAGATTTTCTGACCACATATTTTGAACTATGAAGAATAACTCCATTTGTCTTTTCTTAAAGGCATTTCTAGACCCCGATCAGATAGTGCTCCTCCAACACCCGTGAATAGATTAAGTATGCCTCAAAGCACTGCTGTCAGTACCACCCCACCACATAATCGAAGGCATCGGGCTGTTACTGTGAATAAGGCCACCATGAAGACAAGCACAGTAAGTTTTCATCACCATTATTATGCTGTATAATGTTGACTTTTTGATCTGCTGTCCTTTTTTAAAAGTCCTGTTATTTTTTCAAACTTTTCATGAGTGTGCATATATTTTTGTGTCCTTCTAATAGGTTAGTACTGCTCATGCCTCGAAAGTTCAGCACCAGACATCCTCCACTTCTCCTCTGTCAAGTCCAAATCAGACAAGTTCAGAACCCCGGCCACTGCCTGCCCCTCGGAGACCAAAGGTTAACAGCATCTTGAATCTCTTTGGATCATGGTTATTTGATGCAGCATTTGTTCACTGTAAACTTCATAATGGGATTAACAGAGACAGCAGCATGACTGGTAAATATTGCTCAAGAAATACGTTATCATTTTTCCTTTTCTTTCTTTTCTTTTTAATCTTTCCTACCTGCAAGATTAATATGTATCTTAAAAAGCTCTCTGTCTCTGACAAAGCAGTGTCTTGTTTTTAACCCCTTCCAGCTGAACAATTTTGGAAGTTTTGCTACCTGTCCTTTTTATGTTTGTTTTGTGAGGTTTGGCTTTTTCTGGTTTTATTAGACACACTTCATGTTAGCCATTTTTGTTGTTAAATCAAATTTCTTGTAGTAGGTGACCTGGAAGTTCCCTTCATGTCAGCCAGGATAATAATATTGATATCAAGAATTAAATATTTTAACCAGAAATTTATTCAGAAGTGTTTTCTTAGATTTTGACAACCATTCACTCATTAGTACATATAAATATCAGAAAACTTCTGCTTCACAAGACTCTAACTTCTCAGGTTTTAGTATAGAGAAATTTATTTCTAGTGTACACTTTCAAAAATACCATTTGTTCTGAAACTAAAAAAGACTGGTGGACAGTAACTCAACCCTGATAGCTTTACTTAGGTTTTATTATAGAAACACCATCTAAATAAAATCTGATTTATTTTTGTCATCTTACCATTATATTTGGAAGTAATTGCATAGGGTGCAGGATGAGATGTAGGGTAGTGCAGAATGTACTGAGGGAGGACTATTTATGACATATCTTATAGAGCTGAATAATAATAATGGCTATCATTTATTGAGCTGAATTACTCTGTGCCAGGCACTGTGCTATCTGCATTAGTGAGTGTATTGGTTGTTTGGTAAGAAAGCACTTTTCCACTGGTGTTGGAAATAGCTTGATGAAAAAGGAGGCTTAATTGCATTAGTTTATGCCTCTCTAGGGAGAATGTTAGTTCCAAAGATAAAACTAGCGTCCACAAGGATCTCTGCTTTCTTTCACAAATGCATTTTTGCCTATTTGTATCATTTCAGAACTAAGGTCTGTGTCTGTTAGCATTATATATGTATAATTATTTTGGATATTCTTACAGATCTTTTATATAATTTAGAAAAGTTGTGACTATAAAGACATTTTCAGGAATATAATTTGAGATTGCATGGTTGAGTTTAGGGATTCCTTTATTTATTTTGTTCAAATTTAAACACTTTGTATCCAACCATTTTCATATTATCTTTTATTTACAAGTTTAAAAGTGGTGTTTATTTATGGATAAGTAAATGTACTTATGATGACTAAATGAAAACTTAAAAACCATTTTTGGCTTATGTTTTCTTACATTCATGTGTTTATATTTTTAGTTTTCTGAATTATGTTTATATTTATATATTCTAGAATGAGTCAGACATATTTTTACTTTTATTAAGATGCAATTTTTACAGTGTAACTTTTGGATATCAAGCTGTTGACACTAAAATCCCTGAATCCAGAGTGGTTCAAGCTGCTGCCTCCTTGGTGGGCTTGCTTAAAGGGAATTTACAGATCTTCCTGCTCTCTAGGGATTTTGTAACAGCTTTGCTCACCCTCTTGTTCCAAAAGATAGAAGTCAGAATTCAAATCATATGTGGGCAACAAATTCTTACTTTTAACTCTTACCATTTTCCTTGGTGGGGAAAGGATAGAAACTTCTCTTCCCTGATTGTGTTCAGAGATGAGAAAGGCTGTTCCATTACCCAGGAGACTGGAAGTGTCCAGATAATTGAGTGCGTTAGAGTGCTGTTGGGTGCCACTTTTGAGGTCCTAGGGGTGGTGGGAAGTTTGGAAATACTAACACTGTTAGTCTGTTTTCTAAATACTGGCTGTCATCAAGGAATTCTGCCATCCAGTTCACCTGTAACTTAAAATGTTTGCTTCTATGAACTGGTTAGCTTTAGATTTACTTGACAGTACACTGTGCTTTGTAACATTGAGCTGGGAAGGGTTAATGAACTAAAAATTTAATGCACGTTATGGGCAGTTCAAAACCTCAATTCTTTTGTAGTTGTGTAATTTTCTTTGTTCATTTCTTTTGCATGATACAAAAATTATATTTTTGGATCTGAATGCACAATTTTCTATGTTTTTGAATTAGCTTGTGGTATCATAACGCTTTTAATCTAATTTTTAAAAAGCTAAAAAGCTTCTTAACTTACTGTAAGATTTCACCATCTTTAAAGTATTTTATAATTACTGCTGTCCTTTGATTTGTTTCCATTTATTTCTATTATCTTGCAGCATCTTTTATCCAAATTCTTCTTTCTTATAAATCTTGTAAGTAGGAACCAGAAGCTTCTCCTTAATTGCAGTCATGTTTTTATTTTTTTCATAATTCCATTAAAAAATTTGATTGTCATTGTCTCTTGTAGTTTTTGCACTGGGAAGAAAAATACTTTTCTGTGTTTTGAATGGGGAAGATTGTTGGCAAAAGCAAATTAATCTGCCTGAATCAGTCCCATTATTTCTGTATACTAGTCTGGTCATGTCATGAATTCCAGGATTTTGCACTAACTGTGTTTTGGCTTTTTTTTGTTTGTTTTTAAGCTTTAAGCTTATTTTTATACAGATTTAATGTTTGATTTGTATGCATTTTGCATGTAGTGTTTTTTAAATGTATTATTGCTGGATAGCTTATTCAGGACTAAAAATGGCTCATGGGAAGTTGCATAAAGATTTATACTTGACTCTGCATTCTATTAAAAATATTACAAAATAATTTAAACATTTCATGTAGAGTGATAAAAGATTTCAGAGTGGTTTTCAATACACTGTGAAATCTTTTATTAAAAATAAAAGCAACTTTCGAAGGGCTTCTGTTTCAGTGACAATGAATGACCATGATAGATAATCTTTCTTACCAATCCAATTTTCTGATCTATCAACCTCCAGTTAGCTGCTGTCTATGGTTTTTAAAATTCATTCTCATTTTGCTTGGTTGGGCGATTCTTTGGTGTGTGTTTTGGAGTTGGGTGGGTGGTGGGAATGCTCTTTCTTCCTACCCATTACTCATCCTTACTTTGCCCTCTCCCTAAAATATACAGACTGGCATGGGATTGCCCATTCAATAATGATGTTTGTCTGGGGTAATGTGAAAATTGCAGTAGCTCTTTGTCTTAATGTTTAAGCATCTTTCTATAGGGGAAGTTAAAAACAGAATAAATAATAGAAAAGCCAAATTTTGTATTATATATCTGTATATGAGTACAGATATATACAAATGTACTTTGATGATTGAAAATTCAGTTGGAAAATACTTCTAGTAGAATTTGTTAAACTGACAATACCACTATAGATTAATTGTTACCCATTTTCCAAGAAGATTACAGAGAGCCCTTAAAAAAATTAAGACATAGTTGCTAAACGAAAGAATTATTGGATTTTATTCAAGTAGCTATTTAATGACACCAACATTTGATCTTTGTGTCCAGGGTCCCATGAGCCTATTTGCATATTGACAAATATAATAAAACCCTCCTTTTCTCTCCCCAGCCATTACAACACAAGCTAGCATGGAGTTTCGACGGAAGGGGTCACAAATGTCTACAGACACCATGGTTTCCAATCCCATGTTTGATGCAAGTGAATTTCCTGATAACTATGAAGCAGGAAGAGCTGAGGCTTGTGGGACACTGTGTAGGATTTTTTGTAGCAAGAAGACTGGAGAAGAGATTCTGCCAGCTTATTTATCCAGGTCTTAGAATTTTTTTATTTTTCCATTTATGTAGTTTGGGTAGTGAAACTATATTGTAACAAGCCTTGGTAGGCTGAATTGATAAGTAAATGTTGGTTTGAAATACCTGAAAATGTCAGTAAGTAATCAAAATTTTTGCTTGAATTCTTCCATATTACTTGCCTTATTAGATTTGGTAAAGACCCTTAAGATCCTTTTAATTTTAGAACTATTATTCTATTTTATTTGACTTATAATTTTGGAGAGATTTGGAAGGATTATACTAATTTTTAAATTAATTTTTAGCCCAGTATTTGACACTGTAGATGGTTCACAAATGTTAACTGTAGATCCTGCTTTTAAGGAGCTTATTTTCTCGAGTGAGCAAAGCCATGTACACAAGTTACAATGATCCAGTAGTAATAGGAAGTTGGTAGGAGAAAAGCACAAAGTGCTGTCACCATTCAGAGGAAGAAGCAGCATACACTTACCCTGGGGGTTCAGGAAAGAGTTACAGAGGATTGAATGATTGTGCTGGGTCTTCAAAAAGATGGGTAGTATAAGCAAGTTGGGTAGGGTCATCTTATCCAGATTTATGACTTCAACCAATTTTCGTGAATGCCTCTGCCATCCATTCAGTTAGTTGCTCATGCCAGAAACTAGGAGTCATTTTAGTCTCCACTTCTCTTCAGGTACATCTTTAGTTGGTCAACCAACTCCAGACTTTCTGCTACTTAGTGCTCTTTCTAATCTCTCCACTTTGTCCCAGCCATGACCCTTTAGGTCTTTTACATTTTTATGAAATTAACTTGAAATGGCCTATTTTTGTTGCCCATCTCAACTAATCATTCGCACATCTGCTGAAGTTATATTAATATCAACAAGAGCATTCAGGTGTCTGTGTATCTGCTAGGTTCTCAGGAGAGAGGTTTAAACGTACTATCAGAGGGAATAAAGCATATAGATATGAAACAGAATGGTACCTTCAGGGTACCAGGAGTATCTTAATAGGCTCTTAGTTTTAGGAGTATCTTAATAGGCTCTCAATATGACTTAAGCAAAAGGAAAATCATTTATGATAAAATAGTACCATTTAATACATTCGAAGGTCAGGATATGCAGCAGGGCCTCATGATGGGCAGGAACCAGCATCTAGAAAGTGTTCAAGGACCAGAATGGGTTTTCCTCCTTTCTGAATTTTCTGTCTTCATGGTCTTCAAGAACTGCTTCATTGTTCTTTGCAGATCGTTTTCTTATATTGCAGTATTCTAAGTTCTCAGTTTCATGGCCTTTGTCTAGGTGACCAGCAGGGCCAGTTAGCATCTCTCAATCCTAATTTCAAATTCCTGAGAAAGAGAATCTGATTAATCAGGTGTCTACCTCTGGTTTAGTCATCTATAGCTGTAAGAGTGGGTCACATGGAATGCTGGCACCCCTTGTGTGGGAGGGAGTACATTTCTCAGGAGGGAGAATATTGGTTAGGGAGATACCACAAATGGTAGCAGCAGCAGGAAGGATGAAGGTTATGACCATGGGCTTTCTGTCTGGTCCATAAGACTGGATAGGACCAACCAAAAAAGCATATTTGTGAGGGGGCCAATGATGAGCTTAGTTTTGATCTTGAAGTGTCTTTGGGGTATTTATCAACAAGTATTTATGCCATACACTGCACAAGGATTACTGGAGTACATCAATAGACATGTCTTGCCCTCAGGTATCCAGTATACTTTTGGCTAATAGATCTGGAGCTCAGGTGAGAGGTATGGGGTAGAGACTGAGTTGATTATATTCAGTGGCTTAAGTAGTGTTTAAAACCAGGCTAGTGGAAGAGACAGCTTAGAAAATTATCTAAGCTTGGCAGCCTGAGGAACACCATTACTAGAAGGCAGGCGGAGTAAGAGGATTTATTAAAAGGAAATAACCACAGAGGTCAGAAGAATAAGGAGAGAAGAAGGGAGTAATCAGAGGTTTGAGTGCTTTAAAAAGGCAGAGTCAGTTAAGACTTAGGCATGTCTTCTGGTTTTAGCAATGAAATGGCCTTTGTTTATTTGCTAATATAATTTTAGTTTGGTTCTAGGGAGAAAAGATGGATTGAAATGTGTTGAGCAATGACCAGGAGGTGGGGAAGCTGTTTCGGAAGAGTTTTGCAGAGAGGAAAAGTGCCTTATAGTAGTAGAAGAGTAAACCTGTAGAGTTGCTCTTGAATGATGGAAGATTGAATGCTTAGTTGATTGCAGGTTAGAGGAGCAGGTTAAAAGTAAGGTATACTCAATGTAAGGTACACTTTAGGTATATTCCTATACGGAGTCTTATATAACATCATGATGAATGCAGGGTTGAATGAGGTTTCTTTCTTTGTCTTTTCCAAAATTATGGGTCACAGAGAAAAAGGCACATTTTTCAATACAATAATTCCTCCAGTTTATTGATAATTACTGCAGCCATTTGCTTTGTTTTGGTTGCTTTATTTGTAGGCACCTGTAAGTTTGAGTTGTAAGGCTTCAAAAAGGTATAATAAACATGAATATTTTTTTCATTAGGAAAGATAATTTTGGTTCTTAGTGTTTTTGATTCAGAATTGTTCTAACTTCAGTAATGCCTTTAAAGGTTAGAAGTAGTGAAGAGTGCAAAAAGACTTTCTGGTGAGTTTGTAGAAAATATTAATAATTATGGAAACAGCTGACCAGCAGTTTGTTTAAAATTTTTTTCTTGCTTTCCTAGATTTTACATGCTTTTAATTCAAGGTTTGCAGATAAATGATTATGTGTGCCATCCTGTCTTGGCCAGCGTTATTCTAAACTCCCCTCCTTTGTTCTGCTGTGACTTGAAAGGGATTGATGTTGTGGTTCCTTACTTTATTTCAGCTCTTGAAACCATTTTGCCTGACAGGTAAGTTGTCATTCTATATTAGCATATCATTTGTTGGGTTTGGCCTGGTCTGTTTTTGTGGTTCCTCCCCAGTTTCCTAGTTTATCATGTTCAGTTGTCTTCATAGCCCAAGGAGACTCAGGCCACATCAAATGAGTGTAGAATATTCAGACCCACCTCATCCCTGAGCTCCTTCAGTTCTGATTTGTCCATGGGCATGTTTAATCTTCTGTGGCCTGGTTTGGAGGCGTAAGAGCAACCCCGGCTTAGAAGTCCTAAATTTTGTAGAGTAGGCCTTACATTTAAAATCAGTCAATCAGATTCTAGTTTAATTCCATAACAGCAGTTTAACATAGACACACACACACACATTATAGAATATAAACTCAGTGGAAAGTAGGTACTGCAGTCTTTATGAAACCAAACCCAGTGCTTGTATTGTGAAAAATTGGCATAATGTATATTTGGTAATAGCTAAAAACATACTTTAGTTTGGAAATAATAGCAATTTTTTTTTTTTTGGCAGAGAACTCTCCAAATTCAAAAACTATGTAAATCCAACAGAATTAAGAAGATCTTCCATTAATATCCTGCTTTCTTTGTTGCCCCTCCCTCATCACTTTGGCACAGTCAAATCTGAGGTAATGTTTTATTAAATTTTTTTAATATTCTATGTTCTGTTTTGTTGCAAATTCAAGTCAAATTATCTTTTAAAAATGGAACAGGAGCTTTTAAAAACATTTTAAAAAGTATTTTAGTGAATCAACAAAGTTGATTTGTTGGGGAAATTTCTTCTGTTAGTGAGCATGCCTCACCTACCATTTCAAGTGGTGATAGGTTGGTGACATCTGATAACATAGTATGCTGTTGAGTTAGCAACAGACCTAGCACAGTGGCTAATATTAGTCAGATTAAAAGCCTTGCTTGTTAGACTGATCTGCTCTTTGTCCACTGTATCAGTTTCTACATGGGCATAGTGTACCACAGCAATCAATGTTAAATATTATTTGTTTCTTCCATAGGTGGTTCTGGAAGGAAAGTTTAGTAATGATGACAGCTCTTCTTATGATAAACCAATAACTTTTTTGTCCCTGAAGTTGAGACTTGTGAATATACTAATAGGTGCCTTGCAAACGGAAACAGACCCCAACAACACTCAAATGATATTAGGTTTGTGTTCATACATTGTTTTTGTAAGTGAAAAACCAGATAATTTTGACCCAGACATGCTGAGAAGGCAGTGGTTGGTGATGGGAGGCTAAGTCTAATATAGCTCTACTTATTCTGAATCAGAAGCAGAATTTGTTTGCTTTTATATGTGAAAAAATGTAAAGGAGTGAGATGAGGTGAGAAGAGCATTCAGTTGTCTTGGTAAGTCATTTTTGCTTAGTTTCATCTGTGTTCTTTCTTTTTCTCTTTCCCTCTTGTCCTGACCCTTATCCTCTTCTCTTTCCCTCCCCTTTCTTCTGTTTCCTTTCCTCCCCCTTCTGCCTCTTCCTCTTGCCCATTGTCTGCATATGAAAGTATTTTGAGGTGGGTGTAATTCTGGAAGCTGTGTCAGAACTCTGCCAGGAGGAACATGAAGAGTAGCTGTGCTTCCTCCCTTTTTCCTTATTGTTTCCTACTGTCTCCTAATCATATTGATTGCCTCTTAAATGGCTCCTCATCATTATGGCCACTGGCATATTTTAAGCCCTCATTACTCTCAACTTGATCACTGCAACTCTTCCTTACTGTGCTTTCTGGCATTCATCTAAACAAGCCAATGGCATGGTCTTAGGTATAGGTACTCTGTGGGGAGTGGGATACTAAAGAAGTGAATAGTGTGGCTTTTGCCCTTCAGCAAGTCTCACTGCAGAGGTTGGAATACCCTCACAAAGTAGTCAGATAATAGTAGAAGGCAGTACTGATTGCATGTCATAAGGACATCAGCATGTCCTTAGTATTGAAAGAGAAGAAACCAAAAGATCAAGGAATACTTCATAGGGGGAAGTAGAAGTTAAATTGGATTTTATAGGGCAGAATTTGAATAGACAGAAATGATGGTAGTAGTGGTTGGAGTTAGTGCTCAGGAAGGATAGTATGTTATATAGTGTGAAGGTGAGATAAGTAGAGAAGAGTAAATCCTTTCATTTTTGGAAAGGAGTTGAAGGAACAAAGGTTAAATCTCAATCTGAGAGAGCCTTTAACTTGTAGTGTTTTAAGTTATTCAAATAACATATCACTTGAAATCAGATAATTTCTGTGGTTGATAAGAGTGTTAGTTTTCATTTGCAACAGCATGGATGGAACTGGAGAGCATTATGCTAAGTGAAACAAGCCAGTCACTGAAGGAAAAATACCACATGATCTCACTCTTTCATGGATAATTAAGACCATTACAAACTTTTGAACAATAATAAATACAGTGGCAGAGCTGCCTCAAACCGATTGTCGGACTGCAGTGGGAAGGCCAGGGAGGGTTGGGGGACAGGAGGGAGGGGAATAAGAGATCAACCGAAGGACTTTGTATGCATCCATATAACCATAACTAATGGACATAAGACACTGGGGGGTAAGGGAGGGCAGGGCTTGTCAAGGGTGGGGGGGGGAAAGAAGAAAAAAAAAGAGTGTTAGTTTTGCTTTCCCCTTGTTCTGAAGAGCTCCCTTATACATTCCAAGGAAGAATCAATTGGCATTCTTGCCTTAGATTGGCAAAGCTGTGTCTGTTCTGTCTTTATCCTTTGTGGACAAGAGTACTCTCCCACTGGGATAAGAAAGCAGTATGCTACGCTCGCCATCTTGTTTCTGTCCTAGCCTTTCTAGGGCTATGAGTTCCTTGATGATAAATACATTATATTTTGAAGGCACCTTGCCTTCAGCAAGCCCTGAAATTGAGATGTTAATGGTTGGTCTTTCATTAAAAAATATCTGGTAATGGTCATTTTTATATAAAGCAAGTTTGACCTTCAAATTTATTTTAGGAAAATGTGGTTTTAAAACTTTGGGGGCAGATCAGAATTAGGGCATTTTAATGGAGTATCTTTTCTGACTAGTCAACAGATTTATTGGTAATTTTATGGAAATTTCAGGAATGCTCTATTAAAAATCATGTTTCTGCTATTAATTGAGTTATTTTAGCCATTTTAGTATTCTTGTCATGTATTTAAATAAAATGCTTTTTTTTTTTTTTTTTTTTTTTTTTTGCTGTTGCAGGAGCAATGCTAAATATTGTTCAAGATTCAGCACTTTTAGAAGCCATTGGTTGCCAAATGGAAATGGTAAGATTACCACATGTAATCTGTCAGAAACTATCAACTTCTGATTAAATTTCATTCTAAAATATCGTCCTCGTGATTTTTAAAGGCATTTGTTTGTAAATTCAGCTTATTGATGCAGAAGGATTCTATTTTGAAATATCAGATATTTTGAGGCTTCTTACCTTTTAGTACCTCATCAACTATACATCAGGTTCCTGAGAGATACTGCATGAGAGAAATTCCAGCAAACCCAGTCTTTATTGCTTAAAGCTCTTACTTCTTTTGCTGTGCTGTTGAATTGGCTTGAATAATCTAGAAAAAAACCCCTACTCCATAATTTCTTCTATCCCTAGTAGATATAGTGCTAGCTGTTAGCAAGCATCTAGTTGACTCCTTTTCATCTCATCAGCTCTTGCAAGGCCCTATAGATCAAAGTTTGAAGGTTCCCCAGAGCACCAATGCTCCTAACTTTAAAAAGTTTTCCAGAGACTCCCCGTGTCCCCTGCTTCTGTCTCCAAGATATGTGATTCCTATACCTGGAGTAGAGGCAGTGGATTGGATAAATTAATGGAATACACTAGAATGGTGGATGTAGGATGGGTGATCAAATTATTATTAAGGAAATTATATTCATGTCACATTAGGTGGCTAATAATAAAAACTGATCTGATATAATGGATTGTGTTTACATAGGAAAAAATGAGGGAAATCTTTAACAGATACGTTTGTTAGCTCCTAAACATATAGGAGTTAATCTTTAAACTAACCATAATATATATATATTTTTTTGTATTTTATGGTATAACTATATTTGAGAGTTACTGTTTGTTTGTGTTTTGTTTTTTTTAAGATTGTATTCCTGTTCTGAAGTTTTGCTTGGGAGGCACTTAGGGTATTTCTTGAAGGATGCGGAGTCATTAGCTAGTGAAGATGAAAAAGGTCCTTGGCTGGCCCTTTGTAAATATCACCAAAGAAGACCCCAGAATAGGCACCTGTAATCGTCAGACTCTTCATAAACTTTCAGTAGATAGTGTCTATGCAAAAACACTATAGCAGTTTTAATCCCTTGTCACTTTTTGTCTGTGTATCATTTTGTGCTATTTAGTTGGCACATTTCATTTTATCAGTATGGCTTTTAATGATTGACCTCTATTTATATTGGTAAACTATGGCTATAGCCCTAAAATATTTGATTCATTTTTATTTGACTAGGGTGGTGGAGAAAATAACCTGAAGAGTCATAGTCGCACTAACAGTGGTATTAGTTCAGCAAGTGGTGGAAGCACAGAGCCCACAACTCCTGATAGTGAAAGACCTGCTCAAGCTCTCCTAAGAGATTATGGTAAGCCATGTTTGTTTTTTTGAAATCCAAAGTTTATAGAATAACTTTTAATGTCTAGGTATATAAAACAAATTAGCAAAACATTTTTATGGTCATACTTTTTTATGTATTTAAGAGTAATAGAGAGGCTATTAGTGTAAAGATTAAGAAAATGCAAATAAATCTTATAAATTTAACTCTATAACTTTTAGTAGTTAGATTCTGGGTAGTTTTAGATTTTATAAATGATTATAATGGGTGGTCAGGAAACATTTCTGAATTCTGTACCAGATGCTGGTAACACAGAGTCAAATAGGATGTGGCAGAGTCAGCCAGTACATCAGTTATTGCAATGTGGTAAGGATGAGTGGTGGGAAATGCATGAGATGGGAATCCAGAGGAAAATCTCTCTTTGTGCTTAAAACCTATATACCTTACTATATATCTGGTTAGATTTCTCAGTCACAAATTTTAAGTAAGCGTAAGGAAACAGTTGCCAGAAGAACATCCTATTCAGTGGTGTCCTTTACCCTGGACAATTACTTTATGGTTCTCTGAGTTTGTGGGTACCTTTATGTTTTTATACACAAATAATAGTGTATTGAATCTGTAAGTGTTAATCCAACCAGATTGAAATGAAATTTAGATCCTTAGATGTGAGTTTAATTTTTTAATTATAAGCATTCTCAAGCATGTCAGATATAAGGCATTATGTAGATAGTAAACACATGTAAATACTACATTTATTTAAATTGTTGTCTTACTCATTATGTTCATGGGTTTAAGTATATTATAGGCAAAAATTTGTTTATTTTTCATGCTTTCTAAAACACTTTTACACTAAAGAAATTTTTGCATTGTATGTGTTCTAATTTAAGTGTTTGAAGTGGTTATTGTTTGTTTCAGCATTTTGAACTGGTGTTAGTGAGGTCTGCTTGTAATGTTGTAAAATATTTTTTACTAAGAAATCCAGATTTGTGTTAGTGTCGCATGAATGTGTCTCTTTAATGATCATTCCTTTTTCTGTTGTCACTGCCCACTTTCTGATAGGATCGACAGGTATAATGTCCCTAAAGCTTCCTTTATCAATTTAATTTAATTTGTCCTTATTTATTATCAGCCAAGTAGTAGTTGCTTTTAAATATAGAATTGGAGGCCAAATAAAAACACAATCACTTGGTTATTTAATTTTTTTAGAAGTATCAAAGTAGTCTTGAAGAGTTAAATGTTACAATGTGTTTAAAAAGCAATGCATGTGATTTTTGATGGTTTAACCCCTGAAAATAATTTTAGTATATGCTTTAGGATAATTCCCCAGCATCTGAGAAGATTCTGAGATTTGAATTTTTCCCTCTATATAAAATTCCAAGGAAATAATTGATAGCCTTTCATTGTTTTTTTTTTGAAAATGTAACTCTATGAGTTAATGTAGAAATTTAAAATTTTATATTGTTATAAGAATGATATTGAAATTACTAAATCCCAGTGGATGTCTATATGAAAGTACCCGAGCTGGGAACTAGAAGCTGCTCTTGTCCAGTGTGTGTGCCCTGTGCACTGTTTTTCAGTCAGGCTTGATGCTCAGGCCAGTGGGGCGGGGAGCATAGCACTGTGTGGGTGCCCATCGTGCTCACTGTGGCTGCTGTGGTCTGTGCCTGGTGGAATGCTGTGCTTCTCGTTACTAATGCTTAGTTGTTTTCCCTCCTGTGGGATGTGGCATTGGGGTTATATCCTAGCTCTTAATACAGATTCAGCTGCGGGGCTACTGATTCGCAGCATTCATCTCGTCACCCAAAGACTTAACTTCCCAGTGGCGACCCAGACATGGAGCATATCACTGGCAGCTCTGGGAGTTCTTTTCGGCCTGGCAAAGGTGAGAAGGACAGTCCTTTAATGTTAGCCCAGCAGCCTTGGACCATGACTCTATTTTCTGTATTTCCTGACACCTTGGTATGGATATCGCAGTGTTGGTTTATACTCAAACATAGTTTATATTCAAAGTGTGCAAGAGTGAGCCTCCAAGTGAGATTTTACAAAATGAACTTCACTTTTTCTTTTTACTTAGTATTTTTGATACTATTTTAAAATCTTCAGCATGGCATTTTGTACCATTATAGTATAGGATCATTTAATTTTAATAAATATAAATTTGGTAAAGAAAGAGTGATTATTCTAAAATATGCCATTTGGGACTGTGACTCTTCCATCTTCCATTATCAGAGATAGGTGAAAATTGGCTATATTTTTACTTTCACAGCTGTTATTCAATTTTGTGGAACCTTGGAGTTGGGTGGCCATTTGTACTCTAAGGATTTTCTTTTTTATTGAAGTGAAATTTACAAAATTAACCATTTCAAAGTGAAGAATTCAGTGGCTGTTAATACATTTGTAATGTTTAACCGCCACCTCAAAACATTTTCATCACCCCAAAAAGAAAATCCATACCCATTAAGCATTTGCTTTCTGGTCTCCCTTCCCCACAATCCCTGAATACCACCAGTCTCTATGGATTTACCTATTCTGGACACTTCATATAAATTAAATCACACAATATGTGATCTTTTGTGCCTGGCTTCTTTTACTTAACATGTTTTTGAGGTTCATTTATGTTATAGAATATGCTAGAATTTCATTTCCTTTATGGCTGAATAATATTCTATTGTATTTATATATATCAGTTTGTCTACCCATTCATTTGTTGATGCACATTTGAGCTATTATGAATAGTGTGCTATGAACATGTGTGTACATTCATCTGTTCGAATACCAATTTTCAGTTCTGTTGGGTATATACATGGTAGTTGAATTGCTGGGTTATATGGTAATTCTGTATTTAACTTTTTGGGGAGCTGCTAAACTGTTTTCCACAGAGATGTATGGGGTTCCAGTTTCTCCACATCCTCACTCATCATCTAAGTGTTTTCTTTTGTGTAAAACGGGCAGGATTATCTTGTGTATAATAATTCCTGGTGTTGTGAAGATCAAATGAAATGAGAGGAAGTATGTAAAACACTTTGTGAACAAAAGGGTGATATACACACATAAAGAGATACTGGCTGAGATGATAAAGTTCAAACCCTCGTTTTATAGATGTGGGGACAGGTGGCAAAGGTTGTGACTTACCTAAGTCCTGAGAAACAAAATGGGCTAGAAAACCTAAGATGTTCTTACCACCACTTAGAGCTTACCTCAAAGATTTTCAGGGATATGTGTAATGGCTATTGTGTTGTGAGGAGCAGTTACTGATGTAGAAAGTAAGACTAGCCATTCATGAGACTTGCAGGACCACACTGTCCTTGAGGGCAAGGTACTATTTCCTGTGACATTCAGATACTCTCAGTAGTTAGGAATAATTAGCCCAAGCTGGAGGGCTGCTCTAGACCTCTGTAACAAATCATAAAGGGCAACACTACCTGATTTCAAGATTATTATAAAGTTGTAGTATTCAAAACAGTCTGGTATTAGAATAGGGTTGGACAAATTGATCACTGGAATACTATAGGGAGTCCAGAAATAGAAGCACATATACATGAACATCTGATTTTTGATAAAGGTGCAGGATAAAGGAGAGTCTTTTCAACAAATGGTGCTGGAACAATCAGATATACTAATTTTAAAAAACCCAGGTTCCGTAATGACCAGCCGAAGGCTCGACCGAACACCGGAAGTCAGTCCTGCAGTCAGTGCTAATTTGCCGTGCGACCCAGCACTGACTGCCGAGGGGGCTGTGGATCAGGCCCGGAGAGAGTCCCGGAGAGAGGCAGGGTCTGACAGCTGTTGATCAGCCGTTGCCTCTCTCTTTCTCTCCGGGCTTCACCAGCAGCCGCGCCTCTGTTTTTCTCTGGGCCTCTACCGGGGCTGCTGATCAGCCCCGCCTCTCTGATCAGGCCCAGAGATAGGCCCGGAGCACATGGCATAGAAACTGACCAGTCAGAACCAAATCTGGGTGAACTGTGAGGAGCCAATGGCTGCCTAGGAGGCAGAGCTTTTAACGCTGACTGGCATAGAAACTGACCAATCAGAACCAAATTGGCCAGCAGGGGAGGGCAGTTGGGGGCGAGATCGGGCATGCAGGGGAGGGCAGTTAGGGGTGATCAGGCCGGCAGGGGAGAGCATTTGGCGGTGAGATCAGGCTGGCAGGGGAGGGCAGTTGGGGGCAACCAGGCCAGCAGGGGAGGGCACTTGGTGGCGAGATCAGGCCAGCAGGGGAGGGCCGTTGGGGGTGAGATCAGGCCGGCAGGGAAGGGCAGTTGGGGCAAGATCAGGCCAGCAGGGGAGGGCAGTTAGGGGTGATCAGGCAGGCTGAGGCAGTTGGGGGCGAGATCAGGCCGGCAGGCAGAGGCAGTTAGGGGCGATCAGGCAGGCAGACAGAGAGGTTAGGGGCGATCAGGCAGATAGGCAGAGGGGTTAGGGGCAATCAGGAAGAGGCAGTTAGGGGTGATAAGGCAGGCAGGCAGGCAGGTGAGTGGTTAGGAGCCAGTGGTCCCAGATTGCGAGAGGGATGTCCGATTGGAGAGGGTGCAGGCTGGGCTGAGGGAACCCTCCCACTCCATGCACGAATTTCGTGCACCGGGCCACCAGTCTATATATATAAAAGCCTAAGTGACCGGCTGACCATCTGGCAGCTATGATGCGCAATGACCACTAGGGGGCAGATGCTCAACGCACAGGCATGGAAACATGGAACAGACTGATGAATCTCAGAGGGGAGGAGGGAGAGTGGAGGGTGGGAAGAGATTAACCAAAGATCTTACATGCATACTAGAGGCCCGGTGCACAGATTCATGTACTGGTGGGGTTCCTCGGCCTGGCCTGCGGGGATCGGGCTGAAACCGGCTCCCTGACATCCCCCGAGGGGTCCCGGATTGTGAGAGGGGATCAGGCCATTTAGGATAATTTAGGATAATTATAGATCTGTAGATATATAACTGTATATAGACATAAAACAGATGAAGTTTTATGAAGTGGGCTAGGCTGAGGGAACCCACCGGTGCACAAATCTGTGCACCGGGCCTGTAGTTCATATATAAAAAAAGAACTGGTTCATACCTTGCACTATGTACAGAAATTAACTCAAAATGGATTGTAGCCCTAAATAGAAAACCTAAACTATAAAACTGCTAGAATGGGAGAAAATCTTTGTTATTTAATGAAGATTTAGGTTATACAAAGATTTCTTACATATTGCACCATAGAAAAGCAAACTATTAAATTTGACTTTACCAAAGTTATGAACTACTGTTCTTCAAAAAATACTCTTAAGAGAATGAGATGACAAAACACAGATTGGGAGAAAATCTTTACAAAATATATCCAATGAGGGACTTATATCCAGATTAATAAAGAACTCTCAAAACTCAGTAATAGCCTTTGCTTTTGGGTGCATGATAGCAATATAGTGGTGCAAATTTCCAAGAAGAGAAAATTTGTTGTTGATGGCATTTTCAGAGCTAAACTGAATGAGTTCTCACTTAGAGGCTTGCTGAAGGTGCTACCCTGGAATTGAGATCTGACTTATATCAACCAGCATAGAAATCATTGCCTTGGCCTCTGGGATGCAGAATGTTCTTTGTGAGAAGGACCAGTGGGTCCAGGAATTGACCGATGTAGTTTAGAAGTTTAGTTTCCCTGAGGGCTTTGTTGTAGAGTTTTATGAAGTTAAGGTAGCCATAAGAGGTCTGTGTGCCATTGCACAGAGTCTCTGCATTACAAACTTCCAGGAGGGGTTGCTGTGTTGAGAGCCTGCTGTGGGGTACTGCAGTTCATCATGGAGAGTGGGGCCAAGGGCTACAAGGTCCTGGTGTCAGGGAAACTCCAAAGACAGGGGCTGGATCCATGAAGTTTATGGATGGTCTGATGATCTACAGTGGGGACCCTGTTAGCTATATCAGTACCGCCATGTGCCATATGTGCTCAGATAGGTGTGCTGGGCATCAAAGTGAAGATCATGCTATCCTGGGACCCAAATGATAAGATTGGCCCTAAGTCCCTGTCTAACCACATGAACATTGTAGACCCTAAAGATGAGATGCTATCCACTATCTATCTCAGGACATAAGGTTAGGAAGCCAGAGCTACCTGCCATGCTCTAGCCAGTTCCTGCTGCACAACAGGTTCTTCTTAGCAGCTGGATCTGGATAGTGTGGTTCTTGCTTTGTAAAGACCTTTAATAACATCTTTTAAAAAGACAAGACAATAATAACAACAAAACCCCTCATTAATACAACAAACAACCCAATTAAAAAATGGGGAAAAGATTTGAGCAGACACTTTACCAAAGAAAATATACATATCGCAAATAAGCACATGAAAAGATGCTCAATATCACTAGTTATTAGGAAAATGCAATTAAAACACTATGAGTTACCACTCCATACCTATTAGGATGGCTAAAATTGAAAAGACTGACCATACCAAATGTAGGTGAGGACGTGAAGGAACTGGAATTTCCAATACTGTTGAAGGGAATGTTAAAAGGGACAGCCATTTTAGAAAACAGCTTGGCAGTTCCTTAAAAAGTTAAACATACGTCTATCATATGACCCAATCACTCCACTACTAGGAGCATATATCCATACAAAGACTTGTACATGAATGTTCATAGCAACTTTATTTGTAACTAGAGGCCTGGTGCACGATATTTGTGCACTCAGGGGACACGGGGGGGGAGGGTCCCTCAGCTCGGCCTGCGCCCTCTCGCAGTCTGGGAGCCCTCGGGGGATGTCCGCCTGCTGGCTTAGGCCCTATCCCTGGGGATTGTGCGTAAGCTGGCAGTCAGACATCACTCTAGCAATCTGGGGCTCTCATAGTCTGGGACCCCTCGCTCCTTACCACCCGCCTGCAGCGGAGGCAGGAGAGGCTCCCGCCACTGCCACTGCGCTCACCAGCCAGAAGCCAGGCTCGCTGCTCCTTAGCGCTGCCTTAGAGGTGGAAGAGGCTCCCATCATTGCTGCTGTGCTTGCCAGCCTGTGAGCCCAGCTCAGGGCTTCTGGCTGAGCGGCGCTCCCCCTGTGGGAGCACACTGACCACCTGGGAGCAGCTCCTGCGTTGAGCGTCTGCCCCCTGGTGGTCAGTACATATCATAGTGACCGGTTGTTCTGCTGTTCAGTCGATTTGCATATTGGCCTTTTGTTATATAGGACTAGAGGCCCGATGCACAAAATTCATGCAAGAGTAGGCCTTCCTTCCCCCGGCTGCTGGCACCGGCTTCCCTTTGGCACCCAGGACCCGGGCTTCCCTCTGGCCAATGGCAGGCACCTGGGACCCAGGCTTCTCTTGCAGCCCCGGCTTTGTCCAGAAAGTGGTCTGGAAGGATGTCTGGTCTAATTAGCATATTGTGCTTTTATTATTATAGATACCCAGAATCCGGAAACAACCCAAATGTCAGTCAGTGGGTGACTGGATTAATTGTGCAATAGCCGTACAGTAGAATACTACTCAGAAATAAAAAGGAATGAGCATTTGATACACATACCCAAAATTGTGGATAAATCTCAAAATAATTATGCTAGTTAACCTATAGTGACAGCAGATCATCAGTAATCTAGGGAGGAGGATAAAGGGAGTTGGAGGAAGGATTACAAGCTACATGAGATTTTGGGGGTGATGGATATATCCACTATCTTGATTGTGGTGATAGTTCACAGATATATACTTATGCCAAAATATATTAAAGTGTACACTTTAAATATGTCTAGTTTACTGTATGTTGATTATACCTCTGGGCAGCTGCCCATAGAACTTTATAGCCCCATAACATCATTGTGGGATTGGGTTGGGGGGCTCAAAAAATGTGTACATGTTCTATTGCCAGCTATTCTTTTGATCTCTGGCAATGGTGAGTAGATGCATCCTATGAGTTTAGGTTTTAGGGCATGAAATACTACTTTAAGATTTGAAAAATGCCCTCTGTTTTTATATAGAGTATTATAATACCTATGAATAGTCTGATTTCCTATATAAATAATGTTTTAGAAGCAAGGTTTCCTGTGGTGTGTTATATTCTCAGAAAGGCCAGGCCTCAGTGCAGATGCTTTAAAATTGGTATAATGGTTCCTGGCTAACTGTGTTCCCCATATGAATATGCTCAGGTGAAGGTGATGGTTGATTCCGGAGACCGGAAGCGAGCCATCAGTTCTGTCTGCAGCTACATTGTGTACCAGTGTAGTCGGCCAGCTCCTCATCACTCCCGGGACCTGCACTCCATGATAGTGGCAGCTTTTCAATGTCTCTGTGTCTGGCTGACAGAGCATCCTGACATGCTTGATGAAAAGGTTAGTTTACTACATCTTAAAACAATAAATAGAAATAAAATGTATGTTGGGAAAATATCTTTTAAAAGAGAATATATAAATGTAAGTACTATATTGCATACTTTAAACTGAATGTACTTGTTATATTTCAATAGAACACTTATCCTTTTGAGCACAGTTCAAAAACTGTCATACTTATATTTGGTTGCAAATGAACCCATAGAGAAGTTCTGTTAAAAGAAGAGGACTTGACTCATTTATTTGAGTTCTTCTTTCTTTTTTTGTTAATCCTCACCTGAGGATATTTTTCCATTGATTTTTGGAGGGAGTAGAAGGGAGGGGGAGAGACAGAGAGACAGAAACATCAATGTGAGAGAGACACATCGTTAGGTTGCCTCCCACACATGCCCCGACCAGAGCCAGGATCAAGCCTGCAATTGAGGTACCTGCCCTTGACCAGAATTGAACCCAAGACCCTTCAGTCCATGGGCCAATGCTCTATCCACTGAGCCAAACTGGCTAGGGTGGGAATGTTCTTTCTTAAAAGGGTGATAGCTTTGAGATGGCCAGAAGGCACTTTGGTAACCCATTACCAAACCAAGAAAGGCAATTGATAGCCAGGCAACCAACCTAAAGCAAGGCTGGTCTGCAAAGGTTGCTTGTATCTAAAAATTTCATTTCACGCATGTTTCCCTGCTTTTGTGGGGGCACAGATATCTAGGCTGCTTTCTCTGCCATTATTCTATGTAATACTTTTTTTATGGGGAGGCAGGCAGTTAGAGTGAATTCACAGTGAAAATAAAAGAAGAGATATCAAGCATAGTGGATATTTATTTAGAGCCTTATGCAGTTTAAAAAATAATTCTTTTTATTAAATCTTAGTCATTTTCATTAAGGCTTCTAAAGTTATGATACCAGAAATTGCTTAAAACTGTCAATAATTGATGAACTTCCCTTTGGATAACCTAGCATGTTTTAAACCATCCAGGTTTAATAGATTACAGTTACATTTCTTTCATTTGGGCTTTCATGACTTATAATCTGAGGTAGTTTTGTAAGAACTATGACTAATAAAATTGAATTGAATTTATCATTACTTATTATCTAACTCTATGAACACTCAAATTTATTTCTTTAAAAAAATTGGGGGGAGTTTATTATTATGAAATTTATATATACCTATTAAAGAAAATGAGAAAGAAACTAGAGCCCCACTACCAGAACACAACCACTATTAACATTTGATGTGTTTCCTTGTCTTATAAGATAGGTGTATTATAAAAACTGATTCGCCTTTCCTGCTTCTAGGACTGTCTTAAGGAAGTACTGGAGATTGTGGAACTGGGTATTTCGGGAAGTAAGTCCAAGAGCAGTGAGCAAGAGGTCAAGTACAAAGGAGATAAGGAGCCAAACCCTGCTTCTATGAGGGTAAAGGATGCTGCTGAAGCCACCCTAACATGGTATGAAAGTGACTGCATAGGGAATATGCCTAGAAATTTGTTGGGGTTAGCTGTAATCCTTGTTTTTTCTCCTCCTCAGTTTTTTAGCATTAAGTGGTGCAACCCCTTTAGGATACCTTTTCTACAGAAATAAACTAGGGAAGAAAATGTCTTTTTTTTTTTTTTTTTGACGGGAAGAAACCAGGAACTTGGGCCTGAGAGTTGAGGTCCTTTTTTTATGTTGATTGACATTAATTCAGGTCATACCATGTTAGAGTTGGAAAGGATTTTGGAGAGCCTAATTCCACATCCTGACTTGATGCCTGCATCCAGAGACAAGATCTGTCTGGGTCACACTGTCAGGTCTCTTGCTTTCTAGCTCAGTGGTCTGTATTCTCTGTTATACCATTTATATTATACTATATTAAAGGTTCATTCATCCAAGTTTTAGGAACTCCCTCTTATGAACTGGTAATAGGATCACAATGAAAAATCAGATTTACCATCCTCAAAGAGCTTCTTATCCACTAGGGAAGGTAAAATATAAACACAATTAGCTGTACTATTACATGGACAATAAGTGCTCAAAGAGAAGGAAGTACAAATAAAATGCTGGGGAGTTGGAAGGAGGAAATGAATACTTCCAGATAAGGGAAAATCGAAATAAGATTCCTGGGGAAAATGACATTGGACCTAACTTTTAGAGGATGAGTAATGTTTGAGCTATAAGCCAGACTCCAGGTTGGGTAAGTCAGCAAGAGAAGATTCCTGTTCAGTATTTTAGTAGTGAAGGAATGGAGATAGGTTGGTAAAAAGTAACAGAAAGAGTTGAGAGACTTTGTGTTTGGCTGATAAGTGATGAAAGTAGAAGGATGTAAAGAAGGCAATTTAGGCACATTTATGAACTGTGAGGAAGAGGTAAGTGGAGAAGATTAGGTTGAATCAGTACAGGTGGAAAGATGGTGCTTACCACAGGATAAATGTAGATGAAGACCCAGACCAATAAAAAAGCAGGAAGGAGCAATGTCATGTCAGTCTGGGTTGGCTTATCTTGGGCTTAGTAATGTGGTAGGTAAGACTGCTTGAAGATATGTACATAAATCAGCCCTTACCAAGATCTCAGAATCTTTGGAGTTCAGTGGTTTGTTGATAACTTAGGATACATACAATAAAGTTGGATTTTTTTCTGTTTCTCATGGGCTTAGGTCATTCAATAGTTTTAAAAGTGTACTGGCTTTAGTTTAGTCCTGTTACTATGCTAATGCTGGCTCTTAGTGACTTTGTGAAGGTTTGGCTAATAGCTAGAAAATCAGAAAAATATGAATGAGTACTAGAAATAATAAATGTTCAGAGAGAAGACCACAGTTGAGATTGCCTGGATGGTTTTTTCCCCTTGGTGTACTAATAGAAATAGATTTAAAAGCATTATAAAAGAAGAGAGCCCTGGGATGCGACTCCCGAATCTAGTCTTGTCTCTACTGGCAACTTATCCAATCTTGAAGAGTGCTTTGAATAGTCCTATCATCGTGAAATATGTCCAAAACCAAATTTCTCTGTTCCTTTACAATTATAGCTTTATGTCCGTATCACTGCTGTTTTCCAGTTATGCACACAGAACTTTGGCTTTTTTTATTTATATGTCATTCCCCATATGAAGCTAGTGACTGAGTCTAATAAACTTTACTTTCGAAAGTGTTTCCTCCATTTCCTCTAACCTCAGATAGCATCTTGGCCAAGACCCTTTCTTCTTGCCTGATTTTCCTGTTTTCAGTCTCCTACCTTTCTAGTTCATTTTGCATTCTATTGCTGAACTTCTTATTCTGCTGCTTGAGTGATAGAAAACAGAATATTCTGGTCTGGTTTTCAAGGGCCTCCTTATTCTTCCCCCACTTGAACTGTCTGATCTTTCACAGCACATCCGTTTTGCCATGAAAGCCACTCATGGCCGTGAACAGGGCATACTCATACCTGTCTATATACAACCCCTGGTTTTCAGGACTTCCCTCTTCTCTAGGCCACGTCTTCCATTGTTCAGTGCTCACCTCAAATCTAGCTACCTCCATGGGACCTTCTTTGGTTGTTCTGCTTCTGCATGATGACTCTTTTCTGTACCTGGATGCTCAGTCAGTCTGACCCTACTGTAGAGCATGGAATTCTCATACCTGGTTATGTCTGATACATGCCAGTGTTCTTCTCAACCTGGGCCAAGTTGTTCTTCACACCATGCACAGTGCTGAGCACACAGTAGACAATGATGGAGTATAGATTGCCTGCTTGGGTTTTTCCCCTTGGTGTACTAATATAAATCCAGAATTAGGGCTCTTGGAAGTCATTTCAGCAGCCCCTCCGCTTAAGTCACTTTAAGACAGACTTGTTATTTAGCTTCTGATTCTGGGATATCTGACCCCAAGGTTACCCATTTCATTTTAATTGTTAAAAACCTGATGTTTAAATTGAACTGAAATCTCTCCCTCTTTAACTCCTACTCATTGGTTCTGATTCAAATTTTTTTTCTAAACAGTATGTCTGAAAGACAATGTTTGTTCTCTGGTTCATTTCTGCCAGTACTTTCAACTATTTTTTATATGACAGGGGAACCAAGTACCTTTGTCATCCTGGTCATTCTCCTCTTAATGGCGTAGCTTTGACTATGCACCTCTTAAAGATCATTTGCTGAGTATAATATGCTAGATGTGGACTGATATTTTAGACTCTGTAAAATATATTTTCATTTAAATGTACTTGGAGACTACATTGGATTTTTGGTAACCTATTGATTTGCATTAATTCTGCAAAACCTTTTGAGTCTTTCATCTGTTGGAGGGCATTTGGATGTAATGTACAGAACTTTATTTTATTTATTTATTTATTTAAAATATATTTTATCGATTTTTTACAGAGAGGAAGGGAGAGGGATAGAGAGTTAGAAACATCGATGAGAGAGAAACATCGTATCAGCTGTCTCCTGCACACACACACCCCCCCCGCCCCCCCGGAGGTGTGCCTGCTACCAAGGTACATGCCCTTGACCAGAATCGAACCTGGGACCCTTCAGTCCGCAGGCTGACGCTCTATCCACTGAGCCAAACCGGCTAGGGCAGAACTTTATATTTAAACCTGAAATTTTTTTCCTGTAAGGTTTGATTGATTGATTGATTGATTGATTTTAGTCCTTTAAGATTTTTTTAAATCCCAGCTTTGGTATATTAACTCTGCAGCTCAACTTTTGGTCAACTACAGATTTAATGAGCCTACCTTGTGTGTCCTAATCAAAGGCACTGATAAAAATATTAAAGGAAAGGTAAACTCACAAAGCACATCATAGGAAATTTTCCTTCAGGTTCACAGGTATTTTAAAATCTTATCTGTAGGTTTATCATGATACACTCAAATACTCACATATCTTGATTTCAAGGTAATTCTCTGCCTTTCCAGTTTAGTCACCATCAAGAAGACAAAATGTGGTTAGGCTGGTGAGATTTGATCTTAGTGACCTATTCCCTGGTGAGCAACCTATTTGATAATGTCTTAGAACCTTGCATAGAACACAAGCAAGCTCACATGATTCATATGCTTTGTGACAGCCATCTTCGTCCCGTTTTTAGAAAACCAAAGCCACATGTTCCCATTTACTGGTATGTCACCTATTATTCACAAATCCTTAGGCTTGACCCATCATGAAACTTTCCTGGTCCTTGAAATTCTTAGATAGTCCTCCTCTTAGGAAGAGATAGAATAGAAGGAAAAAATATATTGAGCAATGTTGCCTTTCATTATCAGAAATGTTTGAGTTCAAGCATTAGAATTAAAGAGAAAGGGAGATGCTACTCAAGGTGAGGATTGAGATGATAAAAGTGGTGTTGGGGAATATTACCTTCCCAAATGAGTTACATATGAAAGGTCAGGTAATAATATTAGGACCACAAGATAAAATCTTATGTTTTCATTACAAGATACATTCTCTCTGTGCTTCAATTTCTTCATTATAAAATGGGAATAATAGTGCTATCTATCTCATAGGATTGCTATGGTAACTAAATAAAATAATGTGTGAAGTGTTATGTATGTTATTTGTTGAATGTATGCAAAAATCTCTATGAATATAAACATATCTTAATGTTAAGGCTTGATCAGTTGAATTCCAATGTCCAAATCAGTTCTTTTATATTTTCTCATTTGATAATTATAGCAGTTTTGCAAAGTGTAACTATTAATGCATCAAGTTTCTTATCTGGAAAATGAGGACAATATCTACTCTGGTCTTTTAAATGATCACTTATCTCTTCTGAGCCTGAGTTTCCTCATCTGAAAATTTGAGCGGGTTTGGTTTATCCTTTTCTAGCTCTAGAATGCTTTAGCTAGCATAATTTTGAAAGATGGAACACACAAAAATTTTTAATGTATCTTTATCTTTTGGCGCTTTGGAAGTGTGGTTGATTAGGTTCCCTAGGTAGCAAATTCCGAGAGAGAAATTTGCTTGCAAAAAAGTTTATTGGAAAGTGCTCTCAGGATCAACCCCTATGAAGGAGAGAAGGAAGCAATATTCCTTCACTCCCTCATAGGGAAGAACTAAACTGTGAGCAGTCACAACAAAGAGATCTGGAACTGAGTTGGCACTTCAGAGATTTCTGAAATTGGGGCAAGAGGACTGAAACTTTATACCCCTGCATCAGCCATTCGTTGGGTATGGACTGGCCCAGGAGGTAGCTGTGATCTTAGGTGAGGTGGTTCTTGTTGGCCCAGGGCACCTCTTGGAAAGAGATCAGCTGAAAGTTGTGGCCACCATCTTCCTGCAACTAGGGGAGTGAATCTTTCAGTGGAGGGGGCAATCTGGATGGCACATCAAGGCATCCACCACAGGGAGTAAATCTGACCTGCAAAGTGGAAGCATGGCCGGGTCGATTAAAATCAAAAGTGCAGAAGGACACATTGACACATGAGGTAAATTTAAGATTTTACTGTGGGAATTAACTGTTATCTTTTGTATTCTCCATAGTATTATGCAGTTGCTTGGTGCATTTCCTTCACCCAGTGGTCCTGCCTCTCCTTGTAGTTTGGTGAATGAGACCACTTTGATTAAATACTCCAGGCTGCCAACCATAAACAAGCATAGCTTCCGGTACTTTGTCCTGGATAACAGTGTCATCCTGGCAATGCTGGAGCAGCCTCTTGGAAATGAACAGAGTAAGTTTCAGCACTTCGGGCTTTCTCCACAGCTATATCATCATATTCATCAGTACGAGCAAGCTATTTCCTTCAGGGAAGGAAAGAATGCAAATTCTAAGCAATTGTGAATTTGTCAGAAAGATGTCTAGCTGTGGGATAATAGCGAATGAAAAACGGAAGGTCAGAAAATGGAATATACATATTATATAGAATCTTTTAGAGGCCCTTAATGTGTATCTGGAATATCAGAAAAGACCTCTATAGTTTTATAAAATATTTATTTTAGTGGGCCATTTTCTGTTGTTGTTTTTTTACTGTGTTTAAAAATCATTATTACTTTTCCTTTCTTCTTGAACTTTGGATCCTGCCCCACTCCACAGTGTTCTATTTCAGTCACTGGTCTCACCCTTAGAGGTGGAAATTTGAGGAGTCGTCTTTGTCTTGCCTATTTTTTTTCTGTGATTCCCTTATATAATTGATTTCTACCTACCCAGTGACTCTTTTCTTTTCTCTTCTGGAGTTGGGCAATTATTAAAGGCCCCATCTATTCCATATTAAACTGCTCTCCCAGTATATTCAAATGCAGGGCCTTATTATTTCTTACCTAGATTATTGCTGTGGTTTCCTGTCTGGTCTGATACACTCTCCTTCCAATTCCGAAATTTGTTACCCTTATCTCCATCCTTCTTGCTGCTACCATTGTATTCATCCTCAAATACAGATCTGACCATGCCAGTGCCCTGAAAACCCTTCAGTGATTTTCTATGGACACAACATTCACTGTTTTCCTCTTCTTCCTCCCCTAAATATAAACCATCTCAAAGTATGTGATTACCACTATAAGCAAGACTACTGAAAATACATTTTTTTTCCTGATGTATGTAAAGCCAGTATATAAAGGAAGCATGTTCTCAGACTCTTATTGCTAGAAAGGCGAAAGAAAGTGAAGGTTACAGAATCTGTGGGCATACAGGGACCCAGGGAATCACCTAGTGTACAGTTCCCTTATTTACAGGTGAAGAAACTTAGGCTTGTCCACTTGAGAAGTATGACTAGAACTAGAATCCAAATTTTCTGAACCTCATACCGTCCCTTTGTTATCATTGCCCCTCAGTGATAGGGTTTTCTCACTTAAAGATTTGCCTTCTTACCTTCGCAAAAGTGAACGGGTCTTAGAGTCCCATGCAAATTCTTGAGAGAATATATAAGTAGGATCTCATAAATCCATAAAAATGAAAAATTAGACATTTCCCCGAAGTTCAGGGGTAAATGAATATCATCATAGGTTTCCATTGTGTTGTGGTAAGATACAGAGATTTTAATATGGAATAGATGGAGCTTTTAATAATTGCCCAACTCCAGAAGTGCTGGTCCCAAGTCTTCTCTCTTCCTTCTCTATCCCAAACCTAGGGTTTGCTTGAGTCTTATTCCCTGTCTTCTGCCTAATTTTATGATTCCTTCTACTCCTAAACAGCCTGCTGAGGAGTCTGTAAAATCCCAGTATCCCCTCTGTGTGTCCTGGCCTTTTTCAGATTTTTTTACATTTACATTTCATCAGAAGTCTACCAAAAATAAAAAAAAACAATTAGGATTTACAGATTTACAAAGATATCTTAATAGTTTATTGTAATAGCTAATAGAGGAAATGAGAGAGAATTGTCAACAACTTTGACTCCCCCACTGGAGACTAAGAAAGGAAATAAGAAGAAGGATCTGGGTTACTCAGGAAGTCCATCCTGAGTTCTTTACCTACCTTTTCCTGCCCCTGAACTTGCAGTGGGATGGAACAGTGCCTGCCTTCAGTGGACAGTGGTACACAAAGACATGGGTGAATGTAGTAGCACTGCAAGCAACCAGTCTAGTCTGTCTTCCTGCACTTGGGTTATTCCCAACATTGGAAGTTAAAAATATTGGCCAGGACAGTGTTTCTCAAAAATGTGTATGTGTACCATTGGAGGTATGTGAGATGAAGTTAGTATTTTATGTATTTTTAAATGTGTTAAAAAATACATAATTAGCACACCAAAATTATGGTTTTCTATTTAAAATAGAGATATACAATTTCCTTTGAAAATAAATTTAAGTTAAAAAAAAAAGGAAAGAAAGTGGTTCATATAAAATAAGACTACATGGATATGAGAAACCACAGAGGTGGTACACAAAGGATGAAAGTTTGGGAAACACTGTGTTGGGCTTTATTAGAAGCTCTGCAGTTGATAATAGGTGTATTTTAAATGATTGTCTGAAATAAAACCTTTTACATCTTTTTATTCTAGATGATTTTTTTCCCTCCGTCACTGTGCTGGTTCGGGGAATGTCTGGAAGACTTGCATGGGCACAACAGCTTTGCCTTTTACCCAGAGGAGCAAAAGCAAATCAGAAGGTATCCATCAGAAGTTACAGGGAAGTGACTAGGCGTGAGTGTGTGGATATGTATGTGTGCATGTGCATGTGTGCACATTATGATTTAAAGGTTAAAAAGTTCCCACAAAAGTCACAGAAAAAAATAAATAGTTTTTATCTTAACCAGGGTCTCAGTCAGGGGCTTTATATTTAAATGATCTTAGGAGCCTAGACTTTTAGATTCACTAATTACTCTTTAAAGACATCTTCAAGGCAGATGTATTTTTAAAAAGCTTTCCAGGTGTTTCTGGTATCCACTTATAATTAAGAACTACCGTTCTGAACAATTGTCCTTTTCCCCCCCTGGGCAATGTTAAATAAATATAATAAAACTCAGGTGCACGCCATATATGAAAAGAGTTTGGCTAGACCTTTGATCTCCCTGGTAACAGGACTTGTTTCAAATGATTTATTCCCATATAATTGGTAATGTGCTCTATAATTTTCTTAATATGCTGTATAATTGAATGAAATCTTATTTTCAAGTGGCACAGTTTTGTTTTTTTTTTAATATATTTTTATTGATTTCAGAGAGGGAGAGAGAGAAACATCAATGATGAGAGAGAATCATTGATCAGCTGCCTCCTGCACAGCCCCTACTGGGGATCGAGCCCGCAACCCAGGCATGTGCCCTTGACCGGAATCGAACTTGGGACCCTTCAGTCCGTTCTACCTACTGACCAAACCAGCTAGGATGCAGTTTATTTTCTTTATAACATTTGTAATTTTGTGAATAAAATTTGCTCATGGGAGAAAAGAATTGGAAAGTTCAGATAATGAAGAAATTTTAAATCACCTGTGTCCTCTTTAGAAGTATATAGCCACTGTTAATATTTTAGTGGATTTCCTCCCAGTCTTTTTTTCCTTTCTGTACACAATAACACTTAAATAGAATGTGAGTCATTTTTTATACTGCACATTGTAAGTTTTTACTTAGGTTACTAAAAATTGTTTAAAACATGACTTAATAAAATTTCACTAGCATTTAAGGGCAATTAGAGTATGTGTCTAAAACCATTTAATATCTTATATGTCTCTGTTGGGTGAGATGTGTTCATCTCTCTGAGAGGAGCACATGCAACATCATGAGGCTCACATTCTGTCAGTAGTACTTAAGCATTGAAGACTGAGAAGAAAGGAGATTAGGAAAGGACCTGAAATTTGTTGATGGTTTAATATGTGCCAAATACATTTTTATTTAATCTTTACAACATTCTTTTTAGATATAAAAACAGAAGTCTCACAGCTTGTATATGTTAAAAGTAGGGATTTAAAGCCATGAAGACCTAGATTTGGTGCCCATACTCTTTCAGTTAAGCCATACTAAGATTCTAATTGAACTCCCTGAGTAGTGATGCCCAGTGGACCTAAATTGTACTTTATTCTATGGAATGATTTGAGAAGTCTTGGGGAAGAAGAAAGTTTGAGCCTTAAGCTCTGAAATGCCTCACCCATTGGCTTTCCAACTGAACATAGGAGATTCAGGCCTGGGCAATATAGGTCCACAACCCATTTATCAGTCACAAAATCTATAATAATTTGATGAACGATCTTACAAATATATAATAGAGTACACCAGTACACAGGCTATTTATCAAAGGTAATTGCAGATTCTTACTGAGTTCTTGTGTTATGTAATCCTAGAGAAACATAGGCATCTAAGAGACCAGGGAAATGCATGTCATTATAGATGGCACCAAATGTAATAAACATAATGTTATTTGTTTTATTTTAACAGCTTTTTGTGCCTGAACCTCGTCCAGTTCCTAAAAATAATGTTGGATTTAAATATACTGTGAAACATCGACCATTTCCTGAAGAAGTAGATAAGATTCCTTTTGTGAAAGCAGATCTGAGCATTCCAGACTTGCATGAAATCGTCACTGAGGAAGTAAGATGAATTATTGTCAGCTGTTGTTAAGAGAATGACTATAAACATTCTTAAACAACTTCCAGGCTTAAGACACTGCCTTTTTTTAGTGTTACTGGAGGCAATTCATAAGATTATTTGGATCTCTGTCATCCAGGAGGTTATATAGTAAGACAAGTATAGATTGTGGCTGACTGAACAGAACTGGCGTCTCTTAGAGAGAGGTCACTGGGCTGCATAGGCTGGTCCATGGCAGGTTTCAGTCGTGTGGTGACATGATCAGACTCTAGTGGAGGACATTTGGAGAAAGGAGACCAATTCAGAGACTATTATGACAATCCAGGCAGGAGAAAGGAAGGACTACCTCATTGATAGTGGAAGTTAAAACATTGGAATGTATTGTAGAGGTAGGTCCAAGCTGTCTTGATGAGGGAAGGAAAAGAGCCAAAGAACTTTAGATTTTTGAGCTTGAGTTTTAGTTGTGTTATAATTGAAGATATTGGTACCATTTATAGAAATCTGGGCATTAGGAAGAAGACAGGTTTGGGAAGACAGGAAAAATGTATTTGGCTTTAGATTAATTCAGATAAGTAATTAGATTAAGTAATTGATATTTTCGTTCAAAGGAGAAGAATTTTAAGAAGTTGGGGATAGAGGTGTGTCAGGGCATGAGAGACTAGAGGGCAGAAATGGAGGCTGCCTACCTTATCAAGTGCTAGGGAGATAAGGGAGAAGGAGCACTAAGAAGAGGCCCCAGGATTTTGGCATGAAATTGTACCTGCCCTTTGAGAATAGGTTCAAAGGAGTATTAAAGTTGGCAACAGAGTATAAGGAGCTGTGGAGTGAAAGTTTAATGAGAGGCAGTGAATATAATCCATACTGTTAGCAGTAAAAGGAAGGATACAGAGTGGATAAAGCCTAGTAAGGAAAGGCAAGGCTAGGTTTTTTCTTTTTCTTTTCTTTCAAATATATTTTTACTGATTTCAGAGAGGAAGGGAGAGAGAGAGGGAGGAACATTGATTGGCTGCCTCCTGCACTCCCCCCACTGGGGATCAAGTCTGCAACCCAAGCATGTGCCCTTGACCGGAATTGAACCCGGGACCCTTCAGTCTGCAAGGCCGACACTCTATCCACTGAGCCAAACTGGCTAGTGCTTCTTTTCTTTTTTAAAAAAATTCAAGGATAAGAAGAAAATGAACATGCTTAGTGGTCAACAAGAAGGAACCAGTGGAGGAAGTCTGTGTCTGCTAACACTATAAGATGGGCTAGGGAAATGATTAATAGAGTAAGGCCCTGGAGGTAGTAGGGTCAAGAGTCTATATTATTGTATCCAGACAGGGGATACTTCTGGTAAGACAGGAGAAAAGGAGAGAGTAGGTAAAGGTTCAGAGACATTTAGAGGTAGAAAGGAGGAAAATTTAAGGAGTTTATGTAAACTTTAATCTTAGTTCTTAGCAGTGAAATAGGGAATCAAAGATGGCTCTTAAAATTGCCAGGCAGCCCAGGTAAGGTTAAGTAGCATTGTTTGTAGTGACGTTACTTACTGTGTTGTAAGTAACTTCAGAAGTCCTTAGGATTTGGAGGCATTCAAAAGTCCTTAGGATCTGGAGGCATAAGCAAAAAATTTGGTGTGGAGATTAACAGGAATGAGAATATGGGAAAATAAGGAACAACAGCCATTTCTATGCTTAAGAAAGGGTATTAACATATTTGGGGGTTTAGAATTGTTTGGGAAGTAGATGAAGCCAGAGGATGCTAATGGCCTGGGAAAATATAGGGATGGGTTGGATACTTCCTAGTGATGGAAAGTGAAAGTGTGGTAGCAGGAAAGGGGGCTTATGATTGGAGAAGGGAATTTCAGAATTATAACTCTTGAAAGTTAAGCACATCTGAGATACAAAAGTGTGCTTTATAGAGGGCCAAAAGTTATAAGGATTGAGCAGATTGTAGAAATGCAGAGTGGGGCAAAAGTAGGTTTACAGTTGTATGTAAAACACTTTATTCTTGTATTATTATTTATTAATTATTGTATTATTTTCCATATGAACAACTGTAAACCTATTTTTTTCCCCACCCTGTATAAACCAGGTTGTTAGAAGGATCATTGCTCACCAAAGAAGGTGAATTTTAAACTAGAATTGATTGGAAGGGAATCAGAAGGGTCAGGGGAAGTTCAGAGTAATTAGTGGAGTAATCCATATGGATAAAGACTTCAAAACATGTGGGGGGTCACTACAAAATGAAGATAGACAGTGGTCTGGAAGAGGGATGAGAGTAACAACTCTGCCCCTTTTCTTGAAGGGAAGCAGAGACAATGCTTTCATTTACAGGGTGAAGATGGAGAAGCAATTCTTGAGACTATAGGGGAGTTTTTTTGGTATTTGTTTTAACCTTGAAACATGTTTGCCTGTTTGCATACACTGTATTGAATTGAAACTCAGTGTTGATCTCTGAAAATTATCTTTACTTACTTTGTTGCTTATAGCTTTATTTTCATTTTAGAATTAAGAATGATCCTATATCTTTTATAATAGTTTGAAAAGATTAAATATTTGGCTTCTTTCAGTTAGAAGAGAGACATGAAAAATTAAGGAATGGAATGGCCCAGCAGATTGCTTATGAAATACACCTTGAACAACAAAGCGAGGAAGAATTGAAGAAGAGAAGTTTTCCTGATCCAGTTACGGATTGTAAGCCCCCACCTCCTGCCCAGGAATTCCAAACAGCACGCCTTTTCCTTTCACACTTTGGATTTTTGTCCTTAGAAGCATTGAAGGTAATTTTCCTAAACTTTTATGAGTAAATATATTTGTAAACTAGCATTTAGCTATTGATAACTAAAACATTTTTATGAGAATAGAAAGAATTTAATACATCTAGCTCTGAATTTTTCAGGATAATGTAGGGCCCATATCACACACATAAATGACACCTACAGATAATTAGAAAAAGAATCTTAAAAATCTTTCCCTAGTAAAATTTATTACTGAAAGGATGGGCTGCAGTTGATGCTGCACTTTTAAAAAGGAACAAATATTTGTAAGCCAAGCACTGCTTATGTTGTGCATTTTCTAAGATCAGACTGTGTAGGTTTGTGTCCTGGCAGCACTACTTGCCAGCTATGTGGTCTTGGGCAAATTGCCTGACTTCTCTGAGTCTTAGCTCCTCTTTTACAAAATGGGGGTAACAAAAGTATCCATCTCACTATGGTCATGTTAAGATGCTTTATGTAGTAAGTATTTTGCATAATGTAAGTCAGCCTGTAAGGTAAATATTGCCATTCTTAATTCTAGTATCCTTAAAACAATTTTACAAGGGAAGTGATGCTGTCCTATTTTACAGATGTGGAAACAGGATGTTTTTAAAATGTGAAATCCGCCTGCCTGTGGAGGATTTGGGGTTTGCTGTACCAAGACCACTTTGTTTTGAAAAGCACAACTGAATGTTGTCAAGCAAGAAGTTGCTTATTGCACAACTTGTCCCTTGCCCTTACTCCCTAGCAACTACTTGGTTAAAGGCCATTTAACATTTTTAGGAAAGCAGGGAGAACTTTGTGTCTGATTTTGGATTTCAGCATGTAGATGGAAAATGTTTTATTGTTGTAGAAAAGTGAATTGGTGATGGGGAGTATGAGCATAAAAACTTTTAAAATGCAGAAGAAAGGAGAAGAGAGGAAATAATGAGAAATACAGTGGCAGGAAATAATGAAAAATACAATGGCAAATATGGAAGGCAAGGAACAAAGATACATCCTACAAATAATTAGTGATATTCCTAATGAAGAAAACTGAACAGAGTCAAAGCAGTAATAAAAATATACTAGGAGAAAATTGTTACATCCTGTGGACTGAAGGGAGTTGAGAGGAGTCCTAATAGCACTGTCCCTGAGATTGTAATTTTCCATTCATGTTATCTGTTTTAGTTAAAATTTTTAAGCTTTCAAAAAAATAATGTTCATGCTTTGTCATCTGTGTCAGAACATAGGAAAAAGAAAGTTTCCTGGTTTATTGTATGAACCTCAGGGTATTTGTAATCACTTAAACCTGACAGCACACATACAAAAAAGCTATAAACCAGTCTTATGAATCTATATACAAAAATATGTATATGAAGGAGAATGCTAGTCAAACTGAATTTAATAGCATGTCAAGCAAATTACCTTCCACAACCAAGTAAGATTTATTCTAGGAACTTAAGGAGAGTTAGTTATTGGGAAATACTAGTAAAGTTAATTAAGAGAATAATTTAATTGTATTAGTAGATTAGTCATTAAAACAGTAAGTCAGTATTTAATAGAATAGTATTCATTCTGATTTAAAAATACAAACAAAAAATTAAATAGAACTAGTAATGTAGATCTCTCTAACTTGTAGCTCATGAGAAACTTGAAGTACCCCTTGTTAAAATCAGAGGCAAAGGGTATCGACCTTGACTGCTATATTATTTAGTCAATGAAATTTTTAAAATTTAAAGTAATTGTAGATTGCCCTGGCCGGGTAGCTCAGTCGGTTAGAGTATCGTCCCAATACAACAAGGTTGCTGGTTTGATCCCCGGTCAGGGCACATACAAGAATCAACCAGTTAATGCAGAAGTAAGTGAAATAACAAATCTATTTCTCTCCCTCTCCCTTCCTCTCTCTAAAGTCAGTTAAAATAAAGAAAGAAAATAATTTGTAGATTAATAGAAAGTTGTAAAAAAAAAAATGTATAGGAAAGTTCTCCCAATAGTAACCTCTTACATAGATATAGTTACATCAAAACCAGGAAAGTCTGCCGAAACCGGTTTGGCTCGGTGGATAGAGCGTCGGCCTGCGGACTGAAAGGTCCCAGGTTCGATTCCGGTCCAGGGCATGTACTTGGGTTGCGGGCACATCCCCAGTGGGAGATGTGCAGGAGGCAGCTGATCGATGTTTCTCTCTCATCGATGTTTCTAACTCTCTATCTCTCTCCCTTCCTCTCTGTTAAAAAATCAATAAAATATATTTAAAAAAAAAAAACAAAAAAAAACCAGGAAAGTCAATGAAATATTAAACTAAGGGGTAAAAACTATTGAAAGAAGACAGGTCATAGGTAACATGGCGTTTAATTAGACAATCATAAGAGAATCAATAAAATGGTTAAATGAGAAAATTAAGAGCACCACACAAACAAGTACAAAATTTAATTACTATAGCTATAATGTCTGGTTAAAAATACAGTGTAGCCCTGACCGGTTTGGCTTAGTGGATAGGCCTGCGGACTGAAGGGTCCTGGGTTCGATTTCGGTCAAGGGCATGTACCTTGGTTGCAGGCACATCCCCAGTAGGAGGTGTGCAGGAAGCAGCTGATCGATGTTTCTCTCTCATCGATGTTTCTAACTCTCTATCCCTCTCCTTTCCTCTCTGTAAAAAATCAATAAAATATATATTTTTTAAAATACAGTGTAAAAATACCTAATTTACAGCTGTTGATATTGACAAAAGTTACCCTAACAAACTTCACAGGACCTAGAGGAAAAATTTTAAAAGTTAAGAGATATAAGATGTGCATATGATGCTCCTGGATTAGAAGGTCATCCAGGAGAACAAACTAATGAAATAGCTTACTTAAAAGGACAAGAATTTGGAGGCTTTGCCCTACAAGCTGTATTACAGGATGCTACAGCTCCACAATTTCTTATTCATGATTTCAAAGTAAAAACTCAGAACCAGAAGTTTGTTTGTACATTTGTAGCAAATTCAGTTAGTGGCAAAATCTGGCCTCTATTGACATGAGGCTATTTGTAGTCTTTACTTATTTCACTTAGTGTGAATAATCAGTGTCTTTGGTTATAGGGTGCTGCCCAAGCCCTTGCTAGAAATGTTATGTAATAGACTTTTGTGTTTAAGTTTTTGTTAGATACAAGTTTTTAATTCAGTTGGATAAATACCAAGGTGTGCAATTGTTCTGTTGTATGGTATGACTATGTTTAGCTTTACAAGAATCTGCCAACTGTCTTCCAAAGTGACTACCATTTTGCATTTCCACTAGCAATGAATGATTTTTAAAAAAGTACATTGAAAAGTTTTCTAGAAAGCATGATATGTTATAGAGAAAATAGGATCCAAAATTAAATGTATATGATCTCAATTATCTTTAACAAAAAAAAGGCAAATGCAAGAACTGGAAGGAAGTACACAAGAATGTTCTATTGTTTCTTTAGTTTAAGATTATGGTGTGCTTATTCCTGCCACTTTGTAAGTTTATATTTACTATTTATTAAACCATGAACAAGTATTGCTTTTATAATCAGAGTAGTGAAAAGAGGAAATAATTTCTTCTTTCTTCCTTTGGTGGTAGGAACCTGCAAATAGTCGTCTACCTCCTCACCTTATTGCACTCGACTCCACAATACCTGGATTTTTTGATGACATTGGGTATCTGGATCTCTTGCCCTGTCGTCCTTTCGACACAGTTTTTATTTTCTATATGAAACCAGGTCAGAAAACAAACCAGGAGGTAAGATTTCTGAATTTGAGGGATAATTTGTATGGTTGTGAATATAAAAAATTGTACATGGCTTGTGCTTATCCGTAGTAAGAGATAAGTTATATTTGATGCTTAAAGACTTGTAAACCAGTTCAGAGACTGAATTAATGAAAACTATGGTGCTTGGAGTCCCAAGCCTTGACTCTCAATGAATTAATTTAGAGCCAAGCTATATAGCATGTCTTTCTTCCTCTTAAGAAATTCAGATTCATAAGACAAAAGAAACTAAAATACCAAAGGTTAGCCACAAAAAGCTAAAGCTAGGCCTGATTGCTTTAGAGTAAAACAACACAACGGATATTTACTGAACATCTTCCCTGTGGCTTAACATGCCAGAGTATAGGCATGATTAACAGTCTTTCCTCCGAAGGAGCTCATCTTCCAGGTAATCTCAGAAGCAAATAATTTCAGTTGAGTTATGCATAGTGTGCAGTGGGGAAAATAACACCTGAAATAGCGGATAAAAACAGAAGACTAAGTAAAACATGGTTGTATACGTGTAACAAAGTGAGTAGGAGAAGAGTGAAGAAAACTGTAAGATAGGTGAGAATGAAAAACAGTGGACGGCAAGAGATTTGAAGTGTCTGTTGGAAATGCATAGTGGAAACATGGAATAGGCAGGCTTACCAAGTGTGACTAGGAAAGGGCCAAAGGAAGATTTGTAAAATACAGTATACAGATGTGTAGGGCACTGTGACTATAAGATCTTGGAATTTTACTGTAATCATTGTAAGACCATTAGCTAATCAAATTGAGAACACCTTAAGAAACTTACCAAAGTCACAAAACATCTATACTGTTAGCACTATTTCAAATTATTGGAGCCCTACTAGAAAAGGAGATTGATTTATGAGAAAGTTCTCATTTCATGTAATTGATTCTGTAAGTATTAAGAGTTTTCGCCCTGGCCAGCTTGGCTCAGTGGATAGAGCATCAGCCTCCGGACTGAAGGGTCCCAGGTTCGATTCCGGCCAAGGGCACATGCCTGCGTTGTAGGCTCGTTCCCCAGTGGGGGGTGTGCAGGAGGCAGCCAATCAATGATTGTCTCTCATCATAGATGTTTCTATCTCTCTCTCCTTCTCCCTTCCTCTCTGAAGTCAATAAAGAAATATATTTTTTTTAAAAAGAGTTTGCAATCAGTTAGGTACCAGGGTTATAGGTGTGAACAAGCTCTACAAGGTTTCTGTCCTTCTAGAACTGCTGTTTAATGGGAAAGACAGATGATTAAATGAACAATCATAGAAAAGTGTGCTAATAGGAATATGTTATAGGCTCCATAACAGGAACACCTAACCTGGTTTCAAGAAGTTGTCCTTGGAGGAAAAGACATGTAAGCTGGTATTTGAAATATGCATTGGCAGTAGATAAAAAGTAGAAGCAGGTTGTCACTAACCAAGTAATAGCATATATAAAGGCTCTGGAGATAAAAGAGAACTCTGTCTTTACAAAATTCATTGAGAGTTTAATATGCTTGGTTCTTGGGAGAATGTAGGCTTGTGGTAGCCAGGAATAAGACTGTTGGACTCAAGTTTTTTGGAAGAACCTCAGTAGAATTGGGTTAATTGCAGGGATTGGGGATCTGTTTCGAAGGAAGTCTAATGCGTGGTTTGTATGAGAATAATAGGACTATTTTTCTCCTACTTGTACAAGAAGACTCAAACCCTTAAGGTAATTCAAACTATTTTAGTTTTCTTAGTTGTCATGGGAGTGAGGGCTACTATGAAACAATGAAGATTTTCTGAGGCCTCTTTTATAATGGCTGAGACCTAGCCACAGGGTAGGTTTAGAATAATTTCTGGCTGCCAGCCAGTGGCCTTCAGGTTGAATTTTATTCACTTACTGCATCTTGACTCAATTTTCAGAAAGTGTTTATTTAAAAGTTTCACTTATGAATACAAATTTTAATTGGAAGAAAACTGGAACTGGCTGTCAAATCAGTTTCCTGGCACTTATAAGAATATATGAAAGGATAGGAGTAAACAAAATAGTTACATTACTAAAAAGTGTTTAAGAGATCATGTGTTTGACAGAAGATGGCCTGGCAGTGATACCCAGTGGATTGAGAAATAAATGTAACACCCCATATTTTGATTTTTTCAGGCCCCCTGACGATCTTAACATAGATTAGCATTGTATGAACTATATCAGTGGTATGTGGACTGGCTGCATCAATCTCAGGGCAGGAGGACTTTTAAAAATAGAAATTCCAGGATACTACCCCTGCTGATTCTGATGTAGAAGGTCTGGAGTGGGCTAAGAGAATCTTAGGTTTAAGAATTTCCACAGGTGATTTTGGTACATTCCCTCCGTCTTCCTCCACCTCCCATTTAATTTGTAGAGGATGTCACATTTCCTCTCTTTAGTGTAAGGTTTTCAACAGCATAACTATTGCTATTTTGGGCAAGAGAATTCTTTCTTAAGGGATCTGTCCTGTAAATAGGAATTAGCAGCATCTTTGGCCTCTACTCACTAGATACCAATAGCTCCCCACCAGTTGAGATAATAAAAATGTCTCCAGACATTGCCAAGTGGCCCCTGGAGGGCAAACTCACTCCTGTGAGTACCACTGTTTCAGAATTAGGGGCTTTTCTTTTGTGGACCAGAAAAAGTCCAGTTATTAAATTTGGTACTTAATGAAGAAGAGAGAACCTTCTGGTCCTTCATTTTTTTCTGGAATGACTGCATGCTCTTCTTTGGACTAAGAGACGGATGTTTTTATGCTCTTTTGTTATACCTAACCTTTATTGAGTTTTTAATAGATTTGTATTTTTGATAGCATTTGTCAAGATTTATAATTAAATGATCACATACAAAGGTAATGTTTTTCACTAACCAGTAATCTCTGTGAAGGCAGGAACAAAGTGTTTTTTGTTTACTTTTAATAAACAAGTCTGGTTCAATAATTGTTTTGCTGGGGTAGCGGCGGGGGGGGGCGGGGCAGCTAAGGGCTTTACTTGCTTTATCTCACTTAATCTTCACAGTCATCATTATTATCCCCATGGTATAGATGAAAAATCTGACACAGTGAGGTTAAGAAATTTGCCCAAGGCCCAGCAAGGATTTGAACTCAAATCTGCCTCAAAAGCATGCATTTTTTTAACTGCAGTTGTATATTGCCAAGTTTATTCTGAACTTAGACTTTATTTGTCAAATACTTCCAAACTAACTGATTTTTATGAAGATTCATTTTGATATGCTCTTGTTTCCTTTATTATAGCTGATGAATGATATGTATTTCAGATTTTAAAGAATGTGGAGTCTTCCAGAAATGTTCAGCCACATTTCCTAGAATTTTTGCTCTCCCTTGGCTGGTCAGTAGATGTGGGCAGACATCCTGGTTGGACTGGGCATGTTTCCACCAGTTGGTCTATAAACAGTTGTGATGATGGCGAAAGACCAGAACAAGGTAAAACTCATTAAGCTCTTTGTTTTTTTTCTTGTTTTGTTACTTTTTTTTATTATTTCTGAAAGTATTGCAGATGTCCCCTTCCTCCCTGCCCCACCTTTACTATGAGTTTGTAGTCTTATTTTTAAAACTAATAAGCAGAGATATATAAAGGAAAATCTCCTTCCCCTAATCCTAGTCTTCACAGGAGGTCACTTAATAATAGTTTGTATATTTTACCAGACATTTTTGTGCATAAATAAATGTTATACTAGTATATGAAAATAGAGTTAATTGATATAATGATCACAAACATAATTTCTTTTTTATAGTGTGAATAAACAAATTTCATTTTCTGTAACAGTATTTTAATAAATTTAGATTATCTATAGCAAATAACACAGTTTCCTAACAAATGTATTTTGCCTAATAAGTACAGTTTTCTATTAACAGGTGTGATTTAGAGACTTAGTGGCTATCATTAAAGGTTACATTCTTGGGACATTATATAAAAACCTTTGTAATTTAAGGGACGGAAGGGGACATCTTAATATTTTCTACAATAGGGAAATTAAAAAGCAAAAAACTTAAACAGCTGACTATCTCTGAGAGATTCACAGTCCCATCTCTACAAATCCTCCTGAAGAACTGTAATGAGGATAACAAGTACCAGAGCAAGTTTAAATTTAAACTGAAGACCTTTGCCCCACCTGGCTGATGTTCTTTGTTCTGAGGGCTTCTGCAGTCACTGGAAAGTTAATGTTATCTCTTTGCAGTGGGTAATGCTTGTGTCCAATGCTTTGAATAATCAGGTTCTTCTTTAACATGATTATAGTTTCTCAAGATTTCCATTGAATACCACTGTGACTTGTGATCTGCAATTTTTTTCTAATTTCAACCAAATTTGAATCAAATTATTTGAGGATATACTGTAATTTTAATTCCCACATATTCTTATGAACTTGAGTATATTTATAGACTAAATTCCCATAATTAGAATTGATAAAGGATATGCATATTTTTCAATTTGATAAATATATCAGTTAGATGCTTATGGTTGCAAGTAACAGAAAACATGACCCATACTGGCCTAGATTTTAATGGTCATCTATCGCCTCATGTAACTGAAAGCTGCAGATTACTGTACAATTTTGTTGTCACTTGATCAGCACTCTTGTTCTATTTCTCTTCAATTTTCTTTTAGCTCAGCCCTCCAAGTGTTGGCTTTGTTCCCAGCCTGGTTTCTCTCATAGTGCAAAAAGGCAATTCCAGGCTCTACATTCACATACCACATTAGCCTGAATAGAAGAGATTAGTTGAACTTCTCTATTCCCAAATCCTGAGATACTCAGGGATTGGACCAACCCAATCTATTGCTATGGCAGGAGAGTTGGAATGACCCTCAGAAGAGAGCTATAGACAAGGTAGAACTGGTAGTGAAGAGACAATCCTGCCCACAGTTCACACCTGCTACACAGAGTAGGGGAGGGTGGGCTGGGTATTGAAGCAGTAAACATAGTATCCACTGCAGTAGGTACAAAATGCCTTCCCAGCGTCTAAACCAGGAGTCAGCAAACTACAGCCCATGTCTGTTTTTGTAAATAAAGTTTTATTAGAATTTTAAATAACTTACAGAATACTTGTTTATTTTTATTTTTTATTTTTAAATATATCTTTATTAATTTCAGAGAGGAAGGGAGAGGGAAAGAGAGATAGAAACATCAATGATGAGAGAGAATCATTGATTGGCTGCCTCCTGCACGTCCCCCACGGAGGATCAAGCCCGCAACCGCAACCCAGGCATGTGCCCTTGACCGGAATCGAACCTGGGACCCTTAAGTCCACAGGCTGACGCTCTATCCACTGAGCCAAACCAGTTAGGGCACAAAACACTTGTTTATGTATTGTCTTTGATACAATAGCAGACTTGAGTAGTCATGGCCTACAGTTACTCTCTGATCCTTACAGAAATAGTCTGCTACTCTGGTCTAAATTTTCTGTTTGTCACATCCTCACCAACATTAGATATCTTTCAATCTGTTAGGTGAGAACTTTTCTATTTTAAAGTATGATTGTTTTTAGCATCTTTTTATTTTTTTTCCTGAGAACTGCTTGTTCATTTCTTCCCAACTTTTTTCAGGTTGTTGGTCTTTTATGTACTACTGATTGGACATTTTAATTGTGTTCATTTTAATGGAGAACTATACTAACTCTCAGGAATGCTACTTTTATTAATTCAATCTTGCTGGCTTAGAGCAGATACTATTACTAAAACTTCCTGTACATTTTATATGATATCACTGACCATTGGGGAAGGGGGAACAGAGCAGAGCTGAGGAGCAGCGGAGAGAAACCAGGAACCAAAATGCCTTAGCAAGAGTACACACGCGGACACTTGCCTGCTCCCTTCAGAGGGATTCTAGTGGTCTTGTTTCTTTTGATCATTGCCTCTTCCAAAAAGACTGTTTCCTTAATCTGCTGCATACAGGTGAACCAAAGGCCCTGCTAATCAGAAGTGGTCTGACTTACAGAAGTTTTAGAGACTATGAAATTAAAATTTCATAATTTAAAGTTCGTGTGAAGACATTTAAAGAACATGTAGAATTTATTCTTCTTATACACTAATTGGTTCTTGTTGGAAATGTACCTTCTATTTATTATCACTTTCTTAACCAGTTAAAATTTCACAAAGCAGGATAATATTTGTTTTTTTTTCACTTTTTGGAGCAGTAACATAGTGTTCTCATTCCTAGATGAAGTGATTTCCTCTGAAGATATTGGGGCTAGTATTTTCAATGGCCAGAAGAAGGTGCTGTATTACGCTGATGCCCTTACAGAAATATCTTTTGTGGTTCCTTCTCCCGTGGAGTCATTAAGTAAGAGCATTTTTTGTATGGTGCTATTTTAAGATCTATTTTTGTATTCACTGGTTTGTGCAGTATTATTGCATTGGGAGAGATTCTGAAGTCATCTAAGGCATTCTGCTTCTAAAGCATGATAGCTTTTAGATTATGCAAAGGTACAGGATGTTGGCTCCTCTTAAATTTTTAAAGAAAAGTAGTTAAAGACAAGCAGACTGACCTTCTAATTATATTCTTTAAATAGTGAAGGAGACCCACTTCAACCCATATTTTGTTTTTCTTTAATTATAATCAATACATAGAAGCCTTGTTTTTCAGTTTATTCATTTCACTAATTATGCTTGAGCCCCCACCTACTTCCCTATTTCCTGTGAGAGCCTTTATATGGAACCCAGAGAGTCTTACAATTGGAAGGCTCTCATGATGGCCTCTGGCTTATCTAAAACTGAGCAGGAGAAACTTCAGCAGCCTAGAAAAGATGGTGATCAAAAGTGTTCTTTGTAAGGATCAGGGATGATCATTACTTTTCAGTCAGAACTCAGTCTTATTTTTCCTAGAACCTTTGCTTCTTACAAATTAAGCCCATATCTTTGTACCTGACAAAGCAGTGGGTGGAAGGTTTACCCTTTTCTTCATTGAGGCCATCTGGAGAATGGGATGCCACACATCATATTTTCACTGTCTCATCACCAGGCTAATGACTTTTTGGGTCCTACCTTGGTAGCCTCCTTAACCTTTTACTTGGACCCTTGATTTCCCACTCTAGGCCCCTCCCTATTTCATACTGTGGGGCCAGTGTGTCTCTGGCAATAGTGGCCTTCCATGATCTAAGTCAGTATCTTAGCAGATGTTTGCCTTCATGTCAAGGCTATGATCTACCACCTAATTCTAGAAGCCAGGCCCTATCTATCCTCTCTGGGCCAAGTCCCTGCCTATGTGTCTGGCCCAGCCTGCTTGCACCAACCCAGTTCTCCCACAGCTAGATCCATGTCCTTATAGCAGTTCCCACAGTTGAGTCTTCACCTCCTGTCATGAAATATCCCCTGTGCCAATTGTGCCCCTGCTCCAAATCAGCCTCCTCCTATTTCTTGAGAGTTGTCTTCCTTTGTTTTTTATAGTTCTCTGTGTGTTTGCCTCCAGTCAGATCATTCCTTAATCACAGAGACTAGGATTGCCCAGTGCTGCTTAGCACCATGCTATATGGTTGCTATATAATCAGAATAATTCAGAGATTAGCAGATGGCTTTTATTATATCTACATCTGAAAAGTGAAATATTTTCAAATCTTACTTCAGTTATCCTGTAGGACAGGAGCCGGCAAACTATAGGACACAGGCCAAATTCAGAATGCTAAGAGCAGTTTTTACATTTTTAAAGGATTATCATTAAAATATAAAGAAGAATATGTGATAGAGGCCTATACAGCCAGCGAAATCTAAAATATTTATTACTTGATCCTTGTAGGGGTGAGGAACTTTTTTTCTGCCAAGGGCCATTTGGATATTTATAACAACATTCACGGGCCATACAAAATTGTCAACTTAAAAATTGGCCTGCTATATTTGGTCAAACAATTAACTCACTCCTAATGCCTTGGCAAGTACAGACCAAATGATTTCGAGGGCTTTATACAGCCTGCAGGCCGGACATTCCCCACCCCTGCTTTACAGAAAATGTTTGCCAACCCATGCTGTAGAAGTAATGCTTTGTTTAAGTGACTTAGGTTAGACTACTAGCATAATTAGTTTACACACTTTTGCTCCAAACAAGTAGTAGGTATTATAATTTTTTTTCTCTTATGCCATAGCTGATTCATTGGAAAGTAACATCTCGGACCAAGACAGTGATTCAAATATGGATCTTATGCCAGGAATTCTGAAACAGCCATCCTTGACACTTGAGCTTTTCCCTAATCACACAGACAATCTTAATTCCTCACAGAGGGTAAGTCACTTCGTTGTTAGATCTCCAAAAAGTTATAGTGGGGGTAATTATAGAATCATGCCTGCAAAGCTTTTGCCTTTAACCCAGAGAGTAATCGATAGTTACACTGATTCATTAGTGTCTCCATTTTTAAAAGCAAATTCTCATGGTTCTCTTTTTTTTAGCTTGCAACAAATAGTTCATTCTAAGACGGCCTTTGTTTCCCTTGATTTAGCCATTCTAGTACCATGTTTGGTTCTCTCACCCATTTCTTCTTAAGCCTACGTTTTTATTTAGTACCAGAAATATCTACTAAAACTGGAGCAGTGCCTCTACAATTCACATCTTTAATCGTGCAACATTCAACTTAAACAAGTCTGGCTATATACAAATGGTAGCAATTTGGAGAACAGCTCAATATATGAATGAATACACTGAGTGAGGTACACAGCAGCTACTACAAGAAGAGAGCATTTTACTTTTTTCTTACCATATCAATGGATGTTATGTCTTTATCTGTGTTTTCTCCTCATGTTACCTGTTTTTTTGTTATTTTTAATCCTCACCCAAGGCTATTTTTCCATTGATTTTTAGAGAGAGTGGAAGAGAGAGGGAAAGAAGAGAAACACATCGATTGGTTGCCTCCTGTACGTGCCCTGACCAGGGCCCAGGCTGGGGAGGAGCCTGCAACCAAGGTACGTGCCTTTGACCAGAATCGAACCCAGGACTCTTCGGTCCACAAGCTGACACTCTATCCACTGAGCCAAACTGTCTAGGGTCTCATGTTACCTCTTAAGCCTTACTGGAAAGTGACTAAGTAAGTAATATCAAGAGTACAGAACTAGTTCACAAGTATAAGAAGATTGATTTAAAACAAATAAGCCCAGCTGGTGTGGCTCAGTGGTTGAGTGTTGATCTATGAACCAAGAGGTCACGGTTCAATTCCCGGTTAGGGCACATGCCCAGGTTGTGGGCTCGATCCCCAATAGGGGACGTGATGTGCAGGAGGCAACCAATCATTGATTCTCTCTCATCATTAATGTTTCTCTCCTCCTTTCCTCTCTGAAATCAATAAAAATATATTTAAAACAAATAATAAAAAAGACAAAAGAAGTGTAAACTTGACTGAAGCCATTCTTCTGTTGTAAGGATTTTAATTTGGCTCCTTCCATAGTGAAAATGATTCTATATAATAAAAGCATAATATGCTAAGTGTCTGGTTGGCCGTTCAACCAATCAAAGAGTAATATGCTAATGATATGCTAAGGCCACTCAACCGCTTGCTATGATGTGCACTGACAACCAAGGGACAGACAGTCGACCAGTCTCTATGACATGCACTGACCACCACGGGGCAGGCGCTCTGACTGGTAGGTTAGCTTGCTGCTGGGGTCCGGCCAATCCGGACTGAGCGAGATGGGCCAGACATTCCTTGGAGCCCTCTCGGGGTCCCTCCCTGGCTGGCCAACCTCTCGTGTCCCTCCCCAGCCCCGATTGTGCACTGGTGGGGTCCCTCGGCCTGGCCTGTGCCCTCTCACAATCTGGGACCCCTCAGGGGATGTTGGAGAGCCAGTTTCGCCCAATCCCGCAGGCCAGGCCAAGGGATCCCACTGGTGCACACGTGCACTGGGCCTCTAGTTCTTAACATAAGTATATGGGAGGAGTTTTCACCTTTAAAATTGCTTTAGGCAAAAAAGTTAAGTTGTATAGGACACTTTGAAGTAGACTGATTTTGAAAATCAGGAGTTGCTATATTTAAAAAGATTTTACAGAATACAGTTGGGAGATGAACAAGTCTATTGGATGGTAATGCAGGATTTTAGCCAGATCTAATAGTCAGTGATTGGCTGTTCTTATACTCATTTTCTGAATGCCAGCATAGTTAGTTATTCCTTAAAATCCAAAGAATGAAAACTCTTAAAGCACATTGTTTTTTATTTATTACATACTGAATTTTTAAATAATTAACAAACTAAAAAAAGAAAAATCATTATCTCAATAGATGCAGAAAAAAACAGTTGAGCAGGAAAAAGGTCAGTGTATTAGGCAGAATTCGAAGATGACCCCCAATGATTCTTGCCCTTGTAGAATGTCATCCCCTTCCATGTGGGTGGAACTTGTGAATATGATGAGCTAGACTGTGATTATGTTACATTTTATGGCAAAGGGGTTTTGTGGATGTGATTAAAGTTACTTTGAGGTAATCAAAAGGGGGATAATCCAGGTAGGCCTGACCTAATCACAGGAGCTTTTCAAGTCTAGGGCTGGAAGTCAGATGTAGGAAGTCAGAGATTCAAAGCTGATTAGGAGCCATGATGCTAAAAGAATAGTGTCTGAGAGTTGCCTGGGTATCTGTCACTAATTTGGGGAAAATCTCTCGGTCATTCATTTTCTGTGAATGTCATGATAGAAATAAGAATTTGGGGGAATTGTCATGGTCTCTGGTCATCTGGTAAAAACATGTATATTTTTGTGTGTACAAGCGTTATTTTTATTATTATTTTATCCTCACCCATATATTTATTGATTTTTTTAGAGAGAGGAAGTAGGGGAGAGAGAGAAAGAAACATCGATCGCTTGCATCCTGTATAGTGGGGATCGAACCTACAACTTATATATGTGCCCTGACTGGGAACCGAATGTGCAGCCTTTTGGTGTATGGGATGACGCTCCAACCAACTGAGCCACCCAGCCAGGGCAAGCATCATTATTCTTAAAATTCAACTTCAGTTTGGGATTTTCCCTTCTTTCTGTACAACATAGCTTTGTTTAGGGCTTTAGCATAAACTCAGGTCTGATGCATGCCCTGAAAGTAGATGAGACTCAGAGTGCCATTTGCTAAAGGGGAAACTCATAGTTCTGTTAGCCTTTCAAAGGAACTTACAGCTGACTGGGAGGGCAGGGAAGCCAAAGAAAACTGCATGATAGTGAAGACCTGAGCAACATTTTTTTTCTTTCTGCTGACAACACAAAGGAATTTGGGGGGGCTTCAATTGTAATTGGTATGAGAATGAGGAATAACTTGCTGGTGGGACATTTAAAAGATAAGGATTTCCAGGTAAATCAGTAATGTTACCATGATGAGGAAAAACACTGCTTTCTGGCCATATAGATGAACTCAAATCATAAATTTTCAATTATTAATTGTCAGTTTAATATAGTTTTTTTTCCCTTGAGGATTTTTTGTTCTTTATTTATTTATTAAATTTATTGGGGTCCTTTGAGGATGTTAGGCCTTCATTCCTCTGTTCTAGGTTGAGACTTAATAAAGGTAACTGATTTCCCAAGATCCGATACTTATGTCACTGGGTAGCTTGAGGTCTGTATGATTATAGTTTAATTAAGCCAGTTCTTTTTTTTTTTTTTCTCCTATCCTGCTTTTCTCTGCCTCATATAGCTCAGTCCCAGTTCCAGAATGAAGAAGCTGCCTCAGGGCCGCCCCGTGCCTCCCCTTGGACCTGAAACAAGAGTGTCTGTAGTCTGGGTGGAACGCTATGATGATATAGGTACTATATTATAGGGACGTTGTCTATAAATAAAATTAGAATGACCATGACTTTCTAAAGGTCTAAAGGGAATGGCAGCATAGGCGTGGTGTGGCAGCCAGAAGCTGGGACTGGAATTCAGCAGACCTGGGTCTGCATCCCAGCTCCACCACTCAGTTTCCTTAAGCTTTGGAGTATTTATCTGTTCAATGGAGACACTCGTATTCCTTAGTTCATAGTTGTGAAGATTTGATGAGACTAGTGGATATAAAATCTTTAGTTTTGCTTGGTATGGTATGACAGTTAATGGTCTATTGCCACTTGGTCCTACTCACCCCAGGACTTTGGGGAAGGGGGAGCACTTCCCTCACCCTCTTCCCTGGAACCCTACTATCTAGATTTAGTGTAAAGATTAATTTATTCTTAGGAATTCTGCTATGGATAAGTCCTTTGTGACGTTTATATAAGCAACATAAGAATCTTAGAAATGCATATTTAGCTTAGAATCTCATCTGGCTCAGAGTTTATGGGAAAGTGTGATAGTTGCTTTCCAGCCCCTCCACAACCCTTTCCAAGCCCTCAAAGACTACAGATCACGTTCTCTAACAACTGTCTGCTTTAGATGAACTTAGCAAAAATATGTGTTGAGGGAGAACTCTTTATTTGTGAGGAATAGTTTATATTGTAAGATTATATTGTAGGATAGCATAGTCCAAATATTTGTTGCCTACTTGTGTAGAGAGTTTAGAAAATTAGATTTCCTATTATTTGTTTGGGAAATAGAAGGGAGATATTAATTGCAATGCTATTATTTTCTTCCAGAAAACTTTCCCCTCTCAGACCTGATGACAGAAATCAGTACTGGTGTGGAAACTACTGCAAATAGTAGCACTTCTCTGAGGTACACTCTTATTTGCTTGAAGTTTATCAGCATGTCTTTTAAAATATGTTGATTGCAGTTTAATCAAGAAAGATTTATGAAACAAATGGGATGAAGGCAATCATAACCAAACAATGGAGGGGGTGGGGAGGACCAAAGACCTTTGTAGATAAGTGCATAAGGTGATCAAATTAGCAGGATTTTTAAAAGGCATAATTAATTGCTGTTTTACATTTATCTGCAGCAAAAAGACAAATGGAGATGTGAAGGCATCTAAGTGTTAATGAAAACTGATAATAGGGTAGCAATCTATACTAATAAATGGGTAATATGCTAATTAGACTGGGTCGACCGGACATCTTCCAGTCATCCTGACAAAGCCACGGTGGTGGGGGCTGAGGCAGAGGCAGTTAGGGGCGATCAGGCTGGCAGGCAGAGGGGTTAGGGGCGATCAGGCAGGCAGGCAGAGGAGTTAGGGGCGATCAGGCAGGCAGGCAGGTGAGTGATTAGGAGCCAGCGGTTCCAGATTCCAAGAGAGATGTCTGACTGCCAGTTTAGGCCCGACATCCCCCAAGGGGTCCCGGATTGGAGAGGGTGCAGGCCGGGCTGAGGAACCCCCCTCCCCCCGCATGAATTTTGTGCACTGGGCCTCTAGTATTAGATAAAATAATGGAGTTAAATTGGTCAAAACATTCTGGACAGATAGCAGTTAAAATATCCAAATCACATGAGCTATTTAGTGGAAAAAATATTTTAAACTTTATTAAAAAATTGTTAAGATTTTTATTTTAGCGGCCCATGCACAAACGGAATAAGAAGAAAATAATATGATTGCCAGAATAGTCACAGTGTATCTGTATAGGCTTTATAGTTTCAAGATTTTTTGCTTAACTGTTTTTGGCTTAAACAAATAACTTTAAAATAATTCCAAGGGTACAATTATCATCTTCATTTTGCAAATGGGATAAAATATTCCTCATCATCACATATTCAATTAATGAAGGATTTAAGAATCTAAATCCAAATGCTAACCTCATCTCCCACATCTCACAGAGCTACCCTTGTTATCAGGCTAAACCTGATATTTTAACTTTGCGCAAGTTCCTTCAGTGTACATGATCTGGTTTGTATTGCGTGTAAGATGAATTTAGTCTAACATTGTTAGATTATTGTTGTAGAATGAAGTCAGTAAAGATAATTTATTTTATCATATTTTAAAATTTCTAGAAGAGGTCAAGTCATTAATAAAACTTTGTGTTTTTGGCCCTAGCTAGTGGAGGATTGGCCCGTGCACCAAAGGGTCACCATGGGTTCAATTCCTGGTCAAGGGCACGTACCTGTGTTTGCAGGTTCTATCCCCAGGCCCAGTTCAGGGATCTTGTGGGAGGCAACCAATCGATGTGTCTCTTTCACATCGCTGTTTCTTTCTCTCTCTCTCTCTCTCTCTCTCTCTCTCTCCCTCTCTCTCTCCATCTCCCCACCCCCTTCCTCCCTCTCTCCCTCCCTCCCTCCCTTCCAGTCTTTCTAAAAAAAAAATCAATGGGAAAAAATACCCTCTGATGAGGATTAACAACAAAAAAGGAAATTTTTTTTTTAATTTTTAAAGTTATTAAGCATATTCTAATGTCTAACATGGTACAGAGTAAATTGTCAGGAGCTGGTTTTTTTATGCCAAGGTATTTTAAAGCAATTTACTAGGTGTATTGGTTAATAATGCGGATTTTTTTCAATAGATGGAGTTACACATATGTTGATATATGCGATTTGATATGTATGCTATTTTGTTGTATTGACAACAAGCTTCAAAACTTCATATGTCAAATTTGCTGAAGGTGTTAACATCATAGATATTTTTACACTTAAAAATGTCGAATTTTGTGCCAAAAAAAGAGCATTTGCAGGAAGTTTTAATTCATTATTTTGAAAAAAAAGTGCAGCTGAATACTTCGGGAAGCTTATGGTGAACATGCTCCATCTCAAGATACTTGCGAACGTTGTTTTAAAAGTGATGATTTCAATGTGAAAGACAAAGAACGTCCAGGTCAACCAAAAAAGTTTGAAGACCAACAATTACAAGCATTATTGGATGAAGATGCATGTCAAACTCAAAAACAACTTGCAGAATGATTAAACGTTGCTCAGCAAACAATTTCAGATGGTTTACAAGCAATGGGAAAGATTTTGAAGGAAGGAAAATGGGTGCCACATCAACTGAACGAAAGACAAATGGAAAACCGAAAAGTCATCAGTAAAATGTTGCTTCAACAGCATGAAAGAAAATCTTTTTTGCATCAAATTGTTACTGGCGATGAAAAGTGGATTTATTTTGAGAATCCCAAATACACAAAATCATGGGTTGATCCAGGTCAACCGTCAACATTGACTGCAAGGCCACATCACTTCAGAAAGAAGACAATGCTCTGCGTTTGGTGGGATCATGAAGGTGTGGTGTATTATGAGCTTCTAAAACCAGGTGAAACCATTAATACTAATCACTACCGACAACAAATAATCAGTTTGAACCACGCTTTGATTTTGAAATGACCGGAATGTGCCAGAAGACATGGCAAAGTAATTTTGCTTCATGATGACGCACCATCACACACTTCAAAACCAGTTAAAGACACATTAAAACAGCGGTTCTCAACCTATGGATCGCGACCCCTTTGGGGGTCGAACGACCCTTTCACAGGGGTCGCCTAAGAACATCGGAAAACACATATTGAATATATAATTACATATTGTTTTTGTGATTAATCACTATGCTTTAATTATGTTCAATTTGTAACAATGAAAATACATCCTGCATATCAGATGTTTACATTATGATTCATAACAGTAACAAAATTACAGTTATGAAGTAGCAATGAAAATAATTTTATGGTTGGGGGTCACCACAACATGAGGAACTGTATTAAAGGGTCGCGGCATTAGGAAGGTTGAGAACCACTGCATTAAAAGATCTTGCCTGGGAAGTATTAACCCACCCGAGTATTTACCAGACCTTGCTCTTTCAGATTACCATTTGTTCCGATCAATGGCAAATGCACTTTCTGAGCAGCACTTCAAAACATACGAAGAAGTGAAAAATTGGGTCTCTGAATGGTTTGCCTCAAAACAAGAAAAGTTCTATTGGGACGGTACCCACAAATTACCTGAAAGATGGGGGAAATGTGTAGCTAGCGATGGATATTACTTTAAATAAAGCACTTTTGATGTTTCTCTTGAAATTATCCTGTTTTCTTTAATTACAAAATCTGCATTATTAACCGATACACCTAGTAGAGATATTCTAATGTTCTAAGTATTTGAGCATACATCTCTAAAAATTTAGAACACTTTTTAAGTAGATAAAGATAACATTATCATGATAATAAAGTTAATGAAAATTGCTTAATTTCATCTAGTGACCAGTTTACATTAAAATTTCTCTATTTTCCCTAAAACATCCTTTATAGCTCATTTGTTCAAACCAGAATCTATTCCCAGACCTTGCATCTAGTATTAATTCCTTCAGTCTCTTTTACTTCAGAACAGTCCTGTTTTTATTTTTCCTGAAGAGACTAAAGTAGTTTTCATGAGGTGGATTTTTCTAGAACTTCTTTGAAAGGAAACATTTGTCTTACACTCATTTTTGTTAGTGTTTTAATATTTTTATGTCAAAAGTTCTAAAATGATTAGACAATTTGTATTTAATTAGTACATTAGCAAAGTTTAGGATTTGTCTTGAGGCTAGAATTAGTATAGGATTGATTTTTAGTTAATGTCTTGAAAAGTTGACTCACTGTTGCTTTGGCCAACATCACTTTACCTATATAGAAGGAAAGGTCATTGTGTTGCAAAACAATTAGAAGCAAACAAACAAAACACCAACCCTGACATGTAACATCACAGAATCTCACAGGCATCTCTAGATGCACTGGCATATACCTGACTCATGATGTGTCACTCGGTCTCCCAAAGGTGTGATTGCTTTCTTAGCACCTGTTACTTGTTCAGAGGCTTTAATGGCTTTGGCTCTGCCAAGATGTCGCCATTTATCACCTTTGCCCAGGAGTCCCTCCTAACCTCCTTCCCCATCTCCTGAAAAAAAATTTTATCAGGGGTTCCCATGAGTCCCATTTTTGCTCTGAGGTGCCAGTGTTGACTGTAGTGGAGTTCCCTGCACTTGTCTCAGCTCACTTTTGTTCCTTACAAGGAGGAGGAACTGAGTGTAAGTCCCCATAGCTGGTTGCTAGATTTATAGCTCCCCCAATAGATTTCTCTGGCCTTTTCTTCCGCTCCGTGTCCCCAGTGGTTTTCTAAGCACACTTTTAGTGCCTTTTTTGTCAGTTCAAAACACCCAGCCCCAGTGATGGGTATTTAGGGTCAGGTGTCGAGGTGTTTCATCATGGGCCTCCAGGAAGAGGCCTCAGCAGACTGACCCCATGGCTCTTATCAAACTCTGCCTGAAAACAAGTCACTGGGTAGTCTTATATTACACATTACTATTTGGGGTAAAAAGTGTTTTCCTTTCTTAAGATCTACCACTCTTGAGAAGGAAGTTCCTGTCATCTTCATTCACCCTTTAAACACTGGATTATTCCGGATAAAAATTCAAGGAGCCACTGGAAAATTTAACATGGTCATCCCTCTTGTGGATGGGATGATCGTCAGCAGGCGAGCACTCGGTAAGGTCTTCACATGTGGTTGAAGGGTTGTCGTGTCTTTTTTTAAAATATATTTTTATAAGCCAAAATGAAGTAGAAATAAGGAAAAATGTTACTAAATAGGGCCCACATGTAGAAAAATGCTGTGGTCTTGTTCAAAAGGAAGCAAGCTTTGAAGTGTGCTTAACTAGTAAGTATGAGTAGAACTATAATTCACAAAATTCCAGTATTAGAAAGTGAAGATAGCTATTTGTAATCCAGGGCAGGAACTGGGTCATCAGACCAGATTTTTATTCTGTTTTTCCTTGTCCTTGTATGTTTCTTCTGATAGTTTTATCTTCATCGAGCTCTGTCCGTCTCTCTGGGGATGGGAAGAGCTTTGCAAATGGGCTGATAGTTTGAGTGTGTGGAGAATAGTTCACTTCAGTACTGAGAGTTCACCTAGCTGACTGATGATTCACATTGTTTTAAAACCTTCTGTTTTCAAGGTTTCCTGGTGAGGCAGACTGTAATTAATATTTGTAGAAGAAAGAGGCTGGAGAGTGACTCCTACAGTCCACCACATGTCCGCCGGAAACAGAAAATCACTGACATTGTCAACAAGTACCGGAACAAGCAGTTGGAGCCAGAGTTTTATACTTCACTTTTCCAGGAGGTTGGACTCAAGAACTGTAGTTCTTAGACTCTTGAACTGTCTAGGATTCTTCAACTCCAGTTTGGGGCTATAATATCAAAGTAAAACAATTTGATAGGTGATCACTGTAAAGATAAAAACAAATCACTCCCCAAGAGCTTACTGTTTAATCACCAGAATAGAAGAAACACATTTAAACCCTTCTGATAGAAGACTTCCAGCTTTCTAGTGAAATGGGCTCCAGACACAATCATATTCCTTCTGGTAATGATGATATACATTTTAGCCATAAACTTTCTTTTAAAAGTGACAATTTTAGTTAAATCTGAGCCTTTTGAGGAGAAAGGCTTTTATGCATCTCAGTTAAACACTTGCATTGGTAGTATCAAATTTGCAAATTAGAAGTTGAAGATAATTTTATACCTCACTTTTTAGGAGGTTGTGTTCAAAATTAAAATCTGTCTCAGAATCTTCAGGACCTTTGAAGACTCAAGTTGATAGCATGGAGGAAAAGGAAAGAAATCTCAACTTTCTGCTCACTCATTAGGTCCATTTGTCATCTGTCTGTCATCCAGCTGTCCAGCTGACAGAAAAGGACTTGTTTTTGGCTCAGATATGAAGTCTGGCATTAAAATCTTTCATATTTTCTCTCCACATTTCAAAAAGTTGTTATGCTCATTACTGCACAGACCTGTCTGAAAGCCTCATTTCTGGGCAGCCCAGGAGCAGATCTAATATGGAGGCATGGCCCTGTCCTTTAATAGGGGGACAGAAGGAGTTTGTGGGGTTAGAAGTTGTAAGACAGCAGTGATGCCTCCACTCTCTCCAGTATTGTCTAGCTTGGTGACACAATGACAGGGTAAACATTTGTAATTCCTTGGTAATTTCTTGGTTAAATAGTAAGAAATATAAATTCACAACAAGAGTTGAAAATTATTTGGTTTCATTCATTGTCTCTTATTTCAGGACCAAGCAGGAGACTGCAGTAGTTTATGAAGGATTCTAATTTGGGGTTCAGGAAATAGCCTCTCACCGCTACTAATTCAGATCTCTCCCAGAGAGCTACTGGATTTCATCACTGTTGACAAACATTAGTGACCACCTCCTTGGGTGGCTGCTGTGAAAAATGGCTATTGTCATATTTTCTGGACTTTGCCAGCTGAAGGCACAACAAATCCCAGCCTGGGTTTTGGAAATACTTGTTACCTCGCTGCTACTTTTCTGCCAGGGATAAATGTTTTGAGGTGGCCAGACCCAGAACATCGATTACAAGGATTCCTGTTACAGCTCTAGAGTAGACACTGCTTATTTCTCCTATTCTTATGCACTTTCCTCTTTATTAAGATCATTTTATGTTAAGAAAATAAGTGACATTTAAAGTCCAAAAAGGAGTGATCACAGTTGTATTAGGGGTGATTTCTCACCTGAAGTCTGTTATCAATAGATTCTGTAGGTTAGGGATGCAATGGTCTGTTTGGTTTGATGTAATTAGGGGGCAGAGGATAGTGTGTAGGGCCTAATTCCCTGTGCAGGTACTTCTGTTTCAGAAGTACGTATTTTGTCATGTATGAGCAAGAAATGTGGGCATAGTGGCTCCTGGTTTTAAGTTTGCTATACTTTTTTCTTCATGTTTGTTTTAAGCTCAGGTAAAACCTATGACTCCATTTTCCATTCAGGGTATGATGTTATTCAGTAATTGATTTTCTTTGTAATCTGGGCAATAAATTGATGTTTCCAGGTGGCAGCATGGAGGAGGGGTATGTATGATAAAGTTTAGGAAGTTCTACTCTAAAAATGTTTTAGTAGCTCAGCAGATATAAGGCGAGGTTTAACAGTTTTCATGGAAGTTCCAGATTGACCGTTCAAGGGGAAAATGGGCCCTTGTTCTAGTGGTTGTGAACAAAGAAGGCTATAAATTGATGTGCAACTTATAACATTCCAGAGGTTAAAAATAGCTGATGTAGGTGTACTGCCTCAGTGAGATTTTTCAGATAAACCTTTTACCTTTGGCTTAGTTTTACTACTGTCAGCAAAATGTACTGTGGTGTGCATGTTGCAGGTAGGCTTCCTGATCCTGTAGTTTGCTATAATTTCTGGCAACTCCTTGTAATTCGAATGGCTTTGATAAGTGAACATCTGTGTTGAATGGAATTTGTGACCTGAAAGATCTAGTGGTCTCCCAGGGAAGGAGGGATGGATTCAGGACTATGAAGTCCAGTATGTAAGGCACAAACAGTATGAGGTACACGACCTTGTCAGGTGCTGGTTCCTTCTGTTCAAAATAACATCTGCTTTAAAAGGAGGTGTGGTAAGAGCCTTGCACCTTTCACTAGAATTACGGGTTTGAGTTCATGGTCACTAAGGTCACCTACCTGCCTTTGTTAAAGTCACTTTGAGTAGAATAATGGCAGAGGAGCATATTTAGTCCCTAGTAACGGTTTTTAGAAGTCCACTTTATAAGCTTGCTAGTGTGCACTCATAACCTTTGGAGGGAAGCCGGGACCGCTTGGGCCTGTGGCTTAGACAGTTTAGTTGCTGTATGCGACAGGTGCACTGGGAGGTGGATGAGCGTGGCATTCATGACAAGAAAAGCATTACCCAAGGGACAGAGTCAGGTAGTCCCTCATCCTTCTAGCTTGCGTTTGGTGATGGAGGCTTTCCTCTTCCTCTCTCTGGAAGCACTGAGGACAGTAACAGGGCTTTTGCCTTTTTAACCCTTTCCTTGTTCAGCCAACTTTCCCTTTTGTTCAGTGCTTCCCTCTAAGTGCCCCCTTCTCCTGCCCATTGGCTGTTTGACAGGAATAGTTACGTTGTGGGTTGACACTACTCAGACACACACTCAAACACACACATACACTCACACACGCACACACACACCTGCGTGCACACACACACGCATCCATGCTGCTCACCATTTCCAGGTCCTCTACTTCAGGGCAACCCATTCTCCTCTGGCCTCATAAATACGAAAACCTACAGCTTTGGCCAGTAATGTCGCGAGGTCTTCACAAACGGTTACTTCTACGTGCACGGAGGAACTCTGTCAGGTTCTGCAGACTGCTATTTAAAAAGGCAGAGTCTTCAAGAGTATTTATTTTTACTGGCAGGTGAACTTTACCCAAAGTGGGAGTCAGCATTGCTCAAAGGCTTGGTTTGTAAAAAGTAGATGGTAAAAGGTGTAATAGAGATAATTTGACACTCCTGCTGGCAGTAGTTCTCCATTCAGCATTTAAAAACCCATTCAGGTTATATCTTCCTTAAAAAAATGGTTCATATGTTTACATGAAATGATAAGTTGCATTAGATGGTCTGTTTTAAGGATTTCCATGACAGCCTCTTTTCCTGAGACAGAGAGATTGGAGGTAGTCCACCCGCTCAATGTGGAAGCAAACGGGGGTTCTTTTCTTGGTAGCTAAAGAAGCCATGTACTTATTGTATAGTGTTTTTCTCAAGAGTATCAACTCATGTTCTCCAGATGCTTTTCTTTTTTTATAATGGTGAGGGAAGAGGTATAATTTGGGATTCCACAGTGCCTTGCATATAGTAGGCGCCCAATAAATATTTGTTGAAGCAAACCAAGTTTCCCAAGTCCTTGTCTCTTGCAGTGACCAAGAACATCTTTCTCCTCCGAAGGGCTTGGCAGTTGTGGCTAAAAGATAAGCAGTATCATTATTTGCTTGAAACCATATATACAATTTGTATGAATTTCAATATGTTGCCAAGACATGACCTTTTTCTTATTGTATTTTCTGTAAATATTTCTGGCTCTGAACTGTAAAGTAAAGGCGAAATGTAAATATGAAGGCGCCGTGTCCCTCGCCTCCTGTGTTTTCTCTTCGTTGGTTAGGGAAGAAGGCCCAGAGGCTTGTTTGTATTTATGCCGATCCTTTGTCCAGAAGAAACCCATGGAATATTGAATGTAATACATTTAGTCAATTAAATTTTAAGGAGATTCTTATCTAACGTCGTGTGTGCTTTTGGTCCTAGGCCGGGGTTTGACTCCTGTGTGGGTGTTCTAACTTAACTCTTTCCAATATTAGATCTGTGCGGTTTCCTCCTGGTTTGGGGGAGTCTCATCAAGTACTCAGACTTGGTCAAAGTATTTGGCTTCTGCGCTGGAAGGATCTTGTGTAATGAAGTCCCTGCCAGCAGAGGCCACATCCCAGGAGCAGCAGTCCCGAGACACACGGAACGCACTGTGCTCTCTGCCCACAGAGGACTGAGCTCTGCCAAGCTGGCCAGTCAGGAAAGTGGTGGAGGTTTGGCTGCAGAGGGTTCCATGGGGCCAGATTAGCATCTTAATGCCTAGATGACACATGGGTGGTCATGCTGCCCAAGGTGGAGATGGGTGCCTTTGCCTAGAGCCGCCCCCTCCAGCCTGGCACTGATTCCCTGTGAAGTTAGTGTGCGGCCCCTGGACTGTGCCAGGGAGCCACCTCCCTGCAGTTGTGTCCACACCTGGGTCTTGAGTGGCACAGCCCATCAAGGCACTGCTTCTTGGACACGCATTCTAATACCATCTGCCCAGACTTCCTCTGAGGACTCTAGGGCTAAGACTCCCTTTAAACACACTGGCCCTCCAAGCTCCAGCTCTCCCCTCTCTTCCCTCCTCTCTAGCTATCTAGCTATCTATTTAATTAAGTAATCCTCACCCGAGGACATGTTTAGAGGAAGGGGGGGGAGAGAGAGAGAGAAACATCGATGTGAGAGAGAAACGTCGATGAGTGGTACATGCCCTAACCAAGGATGGAACCGACAGCCCAGGTATGTGCCCTGACAGGGAATCGAACTGGCAACCTTTTGGTGCACAGGACAATGCTCAACCAACCGAGCCACTCTGGCCGGGCTCCCCTCCCTTGTTTGTATTGTGGCTGGCCCTCTTGCCCTTCTCCCCAGGCCGGTGGCTTCCTAGAAGGGGGTCCTTTCAACCCATGTCTCCTTCTAGGTCTCCCACCCACATTGTGCAGCTGCTCCCCCAGCCTGGAACCGGGTCTGCCCAGCTTTCCAACCTGTGCTCTGTGAAATGCTGTGGTCTCGAAATCAAGTCTGCAACAGAATGGTTGCCCATTAATGTGTTGAGTCCCGAGCCTCAGCCCCTGGAGGTTCTGACTTAGTAGAACAGGGTGAACATGGGAATCAGCGTGTTTCCCAAGTATCCTGCACCACCCACCCACCTGCTGGCAGTGACAGGCAGGTGGTCCAAGGACCCTCTTAGAGAACACCGTGCTGCTGCCTCCCTCCCACACAGCAGCCACTTGTGTTGACCTCCTGCACCCACCAGGCTCCAGCTCAGGGACTATCAGGCTCTGCGAGTTCCGGAGCCTCCTGCCCCAGGGCCTGGCACGTGGAGGTTCACTTCATGAATGAATGAGTGAATGAGGGGGGTGGGAGGAGGTAAGAATGGCATTTGAGAGTATTCTGCCCACTTGGGAGATGAAGGAACAAGGTTAAAGCCTTAGAAGCTCCTCACTGAACTCCCTAATAAGGAGAGGTGCCAAAGCTTCCTGATTAAATAAGAATCATTTACGGAGGGCCTACTATTTGTTAGAAAGTTTTTAAGTGTCAGCCCAGTGACCCAGTCTGGCCCACCAGACTTGTTTTGTTTAGCCAACAGTATTTTAATGTTTGATTCAGTATTTTTAAATTGGCAGATTTCACATAAAAACTCCGATGCTTTGGCTGTCTTGGAAGTCAGAAGAGCTGGCTGTACTGGACCTGCACTTCCCACACATCAGTTCCTGGGACAGCTGTCTGCTTTATAGGCTCTACGCTCCATCCTCCATCCGGTTTGCAGTCCCCACCACTCCCACAAAGTGTAAGTGTGGGCACATGGAGCCTGAATTTTGGGACCAGGGACCTAGCTGGCTCCTAGAGGATTCTGTGACCTCAAATATATGAACACCCACCTGCGGGCAGTGCTTATCCCAGCATTTGCTTTTCTAACTTTTAGCAGCTTGGTGAGGAAAGAATTATTCCCATCCTACAAGAGGATCCCGGAGGTGGCACATGAACCCAACAGCAACTTAGCAGGGATTCAAACCCAGGCCTGCCCGGGCTTACTCTCACTGCCCCGGCTCCTGACCATTCATCCAAATAGCTCTCCCTTCCCTGAAGGACACTGTAACTTCCTTGTTACGTCACCAGCTCAGTCACAATTGGTTTGAGAGCAGAGCATGGCCCAGCCTACCAGATCCCCAGGGCAGCCCTGCCAGCCCAGCTCAGGCTGGCCCGGCTTGGCCTCACACGCACCATGAAGTACCCTCTGGTGCCGCTGGTGAACGACCTCACGTTCTCTTTCCTGGTGTTCTGGCTCGGCCTGCCCGTGGCCTTGCTGTTGTTCTTATTGATCGTCTGGTTTCGCTTCTTACTTAGCCAAGGTGAGCCACCCAGGCTGGGCCCTAATCCTGGAGCTGGGCAGGGGTCTGGAAACCACTGCGGAGAGAGGAGCTTCTTTGGGGGCATTTTCACTGCTGGCTCAGAGCCGACAAGTGGTCACCTGAAAGAGAAAATGACTAATTTGGTGGTTTAGTTTCTTAGAGTCCAAGGGTGAATCCCTGAGTTCGGCCGGGAAGCAGTATGTGTGTGTGTCTGTGTCCCCTCAGGGCCACGGCTGGCATGTAAGGTCTTTGGTGCTAGCCACGGCCCTCAGAAAGTGGTGACCCCTCTGGGCAGATGAATTAGTAGAAGGTGTCCCTTCCTGTGAGTGCAGCCAGGGCACAGGCTCTGAGAGCAGAGCTAGGCTGGGTTTCAGTCCCTCTCACCCTTCAGCTCAGCGCTCTTGTGCAGTAAACACTGCACAGTGGGAGGTGGCAGCCTTAGGCATTTATCAGGGGCCAGTGACCACTCACCCTTTTCCCCTGGACCATACATCAGGGAGGACCCCAGTTTCTCTGGGACATAGGGTCCTGAGCGCAGCATGCTGGGGTGGAGCTGGCCCCTGGAAGCTGGGGGTGGGCAGGGATGCAGTTTGGCCACGTGGCAGGAATGACACCCTGCCCGTCCTGTCTCCCAGGCTCTTCCTCGGGACAGCTTGACCTCCCACCTCCTGCTCCTCAGCCCCATGAACTTTGGCCAACTGGGCAAGCAGGGAGGGCACTGAGTGTGCTGTCACCTCTGGTCAGATGGCATTGAGACGGGGTGAGGAGTTCACCCCCTAAACTACCCCATGATTTCAAATGTGGGGGTCGTGGTGTAAATATTGGGAGCTCCTGGTGAGAGCTTTTAGAGTATGATCTCCTCATTCCCAGGATACACCGTGGCCCTCGGGCATCAGGCAGTGGCTGGTGGAGTCAGCACATGTGTCTGTGTAGTGGATATAACAGCCGTCGGTCTGGAGTCTAGGGGATGTGGGCCCAGATTCCAGCTTTGCCCCTCAACAGTTCATAATGACAGCTGGGCTTTTCTGAACCTGTGCACTAGGACTTGTGCTCAGTACCTGATGCGTAATGTTTCATTTAGCCCCAGAATAACCCTGTGAAGTAGTCCTTACTGTACGACTGAGGAAACTGAGGCTTGAGAGAGAAGCCACCTGCCCGAGGTCACACACCGAGGGAGTAGTTAAAACTCTGGCATCTACCAGCTGTGTAGCCCTGGACAAGCCCTCCCCAGGTCTTGGTTTTCTCATCTACAAAATGGAGATAATAATGGTCCCTGCCCTTTTGGAGAGATGCACAGCAAGGGCGGGCACACAGCACAGGTACACATAGTAGGTGCTTGCAGGCTGAGAAATGATCTAGTCCATATTGGTTTTGTCAGGGTAGGAGGAAGAATAGCAGTGGCTTTGAGTGGCATCTCTGGAAGGGGAAGGTACATCTTCCCTGAGGTCTAACGCTCTGATTTCCTCCAATTCATTCTCCTTGGAGGCTCTGCTTGAAAGCTACCTGCACCTGCCCTGCCCCACCCCTTCTCACCTTTCTCCTGAGAGGCAGTTTACCTGGAACAACCAATAAATAAATTCTTTTTGTTAATTTTTTTGGTTAATCCTCACCTGAGGATATTTTTTTCATTGAGTCTTAGAGTGGAAGGGAGGAGGGAGAGGGAGAGAGAGAGAGAAACATCGATGTGAAAGAGAGAGACATCAATTGGTTGCCTCCCAAACGTGCCCCAACCAGGATTGAACCTGCAACCCAGGTACATGCCCTTGACTGGGAATCGAACCTGCAGCCCTTCAGTGCACAAGCCAACGCTCTAATCACTGAGCCACGCCGGCCAGGGTTCTTTTGTTATTTCTGGAATGAACAGAAACTGTCCTTAAAGTGAGTGAGTGGCCCTTCTTCACCGTCTCTGTCTTCCTGGAACTCTCAGTTTTACTGCGTCTGTTCTGTCCTTGTGCTGGGAACTGGTCCAAATCCAGGGTCTGGGCCTGCCAGGCTTTGGTGGGGGCTGGGGTTTGCAAGACCCTCCTCTGTGGTTTAATATCTGTTGTGGATCTCTTTATTGGAGTCATTTCGGTCTGAAATCCAGTGGAAAGCAGACAAGAGTAGCTCTGATTCCCCTCCACCCCTGCCTGGCCAGGCTCCACGGGGCAGTTTCAGGGCACAGGAGGCAAGGGTTGAGCAACATACCTCGTGGCCAATGTGGCCAAGGAGTATGCAGTTTCCCCAGTCGAGGGGGAAGCAAGTGGGCGGAGAGAAGGAAGCTCTCTGGTGAGCCCTGGGAAGCTGGCCATGGGGACAGCATTAACCCCCTGCCGTTATATAGCGAGAGAGGACCAAGCCAGGCGTGTCCTTCAAGGGGAAGACCCTGAAATTTGCAAAAAGAAGAGGGGAGACCTCCAAGTAAATGGACTTAGGGCTAAAACAGAAGTGGGCACCATAGGCTATGCCTGTTGAGGGTCCTGACCGCTCCTCAAGCTGGTCCTTGGAGTGAGTTGTTAATTTCGAAGCTGCCTTTGAGGTCCCCGACCTCAAACAGGTGCACCCAATGGAACACGTGGCACCTAGTACAGGGGGCACATTTAGTCCAGCAGGACCACTTCCTGGCTGTGAGCCTTCCCCATTGTAGAATATGAAGAACATCGGTAATTGCCTCAGGAAGTCGTTAAGAGGGTTAAATGAGAAGAGGTATGTAAAACACGTAGCACATAGTAGGTGTTCAGAAAACAATCGCCATATCTAGTGAAGATCAGCCACTTCAAGCCATGGCGCTGATTTTTAACTGATAACTGCCAACACTATTGAATGCCCATTTTACAAATCTCACTTCAGTTAACCCTCATTATAGAAGAGGCTATTGTTGTGCCCATTTTACAGATGAGGACAATGAGGCTCAGTCTTTTCTAACGTCGGCTCTTGGTCTGCAATCTGAGGGCCTTTTTCAGCCTTCTTTACTTCTTTGCAGCTGGTGAAGTAAGAGTATATGTAGTAAGAAAAATAACAACCTCCTCGGCCCTCTCGCCTTTCTCCCCTTGCCTCCCAAGGTAAGCCATGTGAGCAAGCTCATGCACCTATTTAATGACACCTGCAGGTTTAAAATAAATGGAGGAGGGAGTATTCTTTGTTTTCCTATTAAAAAAGGGGGGGGGAGGGAATTCTACACATAGATTCCTCTGAAGTTTGCTTGAAACACATAGACATCCTGCAAGCAGAAAGGTACAGACCCAATGCAGTTACTGTAATAACTTCATGACCTGCCACCGGATGGACGGGTGGGCCTCCATTAGGTGTGACTATGCCACACTTTGACCAACTGGAACTCTCACGGTGGACGTGCACACACATGGTTTCTAGGGTGCTTTGTTGTGTGTGTGTATTTTACCACAAAACGGCTGCAATGGAAATCATTGTACCTATATACTCAGATATTTGTGAATGAATGGACTGGTGGACAAATGGATGGTTGGGTTCGTGTCTCCTCCGTGCCTGCTTCTGGACTGCACCCAATGCAGGTAGGCCGTTTGCTCATCTTAGGGTCCTTCCCTGTTTAGTAGTGGACAGGGCCTCTTGGTGAGTTACAGAGCAACCTTTTTGATCCCTGGTCACCATTCCAGGCCCTGAAGTCTTCTCGGGGTCTCAGGGCTGGCCCCCTGGCCTCAGACAAGGCTGCAGGGATGCCCAGGCCTGGCAGGGGGCTCCTTGTGGATCAGGGATAGGAGACAGGATGTGACCATCCAAGAAGCCTTGTCTTACTCCTCCACAGATTCAGAGGAAAATGAGTCGGATTTGTGCTTTGACTGGGAGCCATGGAGCAAAGGCCCAGCCGAGTGGGACAGTACACTCCAGAGCCAAGAGGAGGAGAGGCCCGGCCAGTGAGCCTGTTCTGCCAGGTGAGGCCCTTTTTGGGAGATGGTGGGGAGTGGAGGGGGAGGGCGGCCTCAGAGACTGTCCACAGCCTCGGGCAGCTGCCAGATGGACAGCTGACTCCCTCCGCCATTGCAGAGCTTGCCATCTCTGCCTCGTCGGAGAACCTTCTGCCTCATTGTGTGGGAGACCTGTTCTTGCCATGTGGGAGCCACCTTACAAAGGTCCCCCACCCTTTGCTTCTTGGCCTCACCTCCTGCAACTCTCCCTGGGGGCTTTGCCCTGGCTGTTGCCTCTGCCTGGAACCATTCTTCCCTAGACATCCGCGTGGTGCACTCCCTCACTTCTGAGGTTTTGCTCAAATTCACTCTCTCAGCAGGGTCCCCCCCGACTTCCCTCCTTATTACGGACATCTCTCCCAGCTTCACGGCCCCCCTGCTCTGCTTTCCCTTATCTTTTGCCACGGTGGGGGCTCAATGGATGTTTGTAGGAGGGATAAAATAATACTGATATTATGCCAGCTGACACTCCTTGGGTACCAGGCCTGTGCTGAGCATTTCCCTCTCACAAGTGCATTTATGAAAGCCCACAAGGAGGATGGTATCCTGGTGTCCATTTTACAGTCGAGGATGCAGAGCGGCAGTGCCGCAGGTAACGTGCCCAGCGTGAAGGAGCCCCGCAGCTGTGCACACCCAGGCGGCCTCATCCAATCCAATGGGGCTAAATGCCATCTCCCCACCAGGGACCCCCAAATGTGTGTATCTCGCCTAGTCTTCCTTCTGAGGATGGGATGGTTTATTCCCTTTGCTAAACCCAACAAAGCAAAACCCAACACGTGACCTGCTAACTTCTCTCCATCGCCATGAACAGCACTCCCATTGCTGGTCTGGCTGCCGAGCCCCATGTTGGGGGTCAGCCTCATGGCTCTCTTTGCCTCCCACCCCACATGCAGTCGCGCCCCATCCTCCATTTCTTTCATCATCTCTCTCTTCCCCCTGGCCATCAGGGCCTGCCCTCCTCCGAAGTCTGCCCCTGCAACATGTCACTACCCCCTGCTCTGCCCCGTGGGTCACAACTTGGAGCCCCTGCCAGTCCGAGTGGAGGAAGGAGGTGGGGCTGAGAAGCACGGGCCCTCACGTGCCCTCAGTTACAGTGATTCTTAGCCTTCCCGGGTCACGACCTTGATAGTTGAGGCCCCTTTCCCCACAGTCCTGTGCATGGGGCCAACTTCACAGGGCGTGACTTGTGTGGGCACATGAGGTCCCATGTTCAGCAGAGCCCATCTTGGTATAATACTAGGCTGTTGCTGTCTTGAAATTTTTAATAATTTGTAACAAGGAGCCCATGTGCTCATTATTCATGAGCCCCACAAATTATGTAGCCTGTCTTGCTTGCATACAGTTAGTGGGGTAAGAAAAGGAGATCGTCAAACTCTGCTCGGGGACCCTGTCCATTTACACAGAGCACTTCCCACCCCCCCACCCCCCAATATCTGTCCCTCTCTCACTCTCATTCCATTGTCATCCCTAGACCCAACCTGCCAGTTGCTCCCAGCTTGGTTTTCCTGGAGTCCGCTGGGCAGTGGCAATGGCCCAAGTGGATGGGAGAGACTCGCCAAGGAGGGGAGAGGACTTCAGCGACTGAGGCGCTTTTCTGGGACGCCCACCTCGTTCCCTCCAAAGTCTCCGGAGGACCCCCAGGTCTCGGGGAAGAGCCCGCAGCTGTGAAGACGGTATAAGCAGTCACACGGGGAAGTTGGCCAAATGAATTGAGAAGAGGTCCTCGGGCAGGGCTGGGCCTGAGCGTGTGGGTCCATATTAAAGGCAACAGGGCTGCCTGAGCTCAGGAGACCCTGATGCACGTTCTGGGCCTGACCAAGTCCATTCATTCACAAGCTGTGGGGCCTGGGCCTCCCTGGCCCCGACCTGGGCCTCCTGACCCCATTTGGGAACCCGGACCCTCCTTCCCGTCTGTTCAAAGGGCTGGGGGATCTTGCTCTGAACCTCCATTGTCTCATTTCAGACTCACTCCTCAGTTAGCCTTCAGGCTGATTTTAACAACGTTGACTTTATAAACATCTGCAGAGTGTCTACCATACACCTGGTTGTTTTAAGAAGAGCTCACATTTAATGAGCGCTTACTATGTCCCAGGCGTTTTTCTGTGTACTTCACACACATTGTTTTTAACCCTCACAAGAATTCTATCAGGTGGGGTCACAGATGGGGAAACTGAGGCACAGAGCAGTCAAGTAACTTGTTGAATCGCAATGGTGGAGTTGGGATGTGAACCTGAGTCCTGCGGCTCCAGAGCTGGCCCTGGCCCACTGGGCCGATGGTTCACCAGGTTGGATTGTTGGGGGCAGTCATGGGGAGGCACTTGGAAGAAATCCCAATCTGTCCTTGTACCCCCACCAGCCCCCCAGAGGCAGCTGAGTGGGTGGGCTGTAGAGGGGACAGGCCTTCCCGAGTCTCACCAGGTGTCACCTTTGTCCCCTCTTTCCCTCTTGTCACACATTCCATCAGCCACCGCAAGCAGAAAGAAGGGAGCCTGAATTATTGGCTGGTCTCCCGGAGTTGGGTCTCCCCTGCTCTGCCCTTGCTGCCCGTTAGTCTGAACAATCCATCCAAAGCACAGATCCAGACACGCCATCGTCTCCCTGTGTAGGGCCCTCTGAAGCTCCCTACGGCTCTGGGCTAGAGCCGGGTTCCTCGCGTGGTGGGGAGCCGCCCTTTGGGATCTCAGCCACCGCATTTGCTGGGTGAGGTTTCTGTGCTCACCAGCAAGGCTGCCGTGAATGCCCTTGAACTTCTATCTTTGCACACAAGTGTGCTGCTGTCTGTGGGATAAATTCTGAAAGGAGGACTTGTTGAATATAATATCTGTGCCTTTACAGTTTGCAGATACTGCGAAGTTGTCTTACCAAAAGGTGGCACCGAAAGTGTGTACAAAAGTGCCTGTTTCTCCTGGCCTCTGGCCCATGAACACACACACACACACTCATACACACACACTCACACTCATACACACACTCACACATACACACACACACACACTCACTCATACACACACACTCACACTCATACACACACTCACTCATACACACACACACACATAGACTCTCACACACACACACACTCACACACACACCCCTCTCTCTACACACGCTTTGTTCTGGCTGATGAGCTTTGTAGCTGTTTTGCTGGGAGCTTTCCTGGTGTTGAATAAACACTTTTGATAACAAACCTCCCCTGTGGCTGAAGCTTCCTCCTGGCTTGTCTGGCATTTTCTCCAACCACCCTGCTCCCTGTCAGCCACTGCCCTTCCCCCTCCCCCCTCCCCCCATTGGCCATTGTTCAGACTCTGTGCTGACCTAGAAAAGCCAGGTGAGTCACCCCACACCCCACCCCCTGACCCTCCAGCCACTTTGGAGGAGCCAGAGGAGCCTTGGGGGCTCAGACCCCAAGGAGGAGCTGGCACAGCCGGTCCTGCAGGACATCTGGTCGCACTCCTGGGATCACCCAGCAGCAGGCAGGGGCCACAGCTCCTCAGGGCCACTGGCAGGTAAGTGGTGAGGGCTGTGAGGAGATGCCCTCCTGCTTTGAGTGGGGGCTGAGACCCTGGGTGTGGATTGGGGCCGCCTTCCTGGCATTTTGTCCTGTGAGGCAGGAGACGTGTGTGTCTGACAAACACACCTGTGACCTAGTGATAGCCCCCCCCCCCCAGAGGCATCGTCCCCATCTTAGCAGCCCGCTGAGTGCCTGCCCAGGGCTGAGTGCTTCCCATGTGTTCTCTTACTTGCTCTTCATCACAGCCTCTGGGGGGGGTCGCAGTAACATTTTCAGATGAGGAAACTCAGGGTCATTGCGGTTAAGTCACTGGCCCCGAGTCGCAGAGCCTGGAAGTGGCCTATTTTCCGGACTCTTAACTGAGACGCGTTTCCCGGGATCCACACAATACCCCGGGCTCTTCCTGGACTGAACCGTGCAGCTTCCCGTTGTGCTGTTGATGTTTGCAAAATACGAGGAAACTCAGAACAATAGTGTGTGTGTCTCCCCAGCCCCAAGAGCTCGGGGATCTGAGAGGACAGTCCCAGGGTGAGGTGGGGACACTGCTGGGGTCGGCAGAGACACGGGCTCCATTCCCGCCCTGAGCCCCTCACCCTCCCACCACCATCCCCTCAGGCCTCGTGTCACCATCAGTAACATGGGACCGTCTCCTCTGTATTTGCTTCCTGTGGCCGTCACTCACAAAAGTACCACAAATGGGGCAGCTGAGAGGGGGGATGTCGAGTCTCCAGGTCTAGGAGCTGGAAGTCCAGAATCAGGGTGCAGGCAGGGCGGGGCTCCCCCTGTGCTGGGAAGGGGAGAACCTTCCTTTTCTCCCCCAGCTGCTGGCAGCGCCATCCTCACGGGTCTCCCTGTGTGACACGCCGTCTTCCTCTGCGCATGCTGCGTCCCAGTCCCCTTTTCATAAGGACCAGTCATTGGAGCAGGGCCCTCCCTGAGGACTGCATTTGAACTTGATTACCTCTGTCGAAACCCTACTTCCAAATGTCATGTTCTGAGGTCTGGGGGTTAGGATGTCCACGGCTAATCCTGGCAGGACACAGGTCCACCCCCAACACCCCCTGCGAGGACTGACTGTGGGAACACACGCAGAGCTCTGAGCACAGTGCTTGGCTGGCGCTTTATAATGCTTCATGAATTGTTGCCAAAAGCAAAAAGCTGAGCAAGCTGGACATACAATGCTTGGTGTACATCATGTGCCAGGCACAGACTGGGCATTTATTATCCCTCTGATCCTAACAACTACCCCTAGTGGTAGGCAAGGTTTGCATTGAAATGATGAAGCTGGGACTCAGAGAGGTTAAGGCACTTGCCTGAAGTCACACAGCCCAAATGGCAGAGCTGAGGATGAACTCCAGGCCTATGAGACTCCACTACATCACACAGGGTAGGAGAGCACTATAGTGGGGAGTGGGAGCTGCTCAGAGGGGTAGAAAGGCAGGGAGGGAGTGCTGAGCACATAGCACGTGATCCCGGGGAGCCTCCTGGGTCAGAGGGGCAGGGAATGCTCTTGACGATGGTGAGTGGGTGGGCTGGATCACAGGCTGCCTGGCGAGGTGCTGGCAGGTGGCCAGGTGCAGGGCCGCCATGTCTGAGTCACTCCTCTGCGACCTAACCGGCCCAGCCGATACTCCAGGGCTGGGACCCGGCCCGCCGGGGCTGAGGAATGTTGCCCGGAGCATGGACACACTTCACTTCATTCTCAGTGCACACAGCTCTCCAGGAAGCCAAGAGGTGGTGCTTCCTTTAAGAAGCTTGAAAGTGCAGTTTAGTCAAGATTCAGGCTACTCTCTCTTCCTCTTGCTTTCTTTCCAAGGGTTCCCTACACCTGAGGAAGTGATGTTAGGTTTTCTATGCTGGACTAGAAGTTCATTTATTCAGGTACTAACATATTGACTTACTCAAGCCTCTATCTATTCATTCATTTACTTATCCACTCATTCACCTAATGGTTCACTCATTCATTCATTCATTCATTCACTCAAGTACTCATGCTCGCACATTCATGTACACAGCCATTCACTCTTCCACCTATCATCCATCCATCCATCCATCATCCATGTAGCCATCATCTATCCATCCATCACCCATCCATCAATCATTCATCCATCCATCCATCCATCCATCCATCCATCCAACCTTTATTAAGCACCTACCATGTTTTCCACACAAAGCTTCTCATGCCTCCCAAACTACTTTTTCATCCACTTTTACTGCTACTTCCACTTACATATTTGGAGGGAGGACCTCTGCGCCAATGGGACCCCAGACACTTGGCCTCCTGGTGGTGTGGTTTCAGGATCTCCTCCTCAGGAAAGGCGTGGGAGAAGTGGACAGCCAGTCATCTGTACAGTCCCAGTCTGCACATGAGAGCAGTGATGGCCGCCTGAGACTCAGGCTCCTAAAGGCCCCTGCCCATCGTTTGGTGCCAAGACTATGCATATTCCTGGGCGCTGTCGCTCTGGTGGGGCGATGTCCAGTTATTGGGCTCCATTTCTTGCTCCCCCCAGGCCAGAGCAGACCACAGTGACCCGTGGCTTTAGGCCCCTCCTAAGGAGCACCCTTGAGCTGCTCTTCTTAAAGGCAAGTATGCCGAGGGAAGGGCAGCAGGCGGTGGGTGGAGGGGTGGATCATGGCATTCTGTCCTGGCCAGAGAGTAAGGGGAGGGGCTCCTGGCCCATACAGATTCGGAGGAAGGACAGAAGCCAGGGAAGCCAGAGGGAATGTCCCTTCCTCATCCCTACTTCACATTCAGGGCTAAAGGCCAGTTCCCAGGGTGGCTCTTCTGACCCCACGGCTGGCCACTTGCGTTTCCTCCTCCCTTAGCATCCTTCCTTCCCCCACCCAAGCCCTGCCCTTTCTCACCCCCCAACACATTCCTGCCTGCTTCCTTTTCTGTTTCCTGGCAAAGTCCCCATCCCCATTTCACAGAGGAGGAGACCAAGGCTGGGAGAAGGTGGGAGACCGCTCACAGTCACGGAGGGTGTGGCCACTTGGGGGAAAACCCCCGTGTCAGGGATGCTTTTCCTGTCGACATTAGTCAGGTCTTTTATTTCAAAATTTTTTTATGGATTTCTGAGAGAGAGAGAGAGAGAGAGAGCGAGAGAGAGAGAGAGAGAGACATCAATGATGAGAGAGAATCATTGATTGGCTGCCTTCTGCAAGCCCCACACTGGATATAGAGCTCGCAACCCGGGCATGTGCCCTGACTGGGAATCAAACCCTGACCTCCTGATTCACAGGTCGACGCTCAACCACTGAGCCAAGCCAACCGGACAGTCTGGTCTTTTATTAATGCAGTTTTACCTACAATGAAAGGCCTGTGGGTAAGAAAAATGGCACTATAAATTATATTTTATGGCTGTTTTTTAAAGGTGCCATTTCCACTTGACCATAGTGCAGGCAGGTGGGCAGGGCTCAGGGGTGTGTGTGTGTAGGTGGCCCTGGCTGAGCCAGCCCCGCCTGGGAGGAGGTTGGACCTCTGCCCTGGTGAGAGGGTGTCTGGGAACTGGGCGAGCAGCCTCTCTCCTGCTCACATCGCTGCCTGAGTCAGCCCCACAGCAACAGCCTCGGCAGCGGCAGCGGCAGCGCAGAGGCACCTGTGAGCTGTGAGGTGCCAGCTCATGGCAGAGCCTGCCCTTCTCCCCACCGCCCAGATGGGGAGGCTGGCCCCCGTGTCCCTGGCCTCACCGTGTCCCAGGATCCCACGGGCTCACATCGCCAGGCGGCCGGGGCGCTGTGCCCAGCGCCGGACTGACCTGGGCTGCAGGTACAGGAATCACAGGAGGAGATGGGGGAGGTTTGGGCTACTGGTGTCTCAGGGCCAAGGCTGAGGAATGAGGGGACCAAATTGAAGACCTACCATGTGCCGGGGGTGTAGGTCATTTCAGTTCTTACATCACCCCTCTGAAGCAAGAATCCCTCTCCCTTCCTACAGATGAGGAAACATGCTCTGAGAGGTCTAGGAAATGGCCCAAGTGGTGGGGGGAGACGGTATATGGGACCCCAAGCCCAGACCCTTCCTGGGACACAACACTGGCCTGGGCTCCTGCTGCTGGCTCCTGCAGGGGACACTGATTTTCGGCTTCTTAGAGATGTGAGTGATGCTCAATATGTACTGTTTCCCCTTTTTCTGAATGTAGAGAGCTTTAGGCACCCCAGGGGTCGTTTGGGGTTCAAGGTTCAGGATCTTAAGCTATGAGATCTCGGCTGGATGAGTGTGGCTGTGTGGTCACCTGGCTGACAGCTGTGTCACTCTTCCTGCTCAGGTACCTCTGACAACCAGACCAGGATTTTTTAAAAGTCATTTCTCCCCATGTGTGCTTATAGCATATCACAAAATGAATATTATAGAAATTCCAACAGTGCAGACAGAAATGTGCCTATTCCCCAGCACTGACTGCTGTTAAAGTTTTGGCATATACCTCGGAGAGCCTATCCCTGTAGAGTTCTACACAAATGAGACCATGCCCACCCTTAATTTCTTAGTTCCTTGTAATCCCCAAGGCCATTAATATTGAATTCACTATAAGAGTACCTGACCCATTGAATATGCTCAGTACTTACTGGATGAATGAACAAATGAATTTTGTTGCATTCCCTTTGTTACTTTAAACAAAACAAGAAAAATAACACTCTGACTTCCAGAACAATTTTTCAAACTCCAGAGTTCTGTCAATCTTTTATTTGAATTCGATCTTTATTATGTTTTTGAGTATTGAAAAACTGGTAACGGCATCACACATGTCATGTGTTATATCTCAACTGTTTTTTGCCCATCAAAATTACATAGGTTGCATGATCCGTGAATGCTTTTGGTTGAACTTAAGAGTTTATAATAGTATTATTGTTCTCTATTTTGTTTATTGAAAAGAGATTCCACTGGCAAAAAAAAAAAATTAAAAAAAATGTGAAAGCCACTTCCCTGAGACAGGCTGGTTCGTCTGCTCCAGGCCAGTCCTCAAAGTCACTAGGTCAGTTCTCCCTATACTCTGAGTTCATTCATCTCCCTGGTCACTCACTCACCTGAGAGTCATGTATTTACTCAACACCATAAGCTCCCAGACGTCAGACCACATCTGTTTTGTTCACTCGTGTATCTCCACAACCCAGTGCATTGTGGGTGTTCATGAAATGCTTGCTCAATGAATGAAATGCTCACTGCCTCTACTGAAGTCCCGTGATGGGCACGGGACATGAGGATGAATAAGATGCTCCCAGCCCTCGGGCTGCCACAGGCTGGTCCAGGAGGAAGACCTAGGATTGGTCCACTGCAATATGATGCACTAAATGCTGATGAGAAAGGTCTGAGCAGGGGTGACTAGAGTCAGTGTTGTCATCAAATAGAACTTCCCACAAAGTGAGTGGGACATAGGCTCTCTATGTGACTATGAATGAACAAATGGATTTTGTTGCATTCCCTTTGTTACTTTAAACAAAACAAGCAGAAATAACACTCTGACTTCCAGAACAGTAGTCTTATTTTTCAATTATAGTTCACATACAATAGAATCGATCAACATTGCCCTTGGGAGGAGTCTTAATGACTCTGGAGGAATTCAGTCAACCTCACTCCTAAATAGAAATATATTTTCTATTTATTCATGATTGCTATAAAAATGCAAAAAATAGCAAGTGAAATCCACTTCCCCCTGCCACTTCCAACCCACAAGAATAGCAATTGTGAACAGTTCAGTATAAATCCTTAAGATTTTATGCTTCATAAATATGTATTTATATCTGTATGTGGAAAACATATATGCTAATCCATGTGTAGAACACATATACTTGTAGCATTTTGTATTTGATCTTTTCCATGTGATACCTTTTCATGGAAATATAGAGATCTACATTGTTCTCTGTAAAGGCTGCGTGCTTTTCCATTTTATGGCTGAGCCCTGCTTTTGTTAACTAGCCTCCTGAGATGGACTTTTGGTGGTTTCCTTGTCTTTGGGAGTCGACTGCTATCTGTATAAATTATACTGCATTGTCTTGGACACATGTCTCTGAGCACTTATCCTTATGATAAATTCCCATTAGAAATCTTTGAGTCCAAAGGCATATGCTTTTACTTTGGAACATATCACCAAATGATTTCCCAGGAAGGTTGTATCCAATCGCAGACTCACCTTCTGGGCGCCAGCTTTTGTTTATTTATATTCTTGACATTCTTGCCAGGACATTTTGGCTCATGTTAGTCTTTGCCAGTTGCATCTTGTTCTAACTCACCTTTCTTTTCTTCCTGGGGTGGTTGGCTGTTTTTCACATGCTGAGTGTCTGAGAGATCAGGGAGGCTGGGGGGCCCATAGGTAGTCTAGTGCAACCATCACATTCCCTTAACAATTGGTTAAGCGACTTGGCCGACTGCACACAGGGAGTTTGAAATAAGTCACTTTTACAAATTTAATATATTTTACTCATGTGTAACCATCACAGTTAATGTCAACCAATCTCTGTAGATATCATGTACCTTTAAATCTCCAAACACCCCCCTCCCCTCCCCATGTGACCTCAAGCCCAGAATGGATCACCCACACACAATTTAAATGTATCAGTGGTAGAGGACAGACTGCGTCTCAAAGCCCAGCCTCATCACTTAGCTGCTGTGGGATTCTGGGGAAGTTACCTGACCTCTCTGAGCCTCGGTTTCCTTTTCTGCAAGATGGTTGCAAATGACAGTTCCTACCTCCTAGAGGGAAAAATGAAACGAGTGCTTGCGAAGATAGTGCAGTGCAGGTATGGGGAGTGTGCACTGCGCGCCAGGCATTACCGCCCATGGGGAAGATTTGGGAGCTGACACCCACAGCACGGGTTTGTTTCCAGGGCGTCAGGGGAACTCAGGCCTCCTGAGGCCTCGGGATGGTAGAAAGGTCTGCATTTGAGCACCAAGTCACTTTCACTTACGGCGCCTCTCTGAGCCTGTTCCTTTATTTGCAAAATAAGTCTTTTTTTTTTCTTTTTGCTTTACATTGTTTTTTATTTTTCCATTACAGTTGACATACAATATTACATTAGCTTCAGGTGTACAGTGCAGTCATTCTAATCGGAGTCACGGTCAAGTCCTCAGGGATCTCCACTGCAGAACTGCCACCTGGGTGCTGCTCCGCTGGAAAAGCCCTTGCAGGCAAATTCTCTCAGGAGGAACCGGCCCCTCCCCTTCTTGCCTGCACGCCCGAAAGGGCAGGTCTCTTCTGACAGGGCTTCCTGTTTCCTCTCTGGCCGCCCTGCTGAGCCGAGGGAGAAGGCTCTAATTACATGGAGGGTCAGACTGCCCCCTTCAGGCCCTGGGCTTCTCCACCCCTCCAGCTGCCCCCCGCCCCACCTCCCGCCCCCCCTCATCTCCAGGTACTGCTGACGCCACGGAGGTTGGCCGGCTGATGCCCACAGCATGTGAGAATTTCATTTCCTTGCTACTTGCCAACCCTGGGTGTTAGCAATCTGATGTTTGCCAATCTGATGGCTGAGAACATTTCACTGTTTTAATTTGCATTTCCACATTGACTTGTGGAGTTCAACATCTTTCCATATTGAGCATTTTTGCATTTTATCTTCAGTGACTGTTGATTCATATCTGCTGTTTCCCTTTCTATTGGATTTTGGGGGAGTATTTTTTTTCCTTACTGATTTCTAGGAGCTCTTTATATAGACTAGATAGTAACACTATTTGTTGTGAATATTTTCTCTCAGCTGATCACTGGTTTTATTAATCTGTCTATGATGAGTTTGTTATACAGACGTGTTAAATTTTGATGGAATCGAACCCCAGGCATTTTTCTGTGATAGCTTTTGGCTTTTATTTTGCTTGGGGGGATGATTCCCTCCACCCCTCATTTCTCCTGGGCTTCATTCCCATCAAACCCCAATGAGGGCTCCTATCCACCAGGGGAAATTCTTTTGTACTTACCACCATCATGACCTGCTCCCCTTCCTGTGAGCTTTGCAATCTCCCTTCCTCTCTGATGTTCCTTAAAAGCTGGGTTCCAACATCGCCTCCTCCAGGGAGCCTGCTCTGCTCAACCCCATCCCACCCTGGTCACTGTTCTGTCTGTTGGGCTGTTGGCCTCATAATTGCTTGGAACACAGTGTTGTTTTAAGTATCTGATAGGGCACTTACTATGGGGCAAATGCTTTGCATGCATTGCATGCTCACAACCTTGTATATACAATTATCATCAGCAGCACTCCCATTCTGTAGGGTAGGGAGGGAAGGCTAAGATACTTTCCCAGGCTCACACATCGAGAAGACAGACGCAGACCCGCACAGTCTGACGCCAGGGCCTGGGCCCTTGGCCACTGTGCCAAATGTCTTATATTGCTGCCCTAATTTAGGGTCTTAAACAATCCAAATGTATTCCCTCAGAGTTCTGCAGGCCCGAAGGCCAACATGGGCCTCCCCGGGCTAAAAGCAAGGTGTTAGCGGGATTGTGGTTCTTTCTGGAGAACCTGGGGAGAGCCCGCTGTGCCGCTTCCAGAGGCCCCCTTCCAGCCTCAAAGCCAGCAGTGGCAAGGTGAGCCCTTCTCACGCTGCCTTCTCTCTGGTCTCCACTCTTCTGCCTCCCTCTCCCCCATTTAAGGGCCCTTGTGATTTCACTGGGCCCACCAGCTAGTCCAGAATGACCTCCCCATCTCAAGGTCAGTTGATCAGCAACCATAATCCCTTCTGCAACCTTAACCCACCTCCCCTCATGTAACATAACAGCCACAGATTCCAGGGATTAGTACCTGAGCATCTTTTTTTGGCGGGGACTCGGGGTGGGGGGTGGGGGTGGGGCAGATTCTGCCTACCACAGCAGCGTTTCCATGCTGCTTCTCCAAACCGTCGTCACCTGCCTCTACCCGGCCTCATCCTGCCTTACCCCCTCAGAAGCTGCGGGTTAGATGGGTGACTCGGAATAACCCAGAAGGCTTGTTTAAACCCCGCTGCTGTGCCCACTCCCAGTTTCTCATTCAGTAGTTCTCGGGCAAGGACTGAGAATTTGCAGAATGGGTCCACATATCCAGGTTTTCCAGTAACCGAATCAAGCATCCAGTATTGAATGGAAATTAGCTAAAATGAAATAAAGTAAAAAATTCAGCTCCTGCCCTGACCAGTTTGGCTCAGTGGATAGAGCGTTGGCCTGTGAACTCAAGGGTCCCGGGTTCGATTCTGGCCAAAGGGCATGTACCTTGGTTGTGGGCACCTACCCAGTAGGGAGTGTGCAGGAGGCGGCTGATCGATGTTTCTCTCTCATCGATGTTTCTAACTCTCTATCCCTCTCCTTTCCTCTCTGTGAAAAAATCAATAAAATATATTTAAAAAAAAAAAAATTCAGCTCCTCAGTCATACTGACCACATTCCAAGTGCTCAGCAGCCACAGGGACTAGTGGCAGCTGTCCGGGCCAACACCGTATGTACATCTGACTAAGTGACTCAGCCAGAAGCCCATTTGGAGGGGCCACCACCACTCAGCTTCAGCCAGTTGTCACTTAGGGACAGGGGCCCAGGATTATCATCTCTTTTGATTGCGTTGTGGTGGAGAGCATTGGAATTAGCAGGTTTTAAAATGTGAGACTTCCTCGTGTCCAAATGATGGCAAGCTATTTGAAATGTGTTAAACTTCAGTGGGGTGGCCTCTCTGCTACTCCACACAGAGATTGGCTGGTCCTGATCTTCCGGTCGGGTACATTTGTCATCTCAGAGGTCATGGGCAGAACCTTAATCTCCTTCAGTCATCTCAGAAATGCAGGCTGCCCCTCCCAGAAGTGCCAGGTGAGAATTTCGATGCAATCCATCCATTCCCTCCCCACTCCTGAGAACTCCTCTGCAGGTCTCTGAACCCAGACACGTACCGACGCTCCCCACAGTGCCTCCCAGCCTGGCTGCCCAGTGCGGTCGGCTGGGCAGCTCCAAGCAATGCCGGTGTCTGATGCTTTTGCTGCCCTTGGTCTGGGGCACTGCCTGGGCCCTGGGAGTTTGAAAAGCAGCTGGGTGGTTCAGGTGCACACTCAGGGTTGAGACTCACTGGCCTGTGGGCCTGGTCTCCACACCTGGAATGCAGCTCCTCGGCTCAGCAGGGCTCATGCATCTCTGGCTCTCGCCCACCTGGCCCAGCTGCAGGGAGCACCCACCCCCGTGCCTTCCTCCGTCTCCTGGCCCAGCCCCAGGTCTGAGTCAGGAAGCTACCTTATACACATCATATGTCAAAGTGTTGTTACTGTTGTGGTTCAGAACACAAATAGTCACACTCGAAAGTTCTGTGACCCAGAGTCCAGCTCTAGTGGAATTATGTGGAAGAAATGCGGTGAGCGTCGCTGAACAATTCAAGAATGAGCACGCCCCCTGAATGAGCCAGTCCGTCTGGTGGTGTCTTATGGAGATTTGAGGAACTCAGTTAAGATGATACTGAAAAGTGTAAACACAGAGTTTGCCTTTCATATCTCATTTCTGCCCAGCCCCCACCCCAGCCCATGGGATTGCTTCAGAGGTGGCAGGGTTGCTGTGTACTGATGCTCAGGTTGTGCACGGCATAGGCTGTTACATCCAAAGGGGCACCATCCCCCATCAAAATTGAAACAAAAAAAGCGGGCTGTTTGTGAAGCTCAGAACAGATTTTGTGGATGTGCTGAGGCCCATTCTCTGACTAAATGGGGGTCTCGTTGCCACACTGCAAAATGTGGGCTTGGGGCAATGACGCCTCTAGAACTGTCGGGGTTTTATTTCCTTTCTGGTTTTTCCTGCGCCCCCACCTGATCTCCTCAAAAAGTTCACCCAAGATTGCCCTCCTCTCACTGCTTGGCTGTGAAAGCGGTGGCACAGTTGATCACTTTTGTTTTGGTTTACTCACTCTTTTTATTGCTGTGTCACAAAAGCATGCAGATGCTGGTAATTTCCAAGCCAATGACAAAGCCACTGAGGAAGCCGAGCTGTGCACCAGCAGGGGGCAACCACATTCGCAGGAGGCGTGCTGACAAGCAGTTTCCCCAAAAGCATAAATAGAGCGGAACAGCCAACTTCATAATGAACTGGGAATCGGTCTCCAGTTCAGCTTCTGCTGGTGAAGACGGCCAAGCTGTTGCCGTGGACAGGCTGTGTGCCCGGCCTCCTCCTCTGGGCTCTTGGCAGGCTTGAGATTTCTTTGCTTGACCACATCGGCGTATGTTTGGGGACGGAAGTGTTTATAATTTGGAGTCGAGCCCAGTATGTGGGCAGGACACTGGGGAAAAGGCACATGGGTGCATGGGTGAGGTGCTGGCGGGACAGGCCACCTGCAAAATGAAATGTGGCCTTTGTTCAAAAATGATCACGCATTTCGACATGGCGATAGCAGAGCACTAACCACGCCGGAGGCCTCCTGGGCAGGACTGCGCAGCCCCACATCCATGCGGCTGGCCTCGGTACTAACCCACCTCCGGAAGTTGGGGGGACATCTATGGATGGGATCTCCAGCTGTGGGAAAAACACAGCCTCAGGGACCCCAGGGCACAGAACCCCACAAGACAAAGGCCAGGTAGGCAGCAGGAGCAAAATTAACTCCCTGTCCTGGGCCACAGACACAAACAAAAACAACCAAATAGCTCCAATGGAACAATCCTTTTTGGAAGACGATTTGGCAAAAACCCTTTGGCTCAGCAATCCTGCTTCTGGCACTCGCTCTTCCACGGTCACCTCTGCACAGAGGGCCACGGCAGTAAACACGGGGATGCTTGTCGCAGGGTCACTTGTGATACAAATGAAAACACGCAAGCGCCTGTCACAGGGGGTGAGTAAGAACCCCGCCGCACACAGGAGGAGGGTGCTTCGGCAACATGCCCTGTGTGGGGGCCCCCCAGGGCCCAGTGTTAACACTTCTTTCTATTGCTGTGTGTGGCACCTACTCTGGCCGAAGCCTGGGTCCCCCTGTGTGACTGCCCACTCCTTGAGGAGACTGACTGTAAGCCAGGTCTGGAGCAACTGTCTGTACCCCAGAATCCCCACTGAAGTCCCGGGTGCTTCCGTCTGCGGAATAATTCCTGTGGCTGGAGGAATGCGCACAACGGTGCTTTTGTTTTTAACTAACAGCTCTATTGATAAGAAAATGATGCACCATACAATTGACCCATTTCAAGTGTACAGTCCAACGGTTTTTTGTATATTCGCAGAGTTGCGCAACCATCATCACAATCAATCTTAGAACATGTTCGTCACCCCCAAGAAATGCCGTCCCCAGGAGCAGGCACTCACACAATGGCTCTTAATCCAAACCGGCCTGGACCTGTTTCTGTGACGAGGCTGGGGTGGGGTCATGCCTGCTACACAGAGCGGGTGAGTGGGAAGGAGGCTGGGAAGGCAGCCACCGTGGTCACCGCCCCTGTGCTCCACCCACCGGGCTCGGGCTCGTGGTGACATCCCTTTCCCACCCCTTGCCCAACAACGCTGACGACCTCCTGCATTTGCCTGGCTTTCAGAGATGCTTTCCCTCTCTCACCAAGTCTCATTTTTTAAAAATATATTTTTATTGATTTCAGAGAGGAAGGGAGGGGGAGAGAGATATAGCAACATCAGTGATGAGAGAGAATCATCCATCGGCTGCCTCCAGCATGTCCCCTACTAGGGATCGAGCCAGCAACCCAGGCATGTGCCCTGACTGGGAATGGAACCATGACCTCCTGGTTCATGAGTCAGTGCTCAACCACTGAGCCACGCCCGCTGGGCCCTAGTCTCATTTTAAGACCGTCTCGAGTGCAGCAATCATGGGCCAGATCGGCCGTAGAAGGGATGTGTGGCTGGGACTGGGGAAGCCCAGCCTTAGTAGAGGGGACAAATTATGCAAAGACATGGAGGTCTGAGAGAGACTGGGGCGCTTGCAAACTTGCAACTGGAAAATCAGTTCCTGCGGGGAAATGGCCAACGCTGAGGCCCACGCGTGTCCGCCAACCTCACACTTCTGGCAGCTCTTTCTTTACTTCCAGTTTCTGTGACGAGGCTGGGGTGGGTCAGGTTAGAGGCTGGCATAGGTTCTTTGTGGATTTCCTCTTTCTCTCCCTTAGAATAAATTCTTAATCTGGAAGTGATATTGATATGTTTGTCCTTTTTGTGAGCACTTACCCAATATTTGGTCCATCTTTTTTTTTTTTTTTTTTACTTTTAATTTTTGCTCCTTTGCATTCTGTGAACTGGCACTTTGGTCTGCTCAGATCTGGCTGGAGAGCAGGGGACGAGGTGGTCACATGGTAGAGACAGGGAAACCAGGGCTGTGGGAGTCAGACTCACAGATAAGGGGGTGCGGGTGCGGAGGAGATACCTGCCATTTTGGGTAGAAATTCAGTGAGATGAGTCAGGCGCTGCACTGTCATTTCCTCTCGTGTCCTGGTGTTTAACTCCCTCTCATCAATGTTCACTCTACCCTCTGCGGGTCCAGGATTGCTTGCCTTGCCCAGGAAGGTGGGACAAAGCGGTGCTGCCTGGCCTTTCTCCACCCTCTGGGCATCATCTGTGTCCACGTGATTCTCAGGGACGATGGGTAAAGTGGTCAGTTTGCGAGCCTGGCCGTGTGTCTGTCCCCCCTAGGAAGTTTGCTCAGGAAGCTCGCCCAGCTCCCAGGAGCCACAGACCGGTTTCTGGAGAACCTCCAAGCCCCGGACAGACCCCATCGTGAGCGGGGCTCTGCCTGACTTCTCTCCTCCCTCCCGCCTGCTGCAGCTCTGGCCCCTCGTCCGGCCCAGTGAGTCAGCTCCCGCAGAAGAACCCGCTGCGAGCATGCCCTGCCGAACGCTCCCACTCCCGGGTGTCCTCGGCCGAGAGCTTGTCCCTGGATGGCTTTTGGATGGAGGTGGAGCGGATCCAACAGAGGGATGAGCTGAGAGAAGAGGATGGCAGCGGGGGCGAAGGCCGGCCCCCAGAGGGTGAGGAGTGCTGGCAGGGGCTGCTGGGCGGAGGGAGGCCCCTGTGGCAGGGGAGACATGTGCAAGCTCCAGGCACAGACCATACGTGCAAGGGCTTTATCTCTCTCGGGCTGTTGCAGTAGCTTCTTCCCTGGTCTCCCTGCTCCCCCCTCGATCCCTTGTCACCCTAAATTAGATGACATCCCTCCTTAGATTAGGTCACTCAGCACACGTGTATAATTGCCCCTTTCTTGCCAGGCACTGTTTTAGGCACCAGGGATACAGCCGTGAACACAAAACAGTCTCCCCGTGGAGCTAACATTTGAGTGGAATCCTAAATCCTTTGCTCAACATCCCCCAGGTGTCCCCACCTCTCTCAGTATCTGTTATCCATACTGCATAATCAACCGCTGCACACTGAGCGGTGTAAAGCAACTATCATCATTATTCTCACGGTGTCACAGTTCTAGGGGTCGGCAGGGCTCAGCTGGGCGGTCCTCACTCTGGGGCTCCCGTGGAACTACAATCAGATGGTGGCCAGGGCTGGAGTCGTCTCAAAGGATTTCTCACTTCTGAGTCTGGTGGTGGCTGTGACGTCAGCTGGGCCTCATCTAGGACTGTAATGCCTACTGTCTGCTTCTGGGTGGGCCTGGGCTTCCTTACAGCTAAGCAACTGGGTCCCAAGAGCGGGAGGAGAGAGAGAGAGACAGAGAGAGAGAGACAGTGAGAGAGAAGAGGCAGAAGCCGGCTCGCCGTTCATGACCCGGTTTTGGAAGGCAGGCAGCGGCACTTCTGCTACACCCTATTTTCCTGCGCCCAGCCCATATCCCAGGGGAGGGAATTAGACCCACCTCTTAATGGGGTGTGTGTCAAAGAATTTGGGGACATGCAAAACCTACACATCACAGGTTACAAGGCTTTCCAAATCAGCCCCAGGCCCCTCTGCCTCATGCCCTCCCACCGTCTTCCTATGTCTCCACTTCTGCCTCCACTCAGGCCTCCTTGCTTCCTTGATCAGGAAAGCACACTCGAGCCTCTGAGCCTTCGTCCTCACTGTTCCCTCTGCCTGGGGCGCCCTTCCCTCAGGGATCTGCCTGGTTTGTTCTCTCCAATCAGGATGGGGCTCAAATGTCACCTCCTTGGAAATCTTGACTTCCTTAAGTAAAGCAGCACCCCGCCCCTCACTCTCTAGCCCCTTGACCCACCTTATTTGCCGTTAGAGCACATCCCCGCGCCTGACATGACACAGTGCATTTATTTGTGCTTTGTCTGTGTTCCCCAGTAGAATGTAAGCTCCAAGAGGTCTGGGCCATTGCCCATCGCTGCTATACCCTCAGGCCTAGAACAGAGCCAAGCCCATTCTTGTACTCCTCCTCACGTGTTCGATGAGTGAGGGACTGAAAGGGCATGGGCACAGAAACCTGGATCTGGCCTATGAGTCAGCTGTGCTAGCCCATGGTGTACAGCATGTGTGGTCATGGGGGAGACTCAGATCTCCTGGGAACCTGCAGGAAACACTGGTGTTTGGAAGAGATCCCGTGGTGAGAGGAGAAGCGGGTCCTGGCATCACAGTGGGATCGGTGCCTTCACCAGCTGGCACAGGTCAGGGGAGGACCCACAACTTTGTGGCCGCCCTGGCAGCGTTTGTTTGCTTCCCAAGTGCATGGGGAATGCGGTGGGTTAACATCTGTACATGCCACAGCTCAGGCTGCCTGCCGTGAAAGCAGTTCTGATATTTTGAACCACCAGCACTTGGTTGACTAATTGGTCAAACTGGGCACCCCAGCAAGCAGCTCGCACATGGGTACAGCTTCCTCCCCAAGTTCTCGTCTGTTTTCCCCATAATAAGATGGAACTCACCGGTGTTTCCCAAGTGTGATCTGAAGACTCCATTGTATTAGAATCATCTGGGCAGGAAGGCGGGAAGGCGGGAGTTCAAGTTCAGGTTCCCAGGTCCTGAGCCTGAACTTCTAGGGCAGAATCTCTGGAGGTGGGACCCAGGGACCTGCAGTCTCAACACCACCCCACAGTTTGGAAGAATGGTTTTGCTGTAAGACCATGACCGTTTCCTTACAAAGCACAGTTGAGGGGATTATTCCAACACAGATAAGGTCTTGAATAGAGTGAGACTTTCCAAGGGACAGCAGCTGCTTGCCCGTGCTCTCCACGCTGGGCCCATGTGACCCTGTGGTGATCTCTGTCAGATTTGGGAGGGGGGGGGGGGTGAATCGTTGGCTACCTTCCAGAGTCAGAACATGCAGGCATCCCTCCTCAGCCTGCTGTTTCCAAGAGAATATGATTGTATAGGTTTAAATCCAGATACTGGTTAATGCCATCCATGCCCCCCAAATTCTCTGATATTTTGTTAGTTCTCCACATTGAAGAGTGTGGTTGATGTTAGTGAATCTCGTGGTCAGATGTGTGGGTCTTTCTTGCACTCAGGTTGAGTGTGTGTTTCTGCATGTCACTCGGTTAGTGCGTGTGGCGGAGAGTGTAGTTGTGTGTGTTTATCTGGATGGTCTCCCTCTATTGGCAGAAGGAGAAACTGAATCCCAGTGGCTGCAGGACACAGGCCTGTCGGACCTCCTTGGTGGCCTGGGCTTGGACAGTCATCACCGGGGGCTCCTGTCCACCCTCACACAGACCCAGGTGGCCGCTGTGCGCCGCCGGCTGGACATCTACGCCCGCTCGGCACGAAGACGCCCCAAGGCACCTGTTAGAGATGTCAGGGACATCTTTGGGGGCTTCAAGGCAGGGGTAAGTCAGCAGCACAAAGGTGACTGCAGGCCCTGTCTGCTGGGCCCATTCACACCCTCAGTGAAGCTGGTCCTGCTGAAAGGCTGTGCTGGCGGGTGCTTGCAGGCCACTGTGTCCCCAGGTTGCAGGCAGGGCTGTCCGCTGTGTGTGCATTTCTTGTTGCCACCATGTGTGCTTGCCTGGGCCTGAAAGCTTAGGTTCTCTTTATATAACTATTGTCAGGACAATTATAATATGTTTTTATCAGTTGTATATCCTGCCGACACTTGTAACCTGAGAAGTTACAGGCATTTTATTCTTTCTTTTGTACATGCTGAAGTGGCATGACACGTGCTTAATGCAATAGGCATTGAAGGCAGAGAGGCCCGGGCCAGCGCTCGCCCCCCCCCCCCCCCCCCCCCAAGATCTCTGCGCTTCAGCTGCTCTTTGGGGCAAGATCCTTACGCTTCAGCTGCTCCCTCCCTGAAGACGGGGGCTCGAAAGGGTTTTATTTCCCAAGGGTGGGAAAGAAAATTAATTGGAAATTGCCTGTAAATTGTTTAAGAAAATGCCCTCAGAGAATAGGGGAGTCAGGGATAAAATGGAACCCCGCTCAGTTCCGGAGCCCCTAGGTCTCCTCCAGGTAAGGGGCCTTCTTTTTTCTGGGCCCCGGAAGTCCCTCCAGGCGTAACCAGGCTCGCTCTGCGGGGGGAAGGAAGGCGCCACACTCCCCGACGTTTTTCTCCCTCCTGCTGGCACTGGGGCTCTCCGTGCTCCAGGGACGAGTGAAAAAAAGCGCAAGGGACAGGAGTTGCGCTCTTTGATGGGGTTTTCCCCTCTCCACCCATGAAACTTTTGCCTGGGAATATACTCTTCCTGGGGCAATGGGCCTTAGCCAGGAAACTACTTCCTGGGGCAATGGGCCTTAGCCAGGAAACTACTTCCTGGGGCAATGGGCCTTAGCCAGGAAACTACTTCCTGGGGCAATGGGCCTTAGCCAGGAAACTACTTCCTGGGGCAATAGGCCTTAGCAGGAAACTACTTCCTGGGGCAATGGATCTGATCCCTAACGGTATTGATTTGGTCCTGGGGTTTTGATGCTGGGAAATCACTTCTTGGGGCAAAGGGCTTGAGTCCTCAGCTTAAGAACTTGCTTCTGGGGTCACGAACTCAGCCCCCTGGTCTTACGCAGTCGCTACTGAGAAGGGCCGAAGCCTGAGAAATTGCTCCCTGGGCTCTGGGCAGGAGGAGGCAGGGAGGCGGCAGGTGCTGACTGCCTCTCTGTCCTGTTTTCCCGCAGCAGCAGAGCCTGAGGGGCCGCAGGCACAGGCTGGGATGGAGCACGCCTTCCACATGGACTCCGCCTACTCGGAACAGGCCGCACTGCTCCTGCAGAGGGGCAGGCAGCCCCCGGGAGGCACCTGTGTCTGGAGCAAGGGGTCCCTGCCGGTGAGGATGCTGCCCAGGGGGCGGGGGCCAGGCCCTGCTGACCGTTCCTCTCTACTCCTTAGGGAAAGTGCAGTAACCTCTACTGCAGTGTGAAGGTGCTTTCATTCACGCAAATAGGATTTTTCTATTTACTTTGAAATAATTTTAGAGTCACAAGAAGTTGCAAAAATAGGAGAGTTCCCATGTGCTACTCACCTGGTTTCTCCCAGGGATAGTCTCTTATGTAACCATGGTGTGTCAGAGTTTTTAAAGACTGACTTTCTATTTCTAAAGCATCATAGATAATTAATGTTCAATATTATCATATCTTCTATCCTTGATGATTTGATTTTCCCATTAAACTATGAATGATAATAATTAATAATGCCGAAGATACCACATATAGACCTTTTACCATAGACCGGACATATACCAAATACTATACATACATGATTTAATTTCATCTGTTATGTTAACGGCAATTGTGTAAATACTTAAAAATAGTGATAGTTATAATAATTGAGGACTTACTTTGTCAGGCACTGTGTTTTATCACTTTATCAAATTTAATCTCCCCCCAAAACCCTGTGAAGTGGATACTGTTATTAGCCCCACTTTACAGGTAAGAAAATTGACACACAGAAAGGTAAAATTATTTACTCAAACTCACAGGTAAAGTCGGATTTGAACCCAGGAAGTTTGGCTCTATGCACCGTAGAGCAAGCACGGGCTGTCTGATAGCCATAACATTACAACCTACAACCATAGCACGCTTCCTTTCCCTTAGCACTCCAATGGGCACTGGGGCATAATCTGGTCAAGTCCTCCAGGCAAATACCAAACACATTTGCCCCTCCCTCTTGCTGTTTTCAACTTTTCACCTATGGCAGTGGGGGGGTGGGGAGGGAGGAAGGGGAGCGACAGAATATGCCTGTAGATCCCCATTCTTGCCTCTAGATGGCGCGGTCGAGCATCATTTATTTTTCAATCAATACTGAGGAAGAGGAGCATTGGGTTGGGGTATGGCAGAGCAAGGATAGGGATAGGTGGGGCGAGGAAGAGCAACAAAGGATCAGAATAGAAGCAAAATAAGAGGCCCGTGGGGTGATCCCTCTCCTCCAGTCCTCAGGTTGGAATACAGGCAGTAAAGAGAGCTTCCCATTACTGTTATGTGCTTGGCACCCTTTATACCCCTTAGCCCATTTTACCCTCAAAACTATGAGGTAAGCACTGTTGTATGATTACAAATGGGGAATTAGAGGTTCACAATGTGGGGTGGAGGTCAGGTGGAGGTGGGACTTGGACCTGGGATGAAGCTCTGAGCCCCTGCTCTCATCCACTCTGCTCTTTCTCTCCCTAACCGCCTGGGGGTGGGATGGGGTGGGGGCGGGGCCTCAACACACTTACAGGACATCTGGCTTGCTTGTCTCTGCTTCCCTCCCTAGAAGTTTAGGATCCCCAAAGGCAGACTTGGCTTGACGAGGATTGGAGACCTGTCCTCGCAGGACATGAAGAAGATCGCCGCCCTGGCCCTCATCGAGCTGACTGCGCTCTGCGACGTCCTGGGCTTGGACCTGAAGAGGAGCAAGGCAGGGAAGCAGAAGGCAACAGGTCAGCAGTCCAGCACTTCAAAGCCCTGTGACTAATGTCCTGGCTTTCTCACTGAGCGAGTTGCGTGGGGAATCTTCCACCAGAATATGCTTAGCTGCTTTATTTCCTTCAGTTCTATGTACTTGTTCTACATCTGAAAACAGTTCCTACTCACTGTAGGAAATTTGAGTAAAATCCAAAAAGGAAAAATATAATTCAGATGTAAGCACTATTAGCTTTTAGAGCATCATCTTCCTCTCCCACCCCATGTATATAAACCCCTTTTCACTTTATAGTATAGAGTTATGGACATTTCTGAGTTTTCGTCTCATTCAGCTATTGCCACAATAGTGCTATATAACAGGCAACCTCAAAACTCATGACTTAAATCAACAATTGTTTACTCTTCTCAGATGTTGGTGGGTGTCCCCAGATTGGGCTCATTGCTGCACATTCAAATTTAAATGCATCTTAGATTGTTTTAGAATATACTGGTGAAGTTCTGGGTATATATTACCCTTCAATAGTGTATGAGACTGTTCATCTCACTGCATCATTGTCAACATGACGCATTGCAATTTTTTTATTGTTTCTTGATAAAGACAAGAGGATGATGGATGGATAGACCAGGAGAAGGGGTTTGGTAGAGAAAGGGGTAGGCAAGTGAATGAGAAGGAAGAACATTGCCGAGTAGACTTGGAAAGATGAGTTTATCTGAGAAGCCTGCAAGGCAGGATGGTTGAGAAGACCTGGGAAGTACATTTCATTGGAACTTGGTCCATCCCTGCTGAGCAAAATCCTCTCCCCAGACCATTGTTACACTTGGCACCCAGCGCTCCCCGGGCAGCAGCACCTTTTCTTTCAACGCCTCTTTATCCAGCTGAGACGTCTGCTCTGTGATGCATCCAATGTTCTCATTATTGCTGAGGCCTCGTGTTCTGCTTGAGAGCAGGTTGAGTTCAGCCACCCTCCAGAGTTCAGGCCTCACACAGGGAAAGGAGTCTGATTCTAGTCGCCCAGGAGAGGTTGCAGGCTGGAGCCCAGCTGTCATTCCAGGAAGTGAAACACCCCTTCTACTCTTTGGACTTCCCGCAGAAACTCGCCTTTTTGGGGTGCCCCTTGAAGCCCTGCTGGAAGCTGACCGCAAAGCCCTCCCCAGCACCCAGGTGCCGCTGGTACTTCAAGCTGTAAGTTGTCCCCAGATTGGGCTCATTTAGCCAGCCAGAGGCTGGCCCTGGGCACCCCGATGGCTGGCCTGGGAGATACCATGTGGACTTCAGAATCAGGAGACCTGGGTTCCAATTCTGGCTCTGACACATGCTAGCTGAGACTTGGGCGGATTTTTGAGCCTCTCTGAGCCTGCCTTTCAGTGTTTGTGAAGTGGGGTTAGAATAACAGTATTCTCTTATTAGAGATTGAATGAGAAAAATGCATATTTAGGGAAAAAAGCTCACAGAACAATGCTTGGCTCATGGGAGTGGCCAAGAAAGCCATTCTTCGCCGCTCTCTGCCTTGTTTTTTTGGGAGACAAACACACCAGTTTGAATCCCACTTTTCAGTGGTTGCTGGTTTAAATGGTGGTTTCTTTTTCTCACAGCTGCTGTCCTGTTTGGAAAAGAGGGGACTGGACATGGAAGGCATTCTCAGAGTGCCTGGCTCACAGGCCAGGGTCAAGGTAATGGCTTGGCTTCCCCCACCTCGCTGAAGCTGCATCTCCCAGCATCCGCACGTGTGCGTTAATCCTGAAGAGAATCCAGTTCACAGCCTGTTGGTCTCTGTTTGGGTCTGGAATTCAAGAGGGTTTGAAAGGGTAGAGGTGGCACAATATAGCATAGGCTTGAGACTGTTGGTATTTGTTGAGTGACTTACACACATTAGGCCATTTAATCCTCACAAAACTCCTATGAGAAGAGTGCTATTATTGTCCCCATTTTGCAGATGAGGAAACTGAGGCCCAGAGAAGTGGTGGAGCCTTGAGCCAACTTCTCATTAGTGCCCCTCTTTTCTCCAGGGGCTGGAACAAAAGCTGGAGAGAGATTTCTACACTGGCCTGTTTAGCTGGGACGAGGTTCACCACAATGATGCGTCCGATTTGCTCAAAAGGTTTATCCGGGAGCTGCCGGCACCTCTGCTCACTGCTGAGTACCTGCCGGCCTTCGCCGTGGTGCCCAGTGAGTTCCCAAGCCTTTGCATTTGGGAGAAGAGCTTTTGATGGCCTGGGAGGGAAGGTGGTGGGAAGATGGCACTACCTGATCCCTGCCTGATGGGAGAGGAAGGGCATGTGTGTGTGTGTGCATGTGTATTGTGTGTGTGTGCATGTATGTGTGTGTTGTCTATGAATGTGCATGAGTGTGCGTGTGCAGTGTGACGAGGCGAACCAATTGCATTTCTGACCCTGGGATATACCTCTCAGGCTGCATGTCTGGGCGTGTGTATGTGCATGTGTATGTGTGTGTGTGCATGCACATGTGTGTGTTATTTTTTATTCACACGGTATAGCGAGCCTCAAGACCAGCACTGGTTGGGGCTCTGTCTGAGCTAACACTAGCCCAGGAACAGTTCTAGGCCTTATAAAGAAGGGTTTCCTGTCCTGGCCGGTGTGGCTCAGTTGGTTGAGTGTTGATCCATAAACCAAGAGGTCACTGGTTTGATTCCCAGTCAGGGTACATGCCCAGGTTGTGGGCTTGATCCCCAGTAGGGAGTTGTGGGAGGTAGCCAATCGATGTTTCTCTCTCATTATTGTTCTTATCTCTATCTCTCTCCCTCTCCCTTTCTTTCTCTCTCAAATCAATGTTTTAAAAAAACATTTTTTAAAAGAAGGGTTTTTTGGAATCTCCCCTCCCCCAAGAAGGGGGCTTCAGACTGAGGGAGAGTCTCTGGCCTCACTGAGAGACTGAGACCAAGTCTGCCCTCTTCCCTCAGACATCCCTGACCTGAGGCAGCGCCTGCAGGCCCTCCACCTGCTCATCCTGATTCTCCCGGAACCCAACAGGAACGCCTTGAAGGTGAAAGCTACCTCCAGCTGCCTCCACTCTGTCATCTCAGCCCACAGCCACAGTAATGGCTCCAAGTGTGCCCGTTCATTCATTCATTCAACAACTCTGCCAGGAGCTGGGGTGCAGTGATGACCAACAGTGATGGCCTCATCTTTCCTGAGACCTTTTCCCTAAAGAAAGGAGATGAGCCCTGAGAGGACATGGTGCTCACTGGAGTGTGCACTGCCCAACATCATTGTTGGTCTCAGGGAGAAGGCTCTCTGCCCAGATAAGATGGGTGGACACTGAGTCAGTGAAGTAAGGTTAGGATCATCCCTTCCTACAGGACTTCTCAGAGCCTTGATATGCCAAGGCTTTGCGAATGTCTGGGTGGGACTAGAGTGTGTAGCAGATCCTGAGTCAGGTGTCCAGGGACCTCTTTTGTTATGGAAAGCATTGCATTGCATGATGTTCCGTGGAACACTAGTTTGGGAAATACTCACTTGGGGAACTCCCACTGTGTATTATGGGAACGGGAATTCAGGACTGGGGGCTGGGGCTGGGGTGCAGCCCGGGCTTAGGTCCCAGCACCTTCCTGGCTGTCCTTGGGTCAAATCCAAGACATACCGCTAGGGTGTGGCTGTGAGGAGACCCCAGGTCTACTGGAACCCTTGTCTGATGTGGACACAGGAGGCCCTAAAGGAGTATTTATAACCAGATAGACCTGGGCTCAAGTGACCATCACGCCTTGTGCCTCAGCTTTGTTGAAGAGATAGCCTCTTTAATTTGTTTCCTTTTCAGTAAACGTAGGCTAATGATACCATCTGTGTGATTGTTTGTGGAACACAAGAGCTAATATAGAAGGAATCACAGAGTAGATGATGTGGTACTTAGCAAGTGTTTAATACATTTCCTCCCTCCCCCGATCCTCCTCCTTCCCTCCCCCCTCCCTTCCTTCCTTCCATCCACCCTCATCCACCAACCACCCATCCATCCATCCATCCATCCATCCATCCACCCATCCATCTTTCCATCCTTCTATCCTCCCTCCTTCTGTTCATCCTTAATGTCTATGTGGCCTTGGGCACATTCTACAAGCCACAGTTTCCCTTCTCTGTGTAATGGGTACAAATGGTAGAACCTACTTTAAAGAGTTGTGGGAATTAAATGAGATGATAAATGCATGTAAGGTGCTAGCTAAGGGACCAGGAACACAAAGAACACTTACTAAATGGCAGCTATTACCACCATCTCCATTCCTTCCCATTGTCTCTGCTTCCCTGTTCTTTCCCTTGCCTTTTGGGCAGATTCAGACACCCCAGATCCAGGTAAAGGAACTGTGTTGGGCTTGCCAGGAAAATACCCACTCCCCAGAGTGGTGGCTCTTTTCTGCCTGGAAGTTGAAGTGTGACCCGGATGTCTCATTAACCTCTGAGGGAGCAGGGAAGGGGGAAAGTTTTGGCCATGTTTTGCCAGAAACAGACAGAGAGGTCACAGAGTGTGCTGATGGCAAAGTTGAAACTAAAACCCTTATTCCAGCCCCTGGCTCCTTGCAAGGCCCCCAAGTAGCACAGCAGGATGTTCTGGGGAAGGTAGGGCACATGAGGGGTGTGCTAAGATTTGAAGAAAGTTCTGTGCCCTTCCACAGGCACTCCTGGAATTCCTCAGGAAGGTGGTGGCCCAGGAGCAGAGCAACAAGATGACACTGTGGAATGTTTCCACGGTAATGGCCCCTAATCTCTTCCTTCACCGAGGGCAGCCCCCCAAACTCCTCAAGGGCAGGGAGAAGCAGCTGGCAGAGGGGGCCGCCGAGGTGGTACAGATGATGGTGCACTACCAGGACCTGCTCTGGATGGTGAGTGGTGTGGGCCAGCTGTGAGGGGAGGGGACACACTGTCCATCTGGGGAGTAGGCACAGGCCCTTTTTCTCCTCGGGGTACAGCTGCCCTGTTGTCCCTGCCATCCATGATTGTGGGTACTGTCCTTTCAGATCCTAGTTGTGTCTCTTCTGGGACCTTTGTTGGCTCCTATGTATGATCTATGTCTTCTTTTTCCCCTGCCTTACTGTCCAAAAGGTGTCCACACTCCCACACCTCCCAGCCAATCTATGGCCATCTGGTCTACCCCAGGTTAAGGGTGTTCCCTGAGCTCCCACAAATGATTCCTTCACCTCAAAGCTTTAATGATGTTGAAAAAGCCACCCTCACCCCTGTTCCGCCACAGGCTTACGGACACAGGGCCTGACTAAGACAGAGGCCTGAGCCAGATAACCAAGACACCCCCTTTCCCTATGAGCCTTGCCCTGTGTAACAATCCAAAGCAAGGACAAGGGGCAGGGGTAGGGAAAGAGGTCCCTCTGTGGTGTGGACATGCAAGGCCTGCTGACAGTTGGGTATGGAACAGAAACACTAAGAACCCTGCAGCACTTGAGACCCCATGGGTGCAAGATAGCACTGCCCAGCACTACTGCTCAGGCCACTTCCCTTAGAAATGTGTAGCCTCTTCCTTCCATCTCTCCATTCATCCTTCCATTTAGTCACCCACCCAGCCATCCACCCATTCACTCACTCACCAATCCATCCATCCAGCCATCCACCAACTCACTCACCCACCCACCAACCCATGCATCTATCCACCTACCATTTAGCCATGCATCTGTCCATCTATGTATCCATCCATTCATCCATCCACCCACTCACTCACCCACCAACCAATCCATGCATTCATCCATCCACCTACCCACCAATCGATCTATCCATGATCCACTTACCTTT